TTTCATTCTTTCTGATGTTGCTGTTCAGCAATCCTTTGTTGAAGACACTGTCTTTTTTTCCACTGGACATTCTTTCTTGCTTAGCTGAAGATCAGTTGACCATAGGGTTGAGAGTCTATTTCTGGCTTCTCTATTCTGTTACATTGACCTATGTGTTTCTTTTTGTGCCAGTGCCATAGCTTTGTAATAGAGCTTGAAGTCTGGAATTGTGATGCTTCCAGATTTGCTTTTCCTTTTCAAGATCGCTTTGGCTTTTCGGGGTCTTTTGTGATTCCATACAAATTTTAGGTTTGTTTGTTCTAGTTCTGTGAAAAATGCTGGTGGTATTTTGATGGGGATTGCATTAAATATGTTGATTGCTCTGGGTAGCATAGACATTTTAACAACATTTGTTCTTCCAATCCACGAGCATGGGATGCTTTTCCATTTCTTTGTGTTATCTTCAATTTCTTTCATCAGTGTTCTATAGTTTTCAGAATACAGATCTCTTACCTCTTTCATTAGGTTTATTCTTAGGTATCTTATGGTTTTTGTTGCAATTGTAAATGGGATTGATTCCTTGCTTTCTTTTTCTGGTACTTCATTATTGTCATATAGAAATGCAACAGATTTCTATATATTGACTCTGTATCTTGCTCCTTTGTTGAATTAACTTATCAGTACTAGCAATTTTTTGGTGGAATCTTTCAGGTTTTCTACATAGAGTATCATGTCATCTGCAAATGTTTGACTTCTTCCTTGCTGATTTGGAAGCATTTTATTTCCTTTTGTTGTCTGATTGCTGAGGCTAGGACTTCTAGTATTGTATTAAGTAACAGTGGTGAGAGTGGACATCCTTGTCCACTCTCATTTTTTCCTCATTGAGGATGATATTAGCTCTGAGTTTTTCATATATGATTTTTATTATGTTGAGGTATGTTGCCTCTATCCCTACTTTGTTGAAGATTTTAATCAAGAATGGATGCTGTATTTTGTCAAATGCTTTTTCTGCATCTATTGAGGGGATCATATGGTTCTTACCCTTTCTTTTATTAATGTGGTATATCACATTGATTGACCACTTTTGCTGCATCCCAAAAGTTTTGGACTGTCACGTTTTCATTTTCATTTGCTTCCATATATTTCTTTATTTCTTCTTCAATTTCCTTGTTACCCATTCATTCTTTAGTGGTATGTTCTTTAGCCTCCATGTATTTGTGGTTTTTCCAAGTTTTCTCTTGTGGTTGACTTTAAATTTCATAGCCTTGTCATCGGAAAATATACATGGTATGATCTCAGCCTTTTTGTAATTGTCGAGGGCTGATTTGTGACTCAGTATGTGGTCTCTTCTGGAGAATGTTCCTTGTGCACTTGAAAAGAATGTGTATTCTGTGTACTTAAAAAGAATGTGTCATTCAAAGTCATTATTTTCTTGTTGATTTTCTGCTTAGATGATCTGTCCATTGCTGTAAGTAGGGTGTTAAAAGTCCCTTGCTATTATTGTATTATTATCAATGAGTTTCTTTATGTTTGTTATTAATTGATTTTATATTTGGGTGCTACCAAGTTGTGGGCATAAATATTTACAATTATTAGATCTTCTTCTTGGATAGAGCCCTTACTCATGATATAGTGCCCTTCTTCATCTCTTTTTACAGTCTTTGGTTTAAATTATAGTTTGTCTGTTATAAGTGTGGCTACTCTGGCTTTCTTTTGACATCCATTAGTGTAATAGGTGGTTCTCCAAGCCCTCACTTTCAATCTGTAGATGTCTTTAGGTCTAAAATTAGTTTCTTGTAGGCGGTATACGTGGATCTTTTTTTTTTAGTCCATTCCGATATCCTATGTCTTTTGATTGGAGCATTTATTCTATTTACATTCAGAGATACGAATTTATTCATATTTGTATTGTATTACAAAGTAATTGTATTACCTGTAAAGTTCGTGTTTCTGGAGATTTTCTCTATTCCTTTCTAGTCTTTGTTGCTTTTGGTCTTTCTTTCCTACTCAAAGTGTCTCCTTTAGTATTTCTTGCAGTTTAGTCGTCATGAACTGCTTTAGTTTTTGTTTGTCTGGGTAACTCTTTATCTCTCCTTCTATTCTCAATGACAACCTTGCTGGATAAAGTATTCTTGGTTGCATATTTTTCCCATTTAGCCTATTCAACATATCATGCCACTTTCTTCTGGCCTGCCAGGTTTCTGTGGAGAGATCTGATGTGAACCTGATTTGTCTTCCTTTGTAGGTTAGGGATTTTTTTTCCCTTCCTGCTTCCAGAATTCTTTCCTTATCTCTGTATTTTGCAAATTTTACTGCAATAAGCCTTGGTATTGGCTTGCTTTTGTTGATTTTGATGGGAGTTCTCTGTGCCTCCTGGATTTGGATGTCGGTTTCCTTCCCCAGATAAGGAAAGTTTTCAGCTATAATTTGTTCAAAGAAACCTTCTGTCTTAGACCTCATTTCTATTTTTCTTTTTTTAAAGATTTTAATTATTTATTTAAGAGAGAGAGAGAGACAGAGAGAGCATGAGCTGGGGGAGAGGGACAGACTCCTTGCTGAGCAGGGAACCTGACTCTGGGCTCAATCCCAGGACCCTGAGATCATGACCTGAGCTGAAGTCAGATGTTTAAGTGACTGAGCCACTCAGGTGCCCCTTAGACCTCATTTTTAAATAAATTGTCATATCCAGAAAATCTGGAAATCTTGAAACCATTAGCTTTTTCATTAGGGTGCTCACATCAATGGATGGCCATTTATTTACTTACTTATTTTTTTATTGAAGAAGGAGGAGCAGAGGGAGAGGGAGAGAGAGAATCTTAAGCTAACTTCATGTCCAGCACATAGCCTGATGTGGAGCTTGATCAATATCACAACCCTAAGATCATGACCTGAGCTGAAATCAAGAGTTAGAATGGACTGAGCCACCCAGGTACCCCTGGATGACCATTTATGAATAGCCTCCTGTACTTGGCTCATATTTAAATCTCTGATGCCAGGGAGTAGTCCTTTTAAATATATTCTTTAACTTATGATCTTACCCCCACTGGAAGAGAAAATATTTCCCTCTCATTTCTCTGATTCAGAAAAATGTATTGAAAAACAGAGAAGCTTAGTTTTTTTAATACTTGGTAATGATTATGTTATTATGTTAATAGCATTATGTTATGTTAATTATGTTATAAGGCTAGTACTTAACAAGGCAGTAAGCCCTAATAAAAATAATATTCATGTCATATGATAGTGTAGTCCATTCCTTATAATGAGCGCAGTGGATTTAATTCAGTTATCCTTTTGGTATATTCTCAACTATAATGCAGAAAGGGGGTTCTTATTTATTATCATTTGTAATTAGGATTTCTGAAATCAAAAATGAAATGATAAATTCTCTTGTCTAATCCCAGGAGAGTAGGAGATTAGTTTAAGCCTGGGTGTATTAATTAGGGTGGATGTTCAGCTACATGTAAAGGAAACCCAGTTCCAGTGATTTAAAAATTCAATATTTATTTTCCTCATGTGATAAGTTGCCCAGAGGTAGGCATTCCAGATCCATGATGCCAGGAGCTCTTTCTGCTCTGTCAGTGGTCACAAGCTAGTGCATACACCTCTAGACTTTAGGTCTGCATTCCAGGAAGGAAGAAAGAGAGGGACAATGAAACAGTTATGTCAATTAATTTTCTCTCTTTAATAGCTTTTCACAGAAATCTGATGCAACAGGTTCCACTTAAATCTACCAAGCACATATTACCTCCCAGATGCAGTGGCATCTGGGAACCAGAGTATTTTTTAATGCTCATTTTGCCATTCCAAATAAAAGTAGGATTCTGCTACTGGTGAAGAAGCAGAAAGAGGCTACTGGACAAGTAACCTGCAGTGTCTATTACACAAATGTTTAAACACTTATTCCAGTCAGAGTATTTTTTTTTGTTTTTTTTTTAAAGATTTTATTTATTTATTTGACAGACAGAGATCACAAGTAGGCAGAGACGCAGGCAGAGAGAGAGGAAGGGAAGCAGGCTCCCTGCTGAGCAGAGAGCCCAATGCGGGACTCGATCCCAGGACCCTGAGATCATGACCTGAGCCGAAGGCAGCGACTTAAACCACTGAGCCACCCAGGCGCCCTCCAGTCAGAGTTTTAAAACAACCATACAGTGTGGGGAGACCACTGGGGCACTTGTCATCAAGAATTGTAATCACTTATACAGAGTGAAGCAATGTTTATTAGCACCGTAGAAATGAAGAGTAGAGTGGTAGCCCATGATGATGTGGCTCAGAAGAGGTAGAAAATAGTACTAATATTTATTAAGTATTTTCTTTGTGCCAGATACTATACAAAGTATTCTATATACTTATATCAGCTTTATGAAATGAAGTAGTATCATTATTCCCACTTTACAAATGGGGAACCTGAGATTTAGAGAAGTTGACTTGTCTAAGGTCATCTACCTAGAAAATGGCTGAACTGGGCTTTGAACTGAGGCCATTAGATACCAGAGCTCTAGCCTTTGGGCAATAAGCCAGTGATTCTCAAACTTCAGCATGGGTTAGACTCTCCTGGAAGTTTAGTGAAACAGATTGCTGGGGTTTACCTATACAAGTTACATTTCTAACGACATCCTAGCTGGTACTGATGCTCCTGGTTGAAGACTGCCCCTCTAAGAGGGGCTGCCATGTAGGATGACAACAATGAGTTTAATAATCAACATATTTTGTAGGCTTACTGTTTTTTTAAGTTCTCTCATCCTTACTAGGGAATATGAGGTAGGTAGTATTACCCCTGTTTCACAGATGAGTCTCAAATGAATTAAGTACCTTGCCCAAATCCACACAACTCATTAGTGTTACAGCCAGTATTCAAAACCAGGTTTTTGGAGGTCCAGAGCTGACTAAACAAGACTGTTTAAGTGAGGCATGAATTGGCTGGTCCACTTTCCTTAATGCCCTTTTCTCTAGGGCTGCTTTCACTATAGCTGTTCTCTCAGCATCCCTCATTCAGTCAGCTCCATCTCTGCTGTCTCCATCAGGCGGGAAAGGATTTCTCTTCACTGTGGCTGACCTTCAGGCTGGAGTCGTTCGCTATCATCATGACGACAGTGATTCCACCAAAGACTTTGTGATCTTCAGGATATTTGATGGCCAACATAGCATCCGCCATAAGTTTCCCATCAACATTTTGCCTAAAGATGACAGTCCCCCGTTCCTCATAAGCAATGTTGTGATTGAACTGGAGGAGGGGCAAACCATACCGATCCAGGGTTCCATGCTCAGAGCATCAGACATGGACTCCAGCGATGACTACATCTTCTTTAATATCACAAAACCTCCTCAAGCTGGAGAAATCATGAAGAAACCAGGGCCAGGGCTGATAGGTAAGTTCTGAACAGTGAAGATTGTTGGCGCCAGAATTTGTACAAGGGTGGACATCAAGTTTATGAGGTATGATATGATGATCTTTCTCATTTTATGGATGGGAAACCTCACACCTAGAAAACTTAAATTGATCTATTCAAGTTTGTGCATCTGGAAAGTTCCAGCTGTCAAGCTGACTATTACACTATGAAAAATTATGTCTGCCAAGCAAGATGATAGAACAAATAAGTTTGAAGAGAAGGGTTTGGCCTATTCTAAACATTGATAAAGTAATTTCCTGAATAACATTTGTTTATGCTTTATCAGAATAATTTCATAACTATTTCTTAAAGTACTCAGGAGTAACAAAATAATAATGATCAAGCGGTTAGTGTTAGTAAGACTGTGTTCCTAAAAAATATTTTTTGTAATGCTAATTTTTCTACATATTTTAAGATAGGTGTAGCAACTTTAATTTTTCTGCTTATTATTTATAAGCTTTGATAAAAATATTTAATGAAAATTCCTTGGGTGCATACACCATACTAGGCAGAAAGTACTTTGAAGGTAAGTCCTAAGTTTATACTCCAACATCTGGAAGATTGTTACAAAAGTATGTGATGTTTCGTGGACCCAATAGGCTATCCTGTCCCTGGCTTCCTTCAGAGGGATCTATTTAATGGCATCATTTACTATCGTCACTTTGGTGGAGAGATCTTTGAAGACTCTTTTGAATTTGTCCTGTGGGACAGCCACGAACCTCCAAATCTCTCAGTGCCGCAGGTAAGAGGCCATCTCTTCATACTGTACTCAAGTCTTGTCCACAGATATCCGTTCCGGGAGGTGTCATTAGAAACTACATAAAAGCAGGTTTTAAGATTCAAAGTTTGAGAAGCAATGGATTCAGCAAGGTTAAGTCAATTTCTTTGCATGTCTTCTCTACCTTTTACTTTCCTAATATGTTTTGTAAATTATTGTATTTGTAAATATTGTATTTGTAAATTACTCGTAAAAACTCCGTGTTATGTTATGCTGTGTTTTCAAGATTACTTAACCATGGGGCCCTTACAGAACACCTACCAAATATGCTGGCCTCATAACACTCAAGAAAACACTGGCATTTTATGTGTAAGTGGTGAAGTATAGTCCCTGAAGTTACACTGCCCATGTTTCTCTCCTGTCCTTGACCCGACCTGTGCCTCAGTTTCCTCACCTGTAAAATAGGTAAATACTACAACTTCCTTATAGGGCAATTGTGAGGGTAAGGGAGATAATTATGTATAAAGTACTGAGCTTTCTGGCATATGGTAAGTACTCAATAGATAAATTAGTTATTATTTATTGTTGCTTTTGAAGAACTATGTGTTTCACCAACACTCAAGTATATCATTTAAGTATACAGGATACAGAAATAAGTTTAAGGAGGCATTCTCATATAGAAATTATAGAAAAGGAAGTTAGTGTAGGATCTGGACAACTATAAACTATTAAAAGGTAGACTCCATCTAAAGAGAGGATGGCTGGTGGTAGGGGTGGAAAAACAGCTGAAAATAAGTGATCACTTACTATACGTAGTTCTTTTTGCTAGGCATTTTATACCTATGATCTTGGAAGGTAGCATGTGTAGAAATCTAAGCAAATCTAGAACCAGCTCTAGAATGATTTTTTTAAAAAAGACTTATTTATTTTAGAGGGGGTAGGAACAGAGGGAGAAGGAGGAGGAAATAGACTCCCTGCTGAGCATGGAGCCCAGATGCAGAGCTTGGCCTCATGACCCTGAGACATGACCTGAGCTGAAATCAAGAGTCAGGCGCTTATCAGACAGAGCCACCGAGGTGCCCCTCTAGAATGATTCTTTAAAGCATGTGTCCCTATTGGCTATATAATGCTTCTCATAATATCACTGTCACTTACATTAGCCACTATATAGGGGACTGAGCTATTCATCTGTTTGCTAAGACAAAGGTAACAAAAAGGGATGATCAGGAAGAATGATGTCAGAGAGCCCAGAAACTGAAGGAACAAGGTGATCCCTGTTAAGAGGGAATAGAGAATGAATGAGAAAATTCTTAATTCATCTGCATATTAAATAACAAATCAATTCCTTTCCAAATAACAACTCCCTTTTTTGGTCAGTGTATTCTATGCCATTTCTAGGTTGCGTTTTTGCTTGAGACCTTGGTTGACTTGATGATGCAAAATGGCGACGATGAATAGGATTTATTTTTAAATCTTCTATTGCAGCTATTCAAACCGACCTGCTTCTGACTAGAATATCATATCACTTTTAGCAGATTATGTATTTTTTTTTATTGAAAGCTCAGGACTTCTTTTTCCTCTTCTGCTATTACATATTTTATGCATCATAGGTATAGAATTATTTATATTTATCTCATATTTATAGATCAAATGGGGATGTGAGGTCTCCCTAGAGTAAGGAAAACTTCACTGAAACAGAATTATTTCTGAATCTTGGTAAATAGGTCAGACCAAACTCTGTAGATCCAGTTGTAAGTTTATTCCCTATGGTGGATGGAAAGCAAGGATCTCCTCAAGTGAGACACAATGTGCATAAAGCTGGAAAGAACTTACGTAAGCATAGGGATGCCGCTTCCCTCCTCTAGTCCTTCTCTACTGAATGCTCCTCTGAGACGTTGACTGACACACCAGTCAACAGTATATCTACACATCAGCATGACATCCCCTCTCTCTTTCTGTCTTGGTCGTCATTACTGTCATCAAATTAAGCCTCACCTGCTCAGTTTGTTTTTGAAAAGTATTTCCTTTCTTATCCTTCTCAGTAGAGGGCTTTTTAGGTCTTAAGCTGTAAGAGATCTTATACCTAGGAGAAAGTGATATTAGAAGTAAAATGGGTTGGGGGGGAAGGGTGTAATAGGTGAGGGGGTTAAGGCATACCCTTGTCGTGATGAGCACTAGGTGATTAAAGTAAAAACCTGAAGAAAAAAAAAGTAAAATGGAGAATGAAAAATAAGGATAGATGAGAGAAGCAGGAAGAAGACTAAGAGATGGAGGAAGAAAGGAAGCAGGTGCCACAAAGGCCTGTAGGTCAAGTGGAAGGAGGCAACTGGACATGACTGGATGAGGATGGGCACCCAGGGCATGGACATTTGTCAGAAGTCAGAATGGAAAGTGGGGTTGGCAAAGCTAAAATGGGTATTTGTTTCTGGGGCTGAGAAATAGCACTGGATAATCTCAAAAGAAGATGTAAGATAAAGAATCAGGCAAAAATCAAAGCTGAGGCAGAGAAAGGATCAAGAACCAAGGCTTGATGGCTTCTGGCTAAGAAAGTCAGATACTAGCTGTCGGAGTATCATATGTGGACCCTGATCCTGAGGGTCAAGGTCAGGCTTTGTGATTTTGTGTACTGATTTATCACTTTATATTCAGATTCTCTTCAAGTGTGTGTGCAGGTGCCTATGGCTATAAGTAGACTGGAGGGATGTAGGGAGAGCCAGCAGCAAGAGCCCAGTGATTGGGCACTAGTTTCTCACTGTCTGGGAATGGCTGTTCAATGTCTTTTTTACAACCAAATTTCAGTACAATGAGAATTCTTTATTTCTCTATGGAATTTTTTAAAATAGGATTTTTCCTACCCACAGACACACATACAATAATTGTTTAAACATACATAAATATGTAAAGATTCATCAACTTAAGTGACCATAAAGCATGTTGAAAAATGTGCCCACCAAGAATTACTACAGGGGTATAAAAAAGCATGCTTGTACATTCTTTTTAGACAAAGAACACATTGGAGAATAAATTAGCATGGAAAATGGTCTCTTTGAAGGCACAATAACTATTGTTTCCATATTAAATCCAGTTTTTCAATTAAGTGGAGCCTTGCTGATGCACACTATGGCTGGGAGGTCCCATAGAGAATTTCTGAACTTTGTAGATTAGCAAAAAACTATAATTGGAAAAAAAATTGTGACACAGACTCCAGGAGACTGGGGAAATGACTGTCATTGTGTTCTTTTATTTTGATAACTGGCTTTAGTTTTTAATTATTGAAATGCTTCGTAACAGAGTAGTAAATATGTTGTATGCTTTTGTAAAAGTAATGAAGGATGGAGACAGGGGATTAATTAATTGAGCACCTACTACTAGATACTCACTGTGCTACTAGAGAGAAAAACAGCCCCAGAGGGGTAAAATTATCTGCCCCAGGGAGCATAGCTTGTAGGTGACCAAGCTGGTGTCCCAGGCTTTATCACAGAAAACCTTAACTATGCCTTAGTTTTTGCTTTGTGCATCAATTTTAAAAGGAATTTTCTTCATTTTCAAATTAAATATTGTGAACACCGTTATTGTAGACAAAACTGGCATTGCTGATCTGTGCTTTGGTAACAATATTAAAATAACTAGAACCAGGGTAAGAATACCTCGTGCATCAAGCTGTGCAAAGATCCATGATGCCAAAAAGATGTCCCGTTTTGGGAGAGAGTTCGTAATTGCTTTCTCACAAACAGTCATGGATTATTGGGGAAAAAAAATAAATGTGATTATAAAAGTTGTTTGGCAAAGCTGCCTTGCCCTCTTACATGATCCCAAACCCCGAGAGTATGATTTTAAGAGTTTTTAAAATCACAGATAGGACATATTGACTGGGTTAGCAAATACCGATGAAGTATCATCTACCTACAAAATACCATGCTAATTGTGGAGCAGCCAAAATGAACACAATATCTATTGAGCACCTACTATGTGCCAGATACTCATCTACATGGTGATATTTGATCCTCATAGCAACTCTATGAGATTATTGTTGTTAAACTTAACTAACCAATAAAACTGATACCCCAAGAAGTTGAATGACTTGTTCAAGATTAATAGCTACTGAGTGGTATATTCTGCATTTTAACTGTCTGTCCACTAACAAATTTCACAAGGTTTTCAGTATGCTATGGTTCTCCCCTTGTGGACCTTTCAGTCTAGGAGAGACTGACATGTGGACTGCTAATACTATAAGGCAGTAAAATATTTGTTGAGGGATAAGCAAAATTCAGAAACAATTCCAACTGAGAAATTGGACAAAGTTTGTTTTTTTTTTTACAGATTGATTTATTTCTTTTAGAGAGAGAGAGAGCGCATTTGTGGGGGGTGGGGTAGGGGCAGAGGGAGAGAGAGAGGGAAAGAATCTCAAGCAGACTCCCCACTGAGAGGGCAGTCTAATGCGGAGCTCAATTTCATGACCCTGATACCATGACCTGAGCCAGAGTCAAGAGTTGAACACTTAACTGACTGAGCCATCCAGGAGTTCCAAGAAACTGGGCAAAGTTTTAAGAAGAGTCTTCAAGGGTAAGAAAGCCTGAGGTTGCTGGAGAAAGCAGGAGAAAAGCATTGTAGACTGAAGGAACAGCATGATCTGAGCATAGAGGCCTGCTTGAGAACTACAACTGGGTATCTTGTGCTCATCTGGAGTCCTGGGTTAATGTTGAAAGGTGGCACAAGATAAAGTTGAAATATAGAGTGTGTCTAAACTGTGGAGGTCTTGGGTGCTATGCTGAGGAGCTTGAATAATTTAATCCCACCCGAGTGGTGGTTTGGTTTTTTGGGGAGATGAATAACCGAGTTGGCCTGCACTTTTTTTTTAAAAGAGAGCACTAGAGATATGTAAAGTCGAGATTAGGTACTGAAGTTAGGGTTCACAGGAAGCTATTGCAATAATGTAGGGAAGAAAGGATGAGAGTGGGAGCTAGAGCAGTAAGAGTGCGAATGCCAGTTGGGGTGGGGGCGGGGTGTGGTCATGGCATAGGAAATTTGGTAAGCAAAAACTCTGGGACCTGGAGATGTGTTACATGTCACAGGAGAAGGAGGAACCAAAGTCATAACAAGGTTTCTAGGATCAGTGACTGAGTGGAGGGTGGTAGCAAAAGAAAGCATAGGTTGTTGGTGGAAGGGAGAAACAGAAATAAAATCAGGAACATATTTTGTGTATCATGTGCCTGTTCTGTAGCCTTCATGATGGCATTAACTATATTTGTGATAATTCTATTCTTAAAATATAACATTAAATGGACATGAATGTTCCATTTTTGGCCCAAGTTCTTAATAGCTCCTGAATCATTTCAGTGGAAGGATATTACAAATGGGAGTTTTGAATAGCATCTTCACCATGATGGGGGGACTCTGGGGACATTTTCTTTGGTGTCCTTTGGTATTTCAAATTAATGGCACAGATCATTTCTTTCCAGGTGGTGACCGTCCATATCACTCCAGTGGATGATCAGCTTCCAAAAGAGGCTCCTGGAGTTTCTCGGCATTTGGTTGTCAAGGAAACGGAGGTGGCCTACATAACTAAGAAACATCTACATTTTATAGATACTGAATATGACAGTGAGCTTCTCTACACGATAACGACACCTCCGTTTTTCTCTTTCGGCCACAGGTATCTCTTGAGAAGTCATCACCTGGGCTATTTGTTGAGGGTTGTGTCCAAGGACTGAGTCGCAAGTGTCCCTATACAGTACTGTGGTTCAGTTGTTCTGTTGGTCAGACATGAACTTGTACTCAAGTCCACATATACTGTAATCTCAAACTTATCTCATACCTTCCTTCAAAAGCTGTATTAATTGGTAAGTGACCTGCTATTGGTAGTGTCTTCACCTTAGGTAAGCTTCAAAGAGTCTTTAATCTGTTTTTCATACAACATTTCTTTTTTTCTAAAGAGAATGTTATTTTTGACTTTTTAATAAAAGGTATTGAATCTTTATAACACTATTTTCAGACACTGCAGGCCACAAAATGGTCATATTGTATGACCCCAATCAGAAAAGCGACATGAGTATACCTGAGGCTTGTGTCATGTACACGATAGCAAGGAAACATTTTTTAGAATGAGAAGAATGATCCCCTTTCATGAGATCAAAGCAGAAAATTCTGTACATAGTTTCTGCAGTCATAAGAATGGCATTGATGACTCTGGAGTGAAGGCTAGAACCCCCACAACAGCAGGAGAGAATATAAAGATGGAACATTTGATTTCTTCTTACAATGAACATTTGTAGCTTCAGAAAAGTTGGTTGCAGGCTCTTTGACTAGTTGTTTCTTGCCTGGAAAATTAACTGGTGTGTTCTCCTGTATTTCTCTTTAGACATCTGGATGCTGGGAAATTATTCATGGTGGATAGTGTCCCAAAGCTGACCAAAAATCCTGCAGCCCTGGGGCTGGGGTCATTCACTCAGGTATGATGCTATGCTAAAATGTTGACAAACATGATGGAGGTGTGTTCTGAGAGAAAGGATGACACTCCTAGTGTTGGACTCAAGAATGTTGGCCTTTGACGTCTGTCAAAAGCATCAAATGCTTGATTACATTCTTTCTGCTTACACACTTTTAACTAGGATGTGCTCTCTATTTGACAATGCTTCATTGAGCTGGATATGATTTCAAAATCTTGCTATAATTCAACACAGCCTTTTGTATTGTTTTACCAGTAGCAGGGCTCTGATTTACAGACTTGGTGCCTATGGTTTTATTCCAACGCATTCAAGTCACTCAAGATCCTACCATATTAGTTTCTTATGGCTGCTGTAGGTACCACAACTGGGTGGCTTAAAATAACAGAGACTCACTGTCTCGAAGTTCTGAAGGTTGGAAGTCTGAAATCAAGGTGTTGGTAGGGTTGCGATTCTCTGAAACCCTATAGGAGAAGCCTTCCTTGCTCTTCTTTGGACTCTCTGATGCTCTTTGGCTTGTGGATCATCACTCCATTCTGTCTCTGTCATCCTGTCTGTCTTCTCTCTATGTGTCTCTCTCTTCTTATGAGGACACAAGTTACAGTCCAAGAAGGGCTCTACCCTTCCCTGTGACCACACCTTAACTGATTACAGCTGCAACCCAATCCCCAAATAAGGTCATATTCTGAGGTACTAGAAGTTAGAACTTCAACGTATCTTTTTTGGGGGACACATATTCAAATTATAATACCTACTGCCTTCCCAAATCTTCATCAACCTTCTCCCCCTTCCTGTGGACTCTACCCTGAAAACTCCCCCAAGAGTCACAGTGATAATGATGAATACTTAGGCAGCAGCTACCCCTGTCTGTAGGGCTATTTCTGCCTAATCTCAGAGTAGTTAGATGTTGCAAATGAGTATGTAAACCCCATGTGCTATTACTTTATATTTTTATAAAGTATATATATTTATAAAGTACTATTACTTTATTATTTCACTTATAGTGATAAAGAAACAGAGGCCTTGCAAGTTTAGTTAACTTGACCAATATCACATAGCTAATTTGTGGTAGAGCTAGGTCAAAATTCACATCTCCTGTCTTTTATAGAGTTGGCTGACTTCAAGCACTTGGCATATTTACTTTCTTTGTTCTTTTCCCTCCTGGTTTTAGAAAAGGTGATTTAGAAAATAGAGGTTTTGGACTCTTCAAAGTGATATTGGCATTTCCAGTGTTCGATGTCAACATAATGGTTCTTGGAGACATAGTTCTCTGAAAATCTCTGATCCTTGCAGATGGGCACCCATGTGTCCATCTCAATTTGCTTTGCAGCATGCTGTGAACCACATGAAAGTGGCCTACATGCCACCCATGCAAGATATAGGCCTCCATCCAGGACATGTCCAGTTTGCCTTTTCCATCAGTAACCAACATGGTGGCACTTTGCACGGGATCTGCTTTAACATCACAGTTCTTCCAGTGGACAATCAAGTTCCCGAGGTATGTATGATGTTTGATATTAAAGGTGACAAGGCTGGAAGATCTCAGGAAAGAAAGGGAAGACTTGAAGACTTACTAAAAATGCTAACTTTCCTTTAGGCTATTTTCCAGAACTTTTTAATTTTTCAGCTACGGTGTAGGAAAAAAAGCTTGGGGAGGGGAGTCTTTCACCTCTCATGGGACTTTCTGTCTGAAAGGTGAGATTTTCCAGTTGCTGAGTTTGGCATTATTTTCAAAGCTTTATCATAACCTCTTTCATTTCCTTTCCTTTCTGCTAAGTCTCACATGCTGATCAGGGGAAGGGGATTAAGTTATGGGTCTCTTAGCAACCGGAAGGACTTATTTGATCTCATTGCAGGCCAACTCTAAGCTTGCTAATCTAAATAAGGTTTTTAATTTTTCAAATGAGTGAAGATGGGTTCTTCTATCCTCATCCCAGCCCTAGTGTTGGTATAAGCGGTCAAGCTGCTGGGCCTCTTATTAAAACTGAACTGCAAAGGTGATGCTACCTTGTCTACATCTTATATGTAAGGCTGGACTTCATAGTGAAAGTTTGATCCAAACTCCATCAGGGGGTCAGACTTAACTCGTGTGGCTATTTCTGGGCTCATTTTACCCTCATAAGTGGAAAGACAAGGTAGGATTACCTATTCATCAGGACCCAGAGGGATGAGAACCCATACTTCTCTCACCCCTAAGGAAAGAGATCACCTTCCAGGCACCTGCTTGGAGGACAGTCAGGAGCCCTGAGGCTCCCTTTCCTGCTTCCTCCTCCACATTTCTACATCTGCCCAAAGTTGGAGGGCAGAGATCTCACTGTGAGGGACCAAGTGGCTTACCCAACCCACAGAGCTATTCTGATAGAGCCAAACAAGACTTTTAATTAGTGAGTTGTCAACATTCACACATTTCGTATCAAGTCTGGCTTTCTGACTTCTCTTGAAAATTTGGGAACTCTAGGAAGAGTAAACTCACTTACTTACCCTGAGCAGCAGTTGCCTCGACTTGCTCTCCAGTTTCCAGAGGCCCCACCACACTCAGCACACTCATTTACATTGCTGGCCCCCTCAGGCCTCTGAACTTGCCATTTTTGGCAGAAGATGTGCCAAAAAGCTCACGAAAAAGACCAAAGAATCCGAACTATATTCTTTGATTCCTTCCCTGTCAGGGACCAGATCACATTCCCCGTGGAAGAAATAGTTTAGAATGTCTGTTAATTTGATTAGATCTTATTCATACCATCCTTTTCCACGTATGAGATACACACACTGAACTAGGCCAGCATCTTAAGAAGTCAAAGCATTTTCTAAAACAGTCACAGAGATAAGTAGTGTTTTAAGCAAAGCAATCCAAACTTCTTGCTAGAGAAGAATGATCTGTGGAGAAAACTAGAAACATTCAAGTGAATAGTTACCTCCCTCGTTTGAAGGTAGACTGAGTAGCTATGAGGACTCAGGGCTAACGTGGCATAGCGCCTTCTTTTTCCTATAGTGCATGGGACAAAAGAAATCATGCCTTAGAAAACTGAGACCATTAGAAATAAAATCAAATGAGTAGCTTCAGTGAAACCAGTCACAAGAGTGGTTTCCTGGCATAAAATACCCACAGATAGCTGAGTTGAGTGATAAACACTAGGTGATTTTAATATCATGCTACTGGGAAGGCCCAAAACCTAAGGTTTGGGCAGAGACTGAACAGTTAGTGGTGAATGAGTTGGGGAAAATTAGCCTTATGCTTTTATTTTTTGAAAGTTGCCCTAAAATACATACATATTTTGAAAACCATAGAGTACAGCGGAGCATATCTCTTGAAACATTAGCATCTCGGGGTACTAATTTATGCAAATTTGGAATCAATGAGGTTGGCAGATGTGGACTTTGTCTCAAAAATAATGCTCCTCTTTTAATAAAAGGAGTATTCTTTCTTTCTCCTACAAACAGTAAAAGTGTAGGAGTAAGCCATGTGGGAAGGATGGGGGCGAGAGTCATTGTAGGGAGAGAAGTCCCTTGTATTGTGTTTTCCTTTCTAGTAGAGGTAGCTTATTAAAGAATAGAAGGCAACTGTCTCAGGGTGGTTGGTCTCATAATTTCCATGACCCAGGGGGCTGCCTTGGGGCAGCTGTGCCCTTGTGGGCAGGAGGTTAGAGGAGGACTCTGAGTGAAGGCTGTGACTTGTCCTTGCTCACTTCTTTTTCCTCTGCCCATCTCCATGCCCCCCAAACCCCCATCCCCACCCCCTCCAACCACTCTCTTTACCAACTTTTTCCTCAGGAACATTCTGCCTTCTGGGAGCGGCAGCTGGTCTGAAGAGAGCAGCTTCTTTCTTGAAGAATGCTGTATCCTCACATGGGTGGGGCACTCACCTCAGACCTTTAGAGCCCATGATTGGTACCCCAACTCTATCTGCTTGCTTTTACTTCTGTGTAGTAATATAAATTTAGGAGAATGATAGGCTAAACAAAGTTCACCAATGTTTCTACTGTAGGATCTCAGAATGTTGGGTATGCTTACATGCCTTATAAATCTCCAAGGTGAAGATACTGTACATGACTCTTCTCAAGCCTTATTTGACCATAGAACACTTCTTGCCAAGTCGCAATGTAATGATAAAATATCCCAACCCCTCTGACTTGCTTTTTACTTTCAAATGAATTGTTGGTTGAGTAGTGGATTTTTCTGTCATCAGAAGTTATCTTTATGGTTTTATTATTTGTCTGATGTTTGAATAAATGTATTTCTCATGGAATCTTCAATCTCCAATCTTCAGTTTCCCAGGTCTACTTCTATCTTGAAAATACTCATTACATTTGACACTTAAAAGCTCCAACCAATTTCTCAAATATTTAAGAATTTTTAGGGTAAAAGGAAGAGATGGATTCTGTCCTCTAGGGGAATTTGATATAAGTGTTGTTTGTTGTCTAGATGAAGATATATATATATATATATATATATATATATATATATATATATATATCTCCAGCAATGGGGGGTGTGGACATGGTGATGGACATTACTATTTCCTCTATTTAGTGCCACTGATAGTAACCAGTTTGGTTGCTGCTTCCATTATAACGGGGTCTGAGGTAAATGAAATGTAGATACTTTCAAGGTTACAAATCCACCTTGCTTCTTTGTATACCTCAGTGCTTAGAATTGGAAATGTTTAGTAAAAATTTTTTCAGCCAAGATGTTCAGCTATGAACTTGTCCCCTTTACCACATCCTTGAAAAATTAATTGACATGTGAAGGTGGTACTAGATGTTTTCCATTTATTTAATGAGCTCAGTCTTCAGGGAAAGCTCATGGAATGTTTTCTTCCTTCTTTTTAGGTGTTTACCAACTCCCTGAGAGTGACTGAGGGAGGTCAGTGTATCATCAACACAGAGAATGTTCTGGTTTCTGATGTGGATACCAAACTGGACAATGTCTATCTCTCCCTGCAAAGACCGCCTCAGTGTGGAAGTGTGGAGCTGGATGGATTTCCTCTAAACACAGGAGACACATTTTCTTGGGGAGACCTCCATGCCTTAAAAGTTAGGTTAGAACAATTCCTGGATCTCTTTTTTGATATGCTTTGGCCTTCATCTGGATGAGTTGTGAGGCAGAGTAAAAGAAAGAAGTTTGTTCGATTTTTTCAGGGTTACCAGCAAGCCAATTAATACTTCAAGGGTCAGTTGAAAATTAGAAATGATAAACTTTCAATTTCCCTCCAGACATTTTCTTTCCATCTGTCTAGCTTGTACCAGTGGAAATGATTTTTTGGATATTTGAACAACAGAAATTAATTACCATGAATGTTAAATTTGCTTCAACTGTACATATCACAAGAGGTAGTAGCCAAACTAGATGAATATAGACTGAAATAATCTATATGGCTAATCTATATAGTTGAACTTGGCTTTAAGGACAGTCAGTTTCACTACTGTGGAAACTGGGAATAAATTCTGTTGATCAGTATACTTAGGGTTAATTTCTATTTCATTGTACTGGGAGGGGACTTGCAGGCAAATGTGAAGGGTAGGCTGGGGAGGTACTTGGGTTTCTGACAGAGAGAGAGAGCAATTTATTTGTCAAGGTCCTACAGCCGTTCCCCTCACCTTGAGGTCTTTCACTTTCTTGCTACTGTAGTTCTCTAAGAAACTTTCCTACAGAATTTAGTAACATGCCTTCTCTGTAAAACAATGCAAGATACTCAAAAGCAACGATCAGGTAAACAGATATACTAGTTGACTTTTCATTTATAGGTTCAAATTGTAAATGGGAATTTTGACCTCTCAGAAGGTATTAGGCATCAAATGCTTAATTCCACACTTGGAAGTTGACTAGGAGCTCAAATTTGTGCATAAGAACATCAATTTCATCTGAAATTTAGTTTGGTTACATTATTTATTCATGATCTCTAATATATTGACCTCTTTTCACTACTCATCTTATCCTCATTAAAATTTCCCTTTTTTAGAGATCTCAGCTCTTAGCTACATGTTAGAATAAGAGCTCTGTTTAGGTAATTCTTAGTAGGGAGCGAGCGATGGCTAGAAAAGTACTATTATCTGCCAGCACATATAATTCAAGGACTTGCAGTTGTGTTTTTCTTCCCCCATTTAATCTTTACAGTAATCAAGCCTGACAAGGTCGATGGTTGTATTCTCATATTATGTGTTATAAATTATATTATAGTTGAAGAAACTAGGAGGTTAAGTCACTCAGTTAGTATATGGAAGAGTCTGGTTTTGGAAATTCTGTTTGATTCCTTAGCCATGCCTTTGGATGTATACTCCTAGATCTGCTTGGCTCTTTTAGGGGTATTAGTATGGTAAGATAGGACTAGTACATTATCACATATCTATTTTTTATGAAAATATCAAGGAGCATAAGAGGCAGTGTGTGGGAGGGATACTGGGGTGGGAGTGGACTTTCTTCACCATTGGAAAGGAATCCCAAACCTGAGTCCCTACCCAGTGTATGCGTAAGACTAGTTCTGAGTAAAATATCTTTTAACCCTGGGATTTTTTTCATATCTAAGTGTTTCATATGCGGCACCTGGGTGGCTCAGTGGGTTAAAGCCCCTGCCTTCAGCTCTGGTCATGATCCCAGGGTCCTGGGATCAAGCCCCACATCGGGCTCTCTGCTCAGCGGGGAGCCTGCTTCCTCCTCTCTCTCTCTCTGCCTGCCTCTCTGCCTACTTGTGATCTCTGTCTGTCAAATAAATAAATAAAATCTTAAAAAAAAGGAGCTCTAAGTGTTTTATATGATTGATATACGATTTTTTTAGATTTATTTATTTGAGAGAGAGAGAGAGAGCATGTGCATGTGAAAGAGGGGAGGGGCAGAGGGAGAGAGAGAGAGAGAGAGAGAGAATCTCAAGCAGACTCCCTGCTGAGTGTAAGCCCAAATCAGGGCTCCATCCCAGGACCCTGAGATCATGACCAGAGCCAAAACCAAGAGTTAGATGCTCAACCAATTGAGCCACCCAGGTACTCCTCAATATTATTTTTATGTAACTTTTAATTTTATTTCCTAGGGCTTATTTCTTATTTTGAACAAATCATTGATGAGCTAAAAATTCGGCTCAATTCAACCACTGTTTAGAACTTACCATGTATCACTACAGTGGTTGGAGAGTAGATGGAAAGTTTTGAATTAGACAATTCTGTTATAAAACTTGACTGGAAATTAAAGAAAAGTAGGGCCAAAGCTAACTCAAGGAAAAATATTTTGAAGTCTGGAGGGATTCAAAAATCTTTATAGGTTGAGTGGAAGAGAGCTAGTAAATAGAAAAGAGAAAATGGCAGAAGAGAGGCAATAAATAATTCGTAGATCAGAGTTTTATAGAAGAACTGAATAGATCGAAAGTACAGGCAGAAGGATCATGCTTAAAAATGGGGGAGGAGGGGCCTCATCAAGATTCACAGTGTCCCTCTTTTACCTACTGTCTCAGTAACTCCCCAGCCCCAGCCTTATTTTATGTAAGTAAGCAAAACTACACCAACTGGTTCCCATTGCCATGGTGGCAACTTGAAGGGCTAATTTTGGTTTGGCAGACATACCATGAATCCATATAACACATTTTTCCGGGTGGAGCAAATTTTTATATTCAGGGACACTTGAGTAGTTCAGTATGTGACTTCGTGATTATGTTATGTTTTTTGTTATTCGTTTATTGGCCATGTGGCCAAAGCCATGGAAGAGCTTTTGTGTCAGGCATTTCCACTGTCACAGTGGCCTTGAGGGGTTAGTGGCAAATATCATCCCCACAGGTATCAGCATGATGGCTCTGAGAGACTTCAGGATGACATATTCTTGGAGGTCACAGATGGCACGAGTTCAGCAGAATTTGTACTACATGTTGAGGTAGGTAGAAAGTTTCCTTCCTCATTCATATAGAAATAAAGCATCTGGTCTGGAAGCTCCCCCCCCTCTTTTTTTTAAGAATGAGAGAGAGGGGGGGAGAGAGAGCATGTAAGTTGGGTGGGGACGGGCAGAGGGACATAGAGAGATTCCACTCTCGGTCCAGAGCCTGATGCAGGCCTTGATCCCACAACCCTGAGATCATGACCAGAACCAAAATCAAGAGTCAGATGCCCAACCAGCTGAGCCAGCCAGGCCCCTGCTTTGGAAGTCTCATTAGAATTCCTTATAGAACTTGAAACTTGTGGACTCCAAACAAGAGCATACCTGCTTATGTCTGAACGTCTCAGGACAGGCGGTAGACAGCAAACTTATATTGGTGAAATGGGCATGCTGCCTTCTCCTTCTAATCCATTTAAAGATTAAGCCACTTGGACCTCAAACCCAGATACTTAACTTAAAAACCAGTGTTTTTAATGGTTTTTAAATGTGTGTATATACACACATTTAATGGTGTGTGTATAAATGGATTCTGATATTTCTGAGCCATAACACTCCAAAATATTTATTTGGCAGCAACCATCACTGGGCTTTTCCCTCTTGTGCAGAAGAAGCCATGTCTTTATGTGTGTGGTGCCCCTTTATGAATTCCTGTTCTATATACTCCTTTCTGAGATCTGTTTGAAATGATGATTTTCCCCCTTTGGACAAATGATGAAAAAATCTGCACATCAAGGTTGATGGGAACCCCTGAGTTTCTCTGTTGTGTGAACACTTAAGTCTGTAAACAAAACTCATAGGATTTACAGGTATTTATACTTAGTGACAAAAGAAGGTCTGCAGAAAGAATTATCATGTCCCTCTTACTGTTATTTACCAAATTCTATTTCTGTTTGAATTTTGTCAGATCTCTGTGATGTGAAATTTTAATTAGTGGTGATAATGTGTTTGAATGATATTTTTATGGTTAATAATTAATTAAGAATAATCATATCCATCTAGTATTTTTAAGAAGTAGAAGGAATTATTTCCAGCACAGGGCAGTAGAAGGGGAAGGAATTATCTCCATTTTACAGGCAAGAAAACTTAGGTTCAAGAAGTTTCCATGACTTGCCCCAAATCATTCATTTGTGTGTGCACAGTCTGTTTATTGTTACCTTTTAGGCAAAAGGGCATTGGCTTTGGAAGTCAATCAGAAGTACAGGTTATTTTTGGACAATTATGTGTGATTGTTTTCTCCCCTGGAAGAATGTTTTAAATATATTTGCCTTTGGGCTTCATTAACTATTTGAAACCTGAGGCTATTTTGTATTTTGTAAGGTGGTCATCATGGATATATTGGTGACCTTCATCAGATAGAGTCAAGAACAGTAACAAAGAGCGTCTTTAATGAATCCACTCAGAGGACATGAACAAAGATACTGTTTCCTAATAAGCCAATAGAAAATAGAATAGAGTATTGCATATTTTTTTTACCTTTGATTAAATAAGTAAATCTGAGTTTCTACTACCCCATTCCACTACCCTTTAAAGGAAGATATGAAAATAATCTCATGTATATTTGTTGTAGAGTTGTTAGCCTGTTTAAATAGCAGGATGTGCAGATCATACATACATATTTACCTTTCTTCATTTACTTACTCCATAAATATTGAATAGGTGCCTTCTGTAGCCCAGCTCCTGTGCTAGATGCTTGGGATATGATGATGAACATGACAAAGAAAGTCTCTGTTCTGTTAGAGATGATGGTCAGGGGATGATGGCAGACATTAAACAGATTATCGCTGAAATGATTGATTAGTTAAAATGCTGTGTTCTGCGAATAAATGGAGTGCTAAAAAAGAGTAAATGGTAGAAGTCCCTAAGTGAGTCTGAGTCGTCAAAGAAGTTTTCCATGAAGAATCCACATGTAATCTGAGCCAAGAGCTGAGGCTGAACCTACCGAGCCACAGGACAGAGAGAGTGTGCAGAGATGGTGCAAAGACTGGAGATGGGGGGAGCTCAGGGTCTTCTGGTGAAAAGGCAGTGGGGTGGCAGAGGCACTCTATTGCGTGAAATGAGGCCTAAAACATTCTTGGAGTAGTGTTGGGAAGCAGCTGAAGGCCCCCATAAGGCCGGGGCTCGAAGAAAGCCATGTTTTATTTATTTATTTATGTATTTAATTTTTATTTTTAAAGATTTTATTGATTTATTTGACAGGGAAAGACAGGGAGAGAGGGAACACAAGCAGGGGGAATGGGAAAGGGAGAAGCAGCAGTTTTCCCGCAGAGCAGGGAACCCGATGCAGGGCTTGATCCCAGAACCCTGGGATCATGACCTGAGCCGAAGACAGCCACCCAACTGACTGAGCCACCCGGGCACCCTGAAAGCCACATTTTAAAAGGTGAAAAATTTACATGATCTGAAGAGAAACCAGAGTTATAAAAGCCACATTTTAAAATGATCCCCATGGTTGAAGCAAGGGGGCAGGAAATGCGGGGTTGAGAGTCTCTGCAGGCCAGACTTGATAACTAAGTGAGTAGCACACGCGCCATGTTGAGACTGTGAACTCAGAGACAGGATGGCCTTTATTCCGATTTAAAAGACTTGCCTTTTTTTTTTTTTTTAAGATTTTATTTATTTATTCGACAGACAGAGATCACAAGTAGGCAGAGAAGCAGGCAGAGAGAGGGAGAACCCAGGCTCCCTGCGGAGCAGAGAGCCCGATGCGGGACTCGATCCCAGGACCCTGAGATCATGACCTGAGCCGAAGGCAGAGGCTTAACCCACTGAGCCACCCAGGCGCCCAAGACTTGCCTTTTTGAGGCGCCTGGGTGGCTCAGTTGGTTCAGCCGCCCACTCTTGATTTCATCTCAGGTCATGATCTCAGGGTCATGAGATCAAGCCCTGAGTGGGGCTGTGTGCTCAGTGCGGAGTCTGCTTGTGATTCCCTCTCCCTCTGTCCCATTTCCCTGCTTGCGCACGTACTCTCTCTCTGTCTCTCAAATAAATAAATAAATAAATAAATAAATAAATGTATGTTTTTTTAAAAATTAAAAAACAGTAACAGACTTGCCTTTTCAACTGTCTGTATCATCCTGTTGGATTCAGAGAGCCAGAGCGGACCCATATTACTCTTCTTTTCCTTTCTACTTTAGAGCTTTATTTTCAGGACAATAAGAGAAAAATGTTTTGTCGAGGTGAAGCCTGGGATTGATTTAATGGTTATGCAGTTCTAAGTTAGCTCAAAATCTTTGAAATAAGCTGCTGCTTATTGTAAGTTTGGAGAAACTTCCTGGGTGGCAAGAAGTTGAGGGTAGACCAAAGCTTTGTAATCACCAAATAATTTGAAATATAAATAACTCTGATGTGGTAAATGTAAATGCATCAGACCACAAGGACCAGATTTCCTCTGGAATATGTGTGAATTTAATGAAGGAGGTTAGGGACTTTAGCAAAGACTGCTTTGCATTACATTTATATTTTGTCTCTCTAGAAATGAATGAGAGCTCTGAGTCCCAAACCATAACCATACCCTTCCATTCCTACCTCAAATGTGTCTCACGTTGGCCATTTCTTACAAGATGGTTCATATGGGGAAAAGATATAGCCTGCTTGGCCAGATTCCATGACTATTGTTTCTTGTGTCTGGAAGATCGAAAATGCCTGTCATTCCGGCTGAGCTATGGTTTACCAGCTGGGCAATTTGTCATTGTTCTCTTTTATCTCGAACACATGCATTTTTTCCCCTAGGTATTCCCTGTAAATGATGAGCCACCAATCCTAAAGGCTGACCTCAACCCCATGATGCATTGCTCGGAGGGTGAAGAGGTGGTCATCACCTCAGAATACATTTTTGCTACTGATGTGGACAGTGATGACTTGAAGCTGATGTTTGTCATTGCTCGAGAGCCTCAGCATGGGGTGGTGAGGAAAGCTGGAGTCACAGTGGATCAGTTCTCTCAGGAAGATGTCATCTCAGGGGCCGTGACATACAAACACACGGGTGAGTGACCACATGGCGACTGGCGCGCGTGAACGGACGCAAGCCCCACCACAGAGTCGTAACTCATAACCCCACTTCTTGCTGTGGGTTTGATAATCTAACAATCTTAATGCTTGCTTCCATTAAAAAAGAAGCAAGTATAATCTTTTTGTAAGTATAATCACCGTATTTGTAAGTATAATCACCATATTTAGTATTTGTAAGTATAATCACCATATTTAGAAGGATTTCTGATCTCCATAATATGAATTTCAGAGTGGAGAAGGAACACGTATTCTTGCTGCTTTGTTCCCGAAGCTTCCACTTTAATTCACCCCAGGTTATCTGCATTCCCTTTTTGGTCAATTTGAAGAAGACTTTATTTGACCATCACAGTTTGGGATCCATAAGTCATAGCAGAAATGCATGGACTAAGCACTCTAAGATAATTATAATTATGCTTTTAAGGGGTATCTGGCTGGCTCAGTTGGTAGAGCATGCAACTCTTGATCTTGGGGTCAGGAGTTGGAGCCCCATGTTGGGCATACGGATGACTTAATAAAAATTTTAAAAAGAAGTCTACTCTAGATCACCAGCTAGCTCCTAAGAAGTAACTTGTCTGTCTTTTGAGTTCCTGAAAAGCAAAGGTGATATCTTACGTTTTGTGTAGTGCCCATGTCAATAGACACCAGGGGACGACAGATAATGATACAGTAAAGGCTTGTTTATTAGCATCGTTCTTTCATTTCTGGCATTCTGTTATATTGTTACCCAGAAGGCATTTGCTCCCCATGTAAAATGTTCGAATAAAGAAAATATTAATTCAACATCTGTTATCTGCAAGAGAGAGTACTGGGCATTAATGGGCTGCAAAGGAGTATACTCCAGAGTCAGCTGTGAAGGACTTTTAAAGTGGGTAGACAGACCCACTCATGTGCAAAGGAAACAGTGTCCCATAATCAGTACCTCATCAATCACTGCCCCTTGCACTTCTTCTGATCTCTAGTTTGAGTGCCCTTCCTCGGTAATAATACTATATACTTCCTGTCACTCCCTTTTATTGCTGCTTGATTACAATCTCAGGTGTCTTCATCCATATGCCGCTCTCATGTGTAGATTCCACAGGAAGTGGGGTGGGCTACAGAAGGTCAGGTGAGGGTGAAGGGAGTAAGAGGTATCAGAATTCCAATCACTTTCTTATTTGAAAACACCTGGAGAATACAAGCAGTGAGTGGGAGAGGAAACCCGGGATGGGGGGGTGGGTAGAGATAGAAAAGGAGGAATTTGGAAATGGGGGGAGATATTGTGAAATGGTATTTTTATAGGTACTTTGGAAAATAATTTATTAGGATGCCCATTGTTTAATGGTTAATTACTTAGGAGGGCACATTTTAATCACTAAGCCACACATCTTTTTTTTATTTTTTAAATGGTATCTTTTTTTTTTTTTAATGGTATTTTAATGGTATCTCCTTATCTTCTTAAGTGTATTTAGTCTTAGGAAGGGTTTCACTGCTTATTTTCCTGGCTTGGGGAGCAGAGTCCAGCTGCTTGATGTCTCTTGAGGGTCCACAGCAAATCGCTTCATTTTGATTTCCCCAGTAGATCTCAGACTAGCAGAAAAGGGACCAAAAACCAACCACTGTTGGTCTGTGGGTTTTTACATAATTTTAACACCTGTGGCAGACTAAAGCAACATAGAAACATTAGGGGTGAGATGAATCTGTCTTCTCTGCCAGTGCCTTGTTCCAAGTGCTAACCAACAGGTGTATGTCTTTATCATCCTTTTGGTGTGATGGCCATGTAAGGACATATGAACTCATTTTTTTTTTTTCCATGAGACCTAGTAGGACGTGAGGCAAATCATTTCAGACAGATGGGTATTTTATTGTTGCTGTGTTACTAAATTAGCAGAAATACTGCCAATTTGAAAGGTGGTTTGTTATTTGAATGATATGTTTCCTTACAACATTCTCCCAATGACTCAATTGGTAGTGCTTTAGTGCTATGCAGGAGAGAGTGTGAAGAACCACAGATCTACAGGGCCTGAAGTTTCGATGGCTCTGCTCTTGCCTCTGTATGTGGATTATAAAGCACACCTGGGGGGTGATTTTTTCACCATTATTTTAGTTGCTTTCCATGATGATAAAAATAATACCACATGCCCATTTAAAAAAAAACTTTCAAAGTGTAGAAAAGCATAATGAAATTTCAAAAAATCACTTATTTACCTCTCAAAAATGGTCACTGTTAACACTTCAATATTACAGTACTTTTTCTTCCTTCTTTAAAAAAAAGATTTATTTATTTATTTATTTATTTGAGAGAGAGAGAGGGTAAGGGGGAGAGAGAGGGAGAACACATGCGGGGTGGGGTTGGAGAGAAAAGGGAGAGGAACAAGCAGACTCCCTGCTGAGTAGGGAGCCCGACATGGGGCTCGATCCCAGCATGGGGCTTGATCCCAGGACTCTGGGATCATGACCTGAGCGGAAGGCAGATGCTTAACTGACTGAGCCACCCAGGCATCACTGTCTTCTTTCTTCTAATCATAATTTTTACATGGTTGCTGATCATGTTGTATGTGCAGTTTTGTTGGTTACTTTTTACATTGAGATTATCAGCTAAAACGTTGATTAAACAGTTATTCAATGTTACAAAGTTATCATAAATGTAAGTTTTAATAGTCAAATAGTATTTTATGATGCAAAATTACATTATCCACGTACTCTTCTCCAAACATTAAGCATAAAGTCATTCAAAAAAAAACTTTGTAAAATAACGCGGTGGTTAACAGTGTTAAGTGTAAATCATGTCCTGACACCATGCTCCATTCAAGAGAATTCTCCACCCGTGTTGTAGCCTTTTTTGTGACTAGATGCTCAGCCTGGCTTTCCAGCTTTTCTGTAAATGTATCCTGTGCTTTCATTATATTAAAACCACAGTTATGGGGGCGCCTGGGTGGCTCAGTGGGTTAAAGCCTCTGCCTTTGGCTCAGGTCATGATCCCAGGGTCCTGGGATCAAGCCCCACATTGGGCTTTCTGCTCAGCAGGGAGCCTGCTTCCCTTCCTCTCTCTTTCTGCCTGCCTCTCTGCCTACTTGTGATCTCTGTCAAATAAATAAAATCTTTTTTAAAAAAAATCACAGTTATGGAAGGTACTGTTTGCTTTTTTTTTTTTTTTTCTTTAAAAATGCTCCCTACTCTTCCTGGAATGATTTTTCCACTTGTCTTCTCGGCTCTCTGTCCCTGCAGGTCCACCTTCCTCCATCCCAATTCTCTGATTCATCTGCCTGGTAACTTACTCATCATTTAAAGCTCACTATAAAGCCAGCAGAGCCTTCTGGGAAGACTTCTCTTTCCCTGTCCCCATGCCCCTTTCTGCCAAAACTTTCATCTTTCTTCACCCTCAGCCCCTTGTACATATTCAGGCCGAGATATATGAGTTTTCCATTTAACTGGTAAAAAAAAAATGACTTAATGTTGGCAGTTTCATATGGTTCCTTTTAATACACACACCTGTGATAGTCTAAATTGCATTTCTTTCTCGACCATCAGATAGCGTCAGTGCCTGACACGTAACAGGTCTTTTGGCATTTGACATTCTTTTGAACTGTCTTTTGGTGCTTTCAAATGTCTGCCTGATTCTCTGCTGGAACACCCAGAAGACGAATTACCACATAGGAGGCATTAAATAATATATATTTACCATGAATGAGAAATAAATTCGTTTTATGTCAATTTATTTTTTATATATATGAATAAATGAGAGGCATCTTATTTGTTACTGCTTCTAACATTAAAGGCTTATTATTTAATTCTAATTCTCTCCATGCCAACTTTATTTTTTCTTATGAGCCCAGTTTTCTCATTCTCCAATCCTGTGGTGGCTCGGTGATACCATCTCTTGATTTTCCTTGTCATTAAGTAAGGTAGAATAATGCCAAGCGCAGTACTGTGTAGATTTGACCAATGTGTCTTGTGAAAAGAGATGACATCCCTGATCTTTTGTGCTCTTATCTCATCAAAACTCAAACAAAATTGCTTCCCTCGTGGCACTTTCAATGTGATGCATGAGAATTACCAGAAGCACGTCTGCAGAATTTTTGTGTCCTGTGGGTAGTGAATGCTTCTACCTCTGTGCTATTAGTGACCCAAGAGCAGATCGGCCGTTTTGCTGATAAACTCTCTCTAATCCTGACATTTGTTTTTTTTCCGACTTCCTCTCACTGCTTCATTTGGGGCCCTATGAAATCCCTACGCATAGCCCTAAAGAATAAGAGAAAAAAAAAATAAATACCACTTTTTCCCCATGTCCTGTTGCTATTTTGCTAACATCTTGGCTGTTATATAACAAGGAAAATATTGAAACAAATGACAAAAATGTTGTTCATCTTCCTAGTCTTTCTACTCTTCCTTCCCAGCTTCTTCTCCTAACTGCAGTGGTGTGGTGATGGTTGTCCATTTAAGGTAGTAAATGGGAAGACAATGCAGTTGGAAGGACAAGGGTGCCTTCTGCTCTCCCTGAGGTTGATCCTAACACTAAACAATTAGGAAGAACGAAACCATCACTAGGCGAGCTTGGTGCCTCTCCCTTGTTCATTTGTGAACAGTCAGACTCTTTTTAGCCCCTTTTGCCCCTCCATATGCCCAGAGATGGCTGTCAAGGATTTCACCAGAGGCAAGAGATAGGCAAGCATGTTTCTTTGTTATTTTCATGACGATTTCCTTTCCCAGCCATAAAACTGAGTATTCCGTGTTAGCCACCTGAGGCTCTTTTCTCACCACTCTTGCTTGTAGAAGAGGTGTGGGTGGATTTCATCTTAGTATTCTATATTTTTAAAGAAAGTCAGGTTTCAGCTGTAGTTGTGTCTTGCAGGTGGTGAGATTGGCCTGATGCCTTGTTTGGATACCATTACGTTGGTGGTTTCGGATGGAGAAGCCGGCCCTTTTGTGAATGGCTGTTGCTACAATGGGCCTCATCCATCTGTTCGTCCTCATGAGTCCTTCCCGGTGTATGACCTCAATATCACGGTGCAGCCAGTGGACAACCAATCACCTTCAATTGCAATAGGTGACAATGTTTTTTTCTATCAACGTTCCATCATTTCATCTCGTATCATGCCTGTGGTTTAGTGAAGTAGTGCACTTGACTAATAGTTAAAATGGAAAACTATCACGCAGAATTGCCTGCGAGAATTGCCTCTGCACAATTTCTAGAAAACTCCATATCTATAAAAGATAACAAGGCAAAAGAATTTATTTGTTTAAATATGTGCATAATTCTGTGTGGAGAGAGAATGCGAGTGTGTTTGCATGTGAGTGAGCATGTGTTGGGATGAGGACAACATTTGGAATCCTCGAATATTCTGGTTTTATTTCACGTGGGAAAATATCATTTGCCTGCTGGGGAGAGAGTAATTTATTTTAGCCATAATAATTTCTATTAGAGCAGAATGAAAATACCAGAGAGGCCATTTATATACATTTAACCTTATTTGCTTTTTAGAAAGTCATCGCTTCTTAGGCATTATGTATATGTTCTGTCTCTTAGAAAAAAAAATACAAGCATATGTATGGATGTTATTGTAATTTGCAAGCTATCTCCCAAGCAATGTTCTGGAAAGGAAGCATTATCCCTGCAGAATAATTAAGCACCAAGGCATGAAAAAATGTTCGTTATGAGCAATTCATAATAGCTCGCAGGCAATTAACGCTCTGACAAACAGAGGTAGCAACTGATCTTGAAGAGTACATAAACTACATTTAGTGGCTTATCATTAAAATGGTTTGGCAATTCTTATTTTCATTTGTCACTTCTATAGAGGCACAAGGGAAATCAGAGTTCCTTGAGAATGACTAAAGGGCTGTCCTAGAGCGTTTAGTATTTCTGCTGTCTTTCCATTATTGTCTGGCTTGCTTGTACAAGAAAAAAAATATAATTCCACAAGTCAAATTAAATTCCACCCATTACCCCTGAATATTTTCACTGTAAGGAAAAATTATGCCAAAGGAAATGAACATCTCCCATGGAAGTATATTTGCATATGGGAGGCTTCTCTGAATTGGAATTGCAATCACTCCCTTTTGTTTTCACTATTCTGATTAGAGGATTTCATGCTAAATTGTAATTGCGTTGTTATTTGCATGCAGGTACCATGTTCGTGGTAGATGAGGGTTTCTCTGCAGCCCTTACCATTAACCATTTGTCTGCCACTGACCCTGACACTGCAGGAGACGACTTGGAATTTGTTTTGGTTTCTTCTCCCCAGTTTGGCTACCTTGAGAACACACTTCCTTCTGCAGGTTTTGAAAAAAGCAACATGGGTGTAAGCATAGGTAAGTCATGGCTTAGTGACCGGTGATAACTCGCCTATGTCTACGTTTCTGACTGGCTAGATCATGCTTAATGACTGCGTAGGAACTTCAGAAATGTTCAGAGCACTATGTACACTCAAGGAGTTGTTATTATAGTGGGTACTTTTGAATCTTGCTGTTTTTCATTTTAATTTTCTATCTTGAAGTGCCCCACATATGGGAGTTTACTTCAAATAAAATGGAATTTCACTTATGAAACCTATAAGAATAAGTAGGGAAGAAAGAACATTTTAAAAGACCTTCAGAGCAACACAGAATACTGTGATAGAATAAGTCTGGTGGGAGCTTATAGGTCTCCTCTCAATCTTTTAGCACTTTTACTAGACATTGGCAGAAAAGATTAGGATATGTATCAGGGGTATAACAGAAAGAGAGCCTGAAATGTTGAAGGTGATGACTTTAATTTTGGAACCAAATTGTATCTCAGATATTTAAATAGCTCTTGTATTTCAGGCAAAAACAACTAAAATAAAAATTATTCAAATACACTTTTTTTATTTAATAAAATAAAAATTATTCAAATACACTTTATTTATTTATCCAAGGATAACACCTTAGAAATAAATGAACTAAATGATTCTTTAAAAACTTTTTGGGGCATATCCAGGTTAACTATGAGAAAGGCTGGGTTTAAGATTAGTTGTATTAATAGAGTGACTGATTGAATATAAAGAAAAACAAAACAAAAACAACTATTTGGTGCCTATGAGAGACTAACTTCAGGTTCAGGGACACACATAGGCTCAAAAATGAAGGAATGGGAAAAAAAATATTCCATACAAATTGAAATCAAAAGAGAGAAAGTGTCCTTATAACAGATAAAATAGACTTTAAGTCAAAACTGTAACAAGAGACAAAGAGGATCACTGTAAAATGACAAGGGAGTCAATTCCTCAAGAGAATATGACAGTTGTAAACTTACATGCATACAACATTGGAACACCTTAAAATATTAAGCATGTGCTAACAGATCTGAAGGAAGTAATGACAACAATGCAATAATAGTAGGGGACTTCAGTACTCCACTTTCAACAGTGGGTAGATCATCTGCCGGAAAATCAACAAGGAAATAGTGGACTTAAACTGTATATTAAACCAAAGGAACCCAGTAGACATATACATTACATTCCATCCAACAAATGCAGAATCCACATTTTTCTCAAACATATGTGGGACATTCTCCAGGATAGATCATATGATCTGTCACAAAATAAGTCTTAGCAAATTTTAAAAGAACAAAGTCATACCAAGTATCTTTTTAACCACAATGGTATGAAATTAAAATCAATAATGGAGAAAAAGTAGAAAATTCACAAGTATGTGTAAATGAAGATACTCCTGAACAACCAGTGAGTCAAAGATGAAATTTAAAAAAAAATCCTGAGTTCTTATCACAAGGGAAAATTTTGTTTCTTTTTTTCCTTTTTTAATCACATCTATAAGAGAAGATGGATATTAGCTGAACCTGTTGTAATCATTTCACCATATATGTAAATCAGACCCTCATGCTCTACACCTTAAATTTACACAGTGATGTATGTCAATTATGTCTTAATAAAACTGGAAAAAGGAAAGAAGATCTCGAAACATAAATGGAAACACAACATACCAAAATATTAGATGCAGCAAAAGAAGTGCTAAGAGGGAAAGTTATAGTAATAATTGCTTCCATTAAAAAAACAAAAAACAAAAAACAAAAAACCTCAAATAAACAGCCTAACTTTATAACTCAAGGAACTAGAAAAATAAGAACAAAATAAACCTAAAGTTAGCAGAAAGGAGAAAAGATCACGGTAAAAATAAATGAAGTAGAGATTAGAAGAACAATAGAAAAGATTAATGAAACTAGGACATGATCTTTCAAAAGGATAAATGAAATTGGCAAACCTTCACCTATCCTTACCATGTAAAAGAGAGGACTTAAATAAATAAAACTTGAAATGAAAGAAGAGATATTACAACTGATGTCACAGATATACAGAGGATCATAAGAGACTATTATGAACAATTATGCATCAACAAATTAGACAATCTTAAAGAAATGGATAAATTCCTAGAAGCATACAACCTACCAACTACCAAGTCTGAGTTGTGAACTAAAAACCCTGAATAGACCAATAACGAGTAAGGAGATTTAATCAGTAACCAAAAACCTCTAAGCAAGAAAAGCCCAGGACCAGATGTCTTTACTGGTTCTATTGAATTTTTAAAGAAGAGTTAACACCATATTTAAGCTCTTGCAAAAAAAATCAAATAGGAGGAAAAACTCCCAAACTCATTTTTAACACCAGAATTACCCTGATACCAAAGCCGGGTAAGGATACTATAAAAAGAAACCACAGACCAACATCCCTGAAGACTATAGATGCAAAAATTCCCTACAAAATATTAACAAACTGAATTCAGTAGCACGTTAAAAAAAATCATACACATGATTAAGAGGAAATTATACCTGGGATACAAGGGTGGTCAACATGAGCAAATCAATAAATGTGATTCACTATTGATAGAAAGGACAAAAATTCTATGATCATCTCTATCGATACTAAAAAAGCATTTGTAAAATTCAACAGTGTTTTATAATAAAAACTGTCAACAAATTTGGTATAGAAGGAATATACTGCAACATAATAAAAGGCATAAAGGACAAAATCACAGCTAGCATCCTACTCAATAGTGAATGGTTAAAAACTTACTCTCCAAGATGAGGACCAAAACAAGTATGCCCACTCTTACCATTCCTATTCAACATAATACTGAAAATCCCAGCCAGAGTAATTAGGCAAGAAAAAGAAATAAAAGGCATCAAAATAAATGGAAGAAGTAAAATTGGCTCTGTTTATAGATGATATTATATGTAAAAATTTTTTAAAGAAGTAAAAAATTTTTAAAGATTTCACCAAAAAACTGTAGAACAGGTCAGCAAATTAAGTAGTTTTAGGATACAAAATCAACATAAAAAGATCAGTTGTATTTCTATACACCAACGATGAACTATCTGAAAAAGAAATAAAACAATTTCAATTACAATAACATAAAAAACAATAGAATACTTAGGAATAAGTTTAACCAAGGAAGTGAAAGATTTATACACCAAAAACTGTAAGACATAGAATTGATGTCTTGATGGAAGAACTTGAGAAAGACAGAAAAAATGGAAAGATATATCCATGAATTGAAAGTGTTAATGTTGTTAAAATGTCCATACTACCCAAAGCCGTTTATAGATTCAAGGCAATCACTATCAAAATTCAAACGACATTTTTCACAGGAATAGAAAAATCAATGCTAAAATTTCTGTGGAGCCACAAAAGGCCCTGAATTGCCAAAGCAATCCTGAGAAAGAACAAAGCTGGAGTCATCATGTTATCTGATTTCAAACTATATTACAAAGCTATACTAATCAAAACAGTATGGTGCTGGCTTAAAAATAGGCATGTAGGTCCATAGAACAGTACAGAGAGCTTAGAAGTAAATGCACTCATATATGGTCATTTAATTCATGACAGAAGAGCCAACAATATACAAATGGAAAAAGACAATAAATGGTGTTGGGAAAACTGGACAGCAGTATGCAAAAGAATGAAAATGGACCACTGCCTTACACCATGCTAAAAAAAAAATGAACTCAAAGTAAAGACTTGAATGTAAAACCCGAGATCATGAAACTCCTAGAAGAAAATGGAGGTGGTAAACCCCTTGACATTGGTCTTGGCAATGGTTTTTTGGATTTCACACCAAAAGCAACAAGTGCAAAAATCAACAAAGTAGGACTATATCAAACGAAAAAACTTCTGCAGAGCAAAAGAAACAACAAAATGGAAAGGCAGTCTGCGGCATGGGAGAAAATATTTGTAACCCATATATCTGATAAGGGATTAATACCTAAGATATATAAGGTATTCTTACAGTTCAATAGCAAAGGAATCTAAATAATCTGATTTAAAAATGGGCAGAAGACTTGGATAGACATTTCTCCAAAGAAGATGAACAAATGGCAAACAGGTACAAGAAAAGGTGCTCAACATCACTCATCATCAGAGAAATGTCGATCTAAACCACAAGAGGTATCACCTCCCACCTGTTAGAATAGTTCTTATCAAAAAGACAAGAGATAACAGATGCTGGTGAGGATGTGACGAAAATGCAATCCTTGTGAACTGTTGGTGAGAATGTGAATTGGCACAGCCACTATGGAGATTCCTCAAAAAATTAAAAATAGAACTACCATGTGATGTAGCAATTCCACTTCTGGGTGTATAGGAAATGAAAACAGGCTATCGAAGAAATATCTATACTCCCATGTTTATTGCAACATTATTCACAATAGCCAACACATGGAAACAACTTAAATGTCCACTGATAGATGAATGGATAAGGAAATGTTATATAAATATGTAATAGAATATTATACAGCCATGACAAGAAGGAAATCCTGCCATTTGCAGAACATATATGGACCTCGAGGGCATTATGCCAAGTGAAATTCATTAGGGAAAGACAAGTACTGTATGATCTCACTTACATGTGGAACCTAAGACCATTGAATTTGTAGAAACTCATAGGATAGTGGTTACCAGGGGCTGACGGGTGGGGGAAAATGGAGAGAGGGTGGTTGAAGGGTACAAACTTTCAGTTATAAAATGAATAATTTCCAGGAAGCTAAGGTACAGCATGGTGACTATAATTAATACTATATTGTATACTTTAAAGTTGATTTGAGAGTAGAATTTTAATGTTCCCACTATAACAACAACAAAACAGTAATCACGTGAGGTGGATAATGTGTTAACTAAATCTTAAACTTACAATGTTACATGGCAGTTATATCTCAGTAAAGCTGGGGGGGAAAGATTTATTGCATTAAAGGTACACAGTTTGGTCTGTGACTTAATGCTCAACGTAGAGCATTTTTCTCTTTTTGATTTAAGGCGATGTCAAAACAGCAGGTCAGCTAATTCCACTCAATCCAACCTGTCGCTTGATGTGTATGTCAAGTAGGCACATAATTGATTGGCTCTTGTTTTGCCTTCATATGAAAGAGATGGTCTCTTTTTTATTCAAGCAGGACAAGAACTATTTATATGGGAGCAGTGATTTTAATTGAGGGAAGGTCTTGCTTACATTCATTGCAACTATATAAAGAACAGTCACGAAGTCCCTACATATCCCGGTTAGCGGTTACCACCTTTCTGTTCTCCATGCAAATTTTAATCCTTCCCTATGATTTATGGATATCTGTATTTATGCTGATGGCAGACAGACACTATAGCAGCCCCTGATAGCTGATTCTTAGATCAATTGTACCCATCTCTTATTTGCTTTTCTGAGAAATAAACTATTGGGTTAAGGGTTAAAATTCAGTATCTTGGGGGGGAAGAAAAAAAATGTGTATATATATATATGTATATATACATATATATGTGTGTGTGTGTGTATATATATGTATATATATATATATATATATACATATATATATATATATATATATTTCATATTGACCTGCTCCATGTTGGTGTGTTCTAGCTTCATTCTGGTGGAAAGACATGAAGGCTTTGCACATTAACTACGTGCAGGCCAGGCATCTGAGGATGGAACCAACGGCAGACCAGTTCATGGTGTACGTCACAGATGGGAAGCGACGCTCCTTGGAGATACCATTTCACATTATCATCAACCCCACGAATGACGAAGCTCCTAACTTTGTAGTGCAGAATATTACTGTAAGAAACATAACGGGATTTTTCAGTTTCTTCTTTTTTTAATCATTTTCTGATTTTATTTTCACCTAGTTCATTTACATTGGTCCAGGTGCACTTACTACATTAAGTTGAAAAGGAATGGGAAGAACAGTCACCTATATTCTAGAATACAGTTACTTGAAGAATATTATTCTAGTAGTAATGATGGTAATTGCAAGCATATAGAACTGCATGAATGGACTTGTAGTTGCATAGATACAGGATTTTGTACTTACTAGGTTGTAGGTGGTATTTCGAGTCCTTTACATGTACTCATGGAAAGGCTTACAAGGCTTTTATGGTGATGGTATTATTATGATTGCCTTTTAGTAACTGCAAAAATGAGGCACAGAGAGGTTAATTCTGTGGCCCAAGATCACAGAGCTTGGAAATAATTGGCATATAGGGAATGGTACATAGGAGATTTGCCCCCAGGCAGTTTGATTCCATAGCATGCTCTCTAAACCAATGCTATCATGACAAGGACTCTCAATTCACATATATTAAGGCATCTTTTCATATAGCTATTTTTATTTTTTTAATTTTTATTTATTTTTTAAAAGATTTTATTTATTTATTTGACAGAGAGAGACACAGCGAGAGAGAGAACACTAGCAGGGGGACTGGGAGAGGGAGAAGCAGGCTTCCTACTGAACAGGAATCCCAATGTGGGGACTCGATCCCAGGACCCTGGAATCATGACCCAAGTTGAAGGCAGATGCTTAATGACTGAGCCACCCAGGTGTCCCATATAGCTATTTTTAAAGATTTATTCATTTTGAGAGAGAAAGAGAATGAGAGAGAGAGAGAGAGAGAGTGTATGAGCAGGAGGGGCACAGGGAGAGGCAGAGAGAGAATCCTCAAGTAGACTTCGAGATGAGTGCAGAGCCTGACAGGGGGCCTCGATCTCACTACCCCAAGATCATGACCTGAGGCAAAACCAAGAGTCAGACACATAACCAACTGAGGCACCCAGGCGCTCCTTTATGTAGCTATTTATAAAGATAGATGAAATGAAAAAAATACAATTTGAATCATTCTTTTTCTGTAGTTTTAAAACTATTTTTACATGATAATGTTTTTTAGTTTTATTTAAAAATTCATATAGATAGTTAAAATGGCCGTAATATCACTCCTCAGATAACATCTGTTGTCTTTAAAAACATAATAATAAAATATGTAGTTATACAAGTTAAAATATTGAGGAACATATGCAGTGAAATATGAAATATGACAGTCTCCCTCTTCTATAGCCTCTACCCATATCCACTCCCCATTGACTTTTTAGTAATTCCTCAGAAATAATTTGTCCAAATGCCAATAATATGTGTTTGTATGTATGTGTGTGTGTGTGTATATATATATATTATATATATATATATGCAATTTTTCTGTATTTACTTATAAATCAGGGGTCATATTATACCTATTACTCTCCACTTTTTAGAAAAACCTAATTTTGTATATTGGAAACCTTTCCATATCAGCATGTAGTCTTTTAAAACAATTCTATATTTTACATACAATTATTTAATTCAGAAATATGTACAGCAAATCTTGATTAAATAGAGGAATACAGGCTTTGGAATAAGAGGGGTTTGGGTATTGCTGTTTACTGGCTGTAGGACCCCAGATAAGCTATTTCTCTCTGTACTTCTGTTTCCTTATCTGCAAAATGTGTATCAAATTCTTAAGGGGAAATCATGATGAACAAGATGGTCAGGCACATACTAGTCCCTTAGTAAATAGGTCTCATTTGTATTATTGTTAGGTTTACCATCTTTTTTCTGACATTTACCAAAGCAAGGATCTATTTTGAAGCCATTATCTAGCCTTATTTGTCACTGAAAAGTATCAAATTCTAAATGCAAAAGTCTTTATTTGATTAGAATTGTCTACTGACTCTTAATGGTATCTGAGAGTCATCTCCCCAAGAGACTTGGACCCAGCTCCTGCCCTTCCCTTTCTCTTGGCATGTGGCTTCCTCTGGAGAGCACTTCAGTAATTACGAGAGAGAGAAGAAACTCTACAAATGATTCCTTCTATATCTACCTCTGTTGTCTTGTATCTATGCAGAGCTAGAGTTTCTGAAATAATTAGGCCACTGGGAAATTATCCCTTGCCCTTCTCTGAAAGTAATCATGCTTTTGACCTGGGCACTCCTTAGAGAAGCTGTTGGAGGGTATCAGATAGGGAGCCCTATGTGTTACTGCCAGAGCTGGCTTTAAGCTTCAAGTGATTTTTTAAAAATAGCCCTATTTATTATGCTTTCTTGGGGAAAGTCTGTTTATCTTGTAGACAGTCAAGCTTCCATCAAGTTGGGCTGCAACTTGCCAAAAAATATGAGGTTTTAAGATATCCTAATTCGTTTCAAGTGGCTCTACTAGTGAGTTTCTGCATTTTGTGCATATTGATCTAAACCTTTTATTTAGGATCTCAGTAAATGAAATGTGCAAAAAAGAATCCCAAATTTTCAGTGAAATTTCCCGGTCATGTTGTGAAGTAATTTACCATCTGATAAATGAGAAAGGAATGAGCTATATAGTGAGTCCAGGAGTCCTAAGCTTTAGGAAGAAGGGTAATGAGAACATATTTTCAGTGGCTTTATGAAAATTTTTGGAGAAAAAGCCAAGCTACCATCAAAGATGATTTCATAGTTATATCATTGCACGTTAAATTATGAAGCCATCTTTGTCTTTAATAGGGAAGGCCAGCTATAAGGAAACCAACATCATTTTGGCCCAGGTATTAGCATGGCAAGCGATTCTTCTTCACACAAGCGCAGTAGACGCTAGTCGCGGGAAGCCTCCCAGTAAGAGAGGCTCGAGAGAACGGGCATTTTCACAAACCTAAACTTTATGTATCCTTCAAGGCTAACATGCCCACTCTGCCATGAAGACACTCCTGGTCTCCTCCACCCTTTTGCACTTCCTGTTTATCCATATTTAGTATCGCTAGATAATTTTCTTGTTGTATTATAATCACCGATGGACAGGCCTTCATGGTCTCATCCGACTTTGACTCATTAGAATATTTCATTCCCCACAGCACGAGGCCCAGTGCCTTGCAGATTACCAGTCAGCATCTGTTCGATGTATACAGTCTGATTATTTAGGTCTTGCTTTGTTTCAAAAGATGAAACAGATATTTCTTTGTTCTCTTCATTCTTGCTATGAGAAAAAGATCAAGACAGCTAAGTACCATGTCAAGTTCTAAATGGCTGGAGGCTACCTGAGATGAAAAACAGTCCGTTCTCTTTGTATTTAAAGGATTATGAAACCTGGAGTGGGGTCTGGGGGCGGGAGGAGGTGGTTCAGGAAAGTTTGAGGCATGAGGGTTGGGGAGAGGTGAGGGACCCTGAATTAAAATAAACACTGTTGGGCATCCACAAGCCTCCTTCTTGATTGTTGTTCATTGCAACTGAAGTACAGAAGGTTTTCCTGTGATGAGAAAACAGAGAATGAGAATGAGAAATAGAATAGAGAAAGAGAATGAGAAAATAGAAAAATGAGAAACATAAAATACCCCCAGTGCACATAGCAGACATCCACACCATTTCTGAAGCAGAAACAAGAATTGTGAAAGCAGCAAGATTCAGGAGGTTAAAATAACAGATTAGGATCTGAAGGTGAAAGGTCCACACTTAGTTTTACAGTTGAACTCTGTGACTTCCAGAAAGCAAGCATTCTTTTGATTGCTTTTCCCCTGAGCTTTGAATTATGGGGGGGGGGGGGGGATTTGTGTGTGTGTGTGTGTGTGTGTGTGTGTGTGTGTATCTTTTGTTCTTTAGGAAAATGAATAAACTGCTTTGAAATCTTCAGAGAAAACCTGAGAGAGATTAATAGATTTATTCTTTTTTAAGCTCATGTTAAACCAGCCATTTCTTTTTAGGACTAATTACACACACATTTCATAGAAAATTTGTAATAGGATATCTTAAAATCATTTCTTTGAAGCAACTTGCTAAAAGAAAGACAAATGTTATTTTGACACAGCTGACATGCCGACTTGTTTTTGCTCAGGTGTGTGAGGGTCAGATGAAAGAACTGGATACCTCCGTCATCGATGCTGCTGATCTCGACCTTCCCAAGGACCTCTTGCTTTTCAGTGTCACTCGTAAACCAAGCCATGGCCTCCTCATCAACAGGGTGCTTGGCAAAGACTTTCCGCAAAATATGCAGCCTGTCAACCCCAGCCAGAAGCATGAACTCGTTCAGAACTTTTCCTTGGAACTTCTCAAAAATGGTAGATCATGTTCCACTTCAATTCACTTATTGTTGTTGATTTAGTAATTTAGCCCAGAAAAGCTAATAGTAAACCTCAGATACAGGAAGTGAAGAAATGGCAGTCAACTACTTTATTCACTTATCTCTCAAGAGTTTTCTCTGGGCTCTGGATTCACGTAGGGCATGAAGCCTCAGTTACAGATAGTGCACAGTTGAAAAGGAAATAGTGTTTTCTTTCACTTTGGGAGCATCACTAAAAATGACATTTGTGGGGTGCCTGGGTGCCTCAGTCAGTTAACTGTCTGACTCTTGATTTTGGCTCAGGTCATGATCTCATGGTTGTGGGATCAAGCCCTGCATCAGGCTCTGCACTCAGCTGGAAGTCTGCTTGAGATTCTCTCTCTCTCTTCTCCCTCTACCTGTCCCCTTGCTTGTGCTCTCTCTCTTTCTCTTTCTCTCTCTCCAATAAATAAATAAATCTTTAAAGAAAATGATATTTGTGATTTGGGGTATTTTAGCTCCAACTTTTTCATATCATAATAAAAAATTCCTTTTAAAACTACTGAGATCACGGACCTAAATTTGAAGAGATTTGTTGGCCAAAACTTCTATGTTCGAAACAAATATAGACCCACATATAATAACATTATTCTCAGTGGAGATAATTTGTTCTTTAAGGAAATGACACATGGGAATAGCAGCCTGAATTATTTTTTAATTACTCTTTTTTAAAAAAATCAATTTTACCCTATTTTCCAAATATAAACATACTTTTAAATATCAGAGAAAAGGGCGGGTCTAGAATCACTGCATACTCTCACTCTCCTTCCTGCCTTCACATGTTTCCCCAACCTGAATCCCCTTTGCTGGGTTAGCCAACACAGTGCCTTCAGAACAAGGTAACCTCTGACCTCCCCACCCACCCACCCACAAGGCACCCCAGACCGTCACTTTCCTGGGCTGGCTCCTTTCAGCACCAGTTTAGCACTTTTTCTACTTTCTACATTTCTCCATTCCCCAACAAGTTTAAGCTCTCTGCCCCCGAGTTTATTTTGCAATGGATGTGCCACATCGTATCATGTTTGAATTTGAAAAGTTAATTCACATGTTACTCGGTTTTTGTCAGTTGCAAAGAAAGAAACTCTGGGGCTTAAGTGATGATATTGCCAAATCAATAACCGTGTGTATCAAATAATACAAATAGGTTGTTACAGTGTTCTTCTTTTCAAATTTAGGACAAAGGAAAAGGAATAATCATTCAAATTGTACTCTCAAAGTCTGTTTTGTAATTCAGTTAAATATTATTACTTACTATATTACTAGGCTAAATAAGCATGTGTATTGGGTAAAGTTTGTACCATATGATGATTTTGAAGAAAAAATAAATGGTTTACATAAATTAATGCTTTGGTCAATAACTTAGTAATATTCTCAGAGATTAGATTTTTGTCTTTATTTTATTTTTGATTCATTTATGGCTACATTTTTAAAAAATTTTCAGTATATTCTCACATACATCCTCTAACCCCAAACATACAGAATTTATAAAACTGCTGCTAGGGGCGCCTGGGTGGCTCAGTGGGTTAAGCTGCTGCCTTCGGCTCAGGTCATGATCCCAGGGTCCTGGGATCGAGCCCCGCATCGGGCTCTCTGCTCAGCAAGGAGCCTGCTTCCTCCTCTCTCTCCGCCTGCCTCTCTGCCTGCTTGTGATCTCTGTCTGTCAAATAAATAAATAAAATCTTTAAAAAAAAAAAAAAACTGCTGCTACATTATGTAATCTGGCTTTTTTTCTTAGCAACTATAAGAAACTTCTTACTTTTTAAATGTTAATTGAAAACATGTTTGTGATAACTCCAGCTTTTCATTGTATGGGGGTTTTGCACTGTAATTTTTTTACAACTATCTTCTATTTTTAAATATCCAGAGAGCTTTTCATTTCTTGATACTACAGGTTACACATAAAGATGCTTTATGTATATTTTTGTAACATAAATCCTAGTCCACATCTCTTAAATTTTTTTTGCCATAAATTTTTATAATGAAATTACTTGGCAAAACAGGAGAGCATTTATAATACTTTTGGGGAAAAATTGCCATTGCTTGATATGCATGAACATGCTTAGTTTCCTAATCAAGAATGGATATTTTTAAAAAAATTTTGCGAATTTTGTAGTCAATAACAGTCCCTCGTTTTAGTCTTAATTTGAAATTCTTAGAGTATGAGTAAGATTTACCATACTTTCATATTTATTGACTATATATGTTTCACCTTTTTGTAAATTACTTGATAATGTCCTTTGCTCATTTTTCTATTCATTTATACTAACTTATAAAAGGTCATTAACTACTGATGTCTCATATTTTTGTCACATATGTTACAAGTTTTTTCCCCTATTATTTGCTTTTAATTAATGTTCTTAAGTACAGAAATCACAAATTGTAAGTGGTGAAATTTATCACTATTTTTCTTTATGAGGTTTTCTTTTGTTACTGTATTAGGAAGATGCTCTACATTCAGACATAAGATATTTACTTGTATTTTCTTCCAAATAATTTAAAACAGCTTTAATGAGATATAATTCACATGCCATAATATCCAACCCTTTAAAACCTACCATTCAGAGGTTTTTAGTATATTCATCATCACGATTAATGATTTTTTAGATCATAGAACACTTCCATTATCCCCCCAAAGAAATAACATACTCATTAGCAGACATTCTTATCCCTTTCTTCCTCAACCCTTGGCAACCAGTAACCTGTTTTTTTGTCTCCACAGGTTTGTTTATTCTGACGTTGCAGAATCATATAAATAGAATCTATGAGCTTTTGTAACTTCTATTTAACATAATGTTTTTATTTAGCAATGTTTTCAAGATTCATCTGTATTGTAACATGAGTCAGTACTATGCCATTCCTTGTTATCGCCAAATATTCTATTGTATGGACATAGCACATTTATTTAATCTGTTCATCAGTTGATGGGTATTTAGGTCACTTCCACTACTTTTTTTTTAAGATTTATTTATTTATTTATTTGTCAGAGAAAGAGCACAAGCAGGGGGAGCAGCAGGCAGAGGGAGAAGCAGCCTCCCTGCTGAGCAGGGAACCCCATGCAGGACTTGATCCCAGGACTCTGGGATCATGACCTGAGCTGAAGGCAGGTGTTTAACTGACTAAGCCACCCAGGCATCCTGTCCTTTCACTTTTGACTGTGAACATTCATATATATGTTTTTGCATGGATATGTACCTTCATTTGTCTCAGGTCTGTATCTAGGAGTGGAATTGCTGGGTCATATGATAACCCTATGTTTAACATTTTGAGGAAGAGCTAAACTGTTTTCCAGAGTAGTAGCATCAGTTTACATTCCTACCAGTAATGTATGAGAGTTCCAGTTTCCTTGCATCCTCACCAAAGTTTGTTACTGTCTATCTTTTTAAGATAGCCATCCTAGTAGGTGTAAGATAGTATCTCATTGTGATTTTTATTTCATTTCCCTAATAGCTAATAGCGTTGAGCATCTTTTCATGAGTTCATTGACTATTTGTCTATGTCCTGACATCCATCTTCTTTGGAAAAATATCTACTCAAATCTTTTGCCAATTTTGTAATTGGGAGTTATTTTATCATTGAGTTGTAAGAGTTCTTAATGTGTTTGGGATACTAGACCCTCCTTTATCAGGTATCTGATTTGTAAATATTTTCTCCAGTTCTGTGGGCTGTTGTTTTACTTCCTCAATAGTATCATTTGCAGTCCCAAATTTTTAATTTTCATGAGATCTAAATTACCTACCTTTTGTTTTGTTTTGTTTTGGTCACTTGTGCTTTTGGTGTCTTGCCTAGAAACCATTGCCTTACTCAAAGTCACAGAGATTTACTCGTGTTTTCTTCTAACAGTTTTTCTAGTTTAGCTCTCACATTTAGGTCTATTATCAATTCTGAGTTAATTTTTGTATGTAGTGTGAGGTAGGGATCGAACTTCTTTTTATTGTCTGTGGCTTTTGAGTTGTCTCAGCACTATTTATTGAAAAGACCACTCTTTGCTCATTGAAAGGTTTCTGTGCTCTTGATGAGAATCAGTTGCTTGTAAATGTAAGATTTCATTTCTGGACTCTTATCTATTAGGTTAATTTACTTGTCTGTTCTATGCCAGTTCCACACTGTCTTGATTACTATAGTTTTGTAGTAAGTTTTGAAAATGAAAAATGTGAATCTCCAACTTTGTTCTTTTCAAGATTGTTTTGGCTATTCTGAGTCTCTTGCATTTTCATGTGAATGTTGTGTAGGTTTTTGAAAAGTAGTTTTATATATAAGTTTTGCTTCATCTAGAATTTATTTTAGTTCTTGTCTCGAGGTAGATATCTAACTATAATTTTCCCCAAGTAATGAACCACGTTCTCATACAGTGTATTAAATAATATATGCTATCCTCACTGATGTCTAAATAAGATCCTTATCAAATATTTAAGTATTTAAATATGAATTTTTACCAAATTAAGAGGGCAGTCTTATTTCATAAAACAGTTTAATTTCACCCAATTGCACTGACTAATGAACTTTTGGTGATATCAATACCTTGGAAATTAAAAAAGATTATGTGTGTTTTGAAATGGCTTAATCATAAGAAAGATTTACTTTCTCTCTCTCTTTTTTTCCCTGCTTCTTCCAGGAATGAAGTTGGTATATGTGCATGATGACTCAGAGAGCCTTGCTGATGACTTCACAGTCCAGTTGTCAGATGGGAAACATAAGATATTAAAAACCATTTCAGTGGAGATCACCCCAGTTAATGATGAGAAACCAACGCTGAACAAGTAAGCTCCCTGAAAAGAGTCTCTTTCAGATGTTCTAGAAAATTTTGTGGTCTGGAAGACTAGGTGCAAATGTCATGTGTGTCTTCCAGGGAGAAACAAGACTTTGACGGCCCCTGTCTATCAATTCGTCCCACCTACTCCTAGAACTTTTAGTTCAAATGTTAATGTAACATCTCCCTAGTTATTTGATTTTCCTCTGAAAGTTCTAGTTAGTGGTAGATAATTAAGAATGACTGAGCCTATTGTATGGAATGAAGAGTGTCCTAGGTATTTAAATACCTGTACACACACACACACACACACACACACACACACACCAAAGTGCAATAGATTATGTATAGACTTAAATAATATGTGATAATATTAACAGTAGACAGTCCTCCCCGTGGATTCGATCAAACTTTTAACTAGGAGCGGCTAAGTTTAACATATAAATGCCATCACTTTCATCATCTAGGTATTTCATGATCCACCAGCCCTCTGTGTTCCATCAGGGTCAATAGTCTTTTCCTACCTGGTATCAAAATGATCACTTAAATGATCGTTTAAAAATTCTGAGCTGATTAATTGCAAACCATCTCGGTGACTCCCTCTGTAATTGATCAGTGTGATCATAGGGTAAAGCGTCTTTGTCAGATACATTTCTGCAGCTCAGCCATGGCTCGTATTACTGGCCACCACACACAGCTGTACCAGGGCAAAACCTGAGGAGGCCCAATCTGTCTGGTGCTGGATGCGGAGAAGTGTCTGCTTCTCTCCTGATGATCATTTTTTGGAGGGTTGCGTCTCAGACATCAGTTCCACTAAAAGTCCGCAGCAGAACTTTCTGTTTTCTGGGATCTAGCCGGACTGTTGGACTGGGATGACCCTGATTTATAAAAATGAAAATAGGAAGGATATCGTGATATTTAGGAAACCCCTTTCTTTTATTTTTAATTTTAAAGATTTTGTTTATTTATATGACAGAGAAAGAGATCACAACTAGGCAGAGAGGCAGGCAGAGAGAGAGGGAAGCAGACTTCCTGCTGAGCAGAGAGCCCGATGCAGGTCTCAATCCCAGGACTCTGGGATCATGACCTGAGCCGAAGGCAGAGGTTTAACCCACTAAGCCACCCAGGCGTCCAGGAACCCCCTTTCTAATGACCTCACTGTATCTAAGAGAATGGGAGGGAGGGGCAAACGGGTGTTTATTGACAGACACTGTATTGGATCTTTTAATGGACATTTCCTTAAATCCTCACCACAGCTATGGGAAGTAGGTATTATTATCCTTGCTCACAAAATTGAGACCAGACAGGTCAAATAACAGGGCAGTCACTCAAGTCTGATTTCCTGTTTCGTGCTGCATTCTTTTTTTTTTTTTAATTAACATATAATGTATTATTTGCTTCAGGAGTACAGGTCTATGAATCATCAGTCTTACACAGTTCACAGCACTCACCATAGCACATACCCTCCCCGATGTACATCACCCCGCCACCCCATCCCTCCCAACCCCCTCTACTCCAGCAGCCCTCAGTTTGTTTCCTGAGATTAAGTAAGAGTCTCTTATGGTTTGTCTCTCTCTCTGGTTTCATCTTGTTTCATTTTTCCCTCCCTTCCTCTATGATCCTCTGTCTTGTTTCTCAACTTCCTCATATCAGTGAGATTGTATGATAATTGTCTTTCTCTGATTGACTTATTTCGCTCAGCATAATACCTTTGAGTTCCATCCACATCATTGCAAATGGCAAGATATCTTTTTGATGGTGCATAATATTCCATTGTATATATTTACCACATCTTCTTTATCCATTCATTTATCAATGGACATCTAGGCTCTTTGCGTAATTTGGCTCTTGTGGGAATTTCTCCTATAAATATTGGGGTGCACATGTCCCTTTGGATCACTACATTTGTAACTTTAAGGAAAATACCCAGTGGTGCAATTGTTGGGTCGTAGGGTAGCTCTATTTTCAACTTTTTGAGGAATCTCCATCCTGTTTTCCAGAGTGGCCGCAGCAGCTTGCATTCCCACCAACAGTGTAGGAGGGTTCCCCTTTCTCCACATCCTTATCAACACCTGTCATTTCCTGAAAAAATATGGACCGGTTCATGAATTTGCATGTCCTCCTTGCACAGGGGCCATGATAATCTTCTCTGTATTGTTTCCATTTTAGCATAAGTGCTGCTGAAGTGAGCACTGTCAACCTCTTTGTAAGTGGGGATAGTAACAGTATCTTTTTCATAGGGTGGTTGCAAGGATTAAATGAATTAAAATATGTAAAAGTATTTGAAAGATTGGCTAGTACACAGGAAGTGCTCCTAGGTGCTGGTTATTATCATTATTAGGAGCTATTCTCACCCTAAAACCATGAAGATGACCCAGTTCCTCATTTATTTCAGTGCCAATCTATTTGGAAAAATAGTTTGTGCTTTGTCCATTTCTGACCAACCTCTCCCACTTTATTAAAGCTGCTCACTTAAAAGTTACCCTTGGCCTTCCTACTGAATTGAATGGCTCGTCTTTTCTTGCTGGACTTTATTAGAGCATTTGCCTCTATTTCTTTGGAATACCTTCTAGATGCTGTAGTAGATGCTTCCAGAGTTCTGGACCATGCTCCCTCAGCCCCCTGCTCCATGATTGTAGTTGCTCTTGTGGTGGAACACACCAGGCTCACTGTCAGGGTCACATACCAGTGCCTTGGTTCATAACTGTATTTGCCATGTCGTTCAGAGCTTTCTGTGAAGCAGCATTGGCTCATTTGGCACATTTGGTCCAGACACAGCAAAGACACTCTGACAGTAGCTCTCAATCTATGGGAGCTAGTGCAGAAGTAAATGTCCCATACTCCCACCCTTCAGAAGTACAATTTTTTAAAAAAGATTTTATTTATTTGAGAGAGAGAGAGAGAGAAATAGGGAGATAGAGAATGGGCAGAGAGGAGAGGGAGAATCAGACTCCCCGGGAGCCTGATGCAGGGCTCAACCCTGGGTTCATGACCGGAGCTGAAGTCAGATGCTTAACCAACTGAGCCACCCAGGTGCCCCAGAAGCACAATTTGAAGCATATTCTATGTGGTTCTTCGAAGGATCCCCAGAAGCCCTGAGTCCATAGCCATAAACACCTTTCGTTGCCTTACTCCTCCTGCTCTGTCTCACTCTTCATTCCTCTCTCTTGCTTCCTGGAATCACTTCCCAAATAAATCACCTGCACCACAGTCCTTGTCTCATGGTCCCTTTTGGAGTAACTCAGACTATGACATACTGCCCTCTCCTTTGGCCCCTCTGATATCTAATTCTGGTAACTTTCTCCTACGAGCTTGTTATCTTCCTCATCACATGGGCTTCCTTCCTGTTTTGATTAATCTGTTTCTATTAATGGCACCACTCACCTCCAGAATCAACCAGTCAGCTGATTCATTAGCCTTTGAGAGGAATGGGATTCATATCTTCCAGGAAAGAGGTGGGCAGAAATCACCTCCTTCTGCCAGGGAAGATGTCAGCTCTGGAGAGGCAAAAGAGTCACCAAGTACAAGAGGTTAGAAGTGAGGTGTCTGGGCTCTGGCTTGTCAGCTGAGAGCCTGGAAGTTGCTAGAATACCAGTTGATGCTACTGAAATGTCCTTTATCTGCATCCAAAGGAAACTTCATCGGTTTTTATGGGAAAACAAGCAGTCAGGTTGGACAGCTTTTGGCCTTGTGTGGTGACCCAAACTGAAAGCTAGAAACAAAGGTGGAAAGAAATCTCTTCCTCACTTGGGTGAGACTACAGAAAATGGCCGTATTGGCTGGGAGAGGAGTAGAGGCCAGTAGCAGTATTTATAGCGAAAGCAGCAGCTGCTCATCCCAGCTCCGTCTTCAGGAAGCCAGGGGCTAACCTGGCAGGTGAAGCACTTGGAAAAAACAATTGCTGTGAAGGGAACGCTGTCTACCCGGAATGTTATCAGGGAAAGGGAGGGTAATGTAGGAGGCCATGGATGGCCTAAGTGTCACCAAACTCATAACAGTGCTCATAACAGTGCTTCAAAAAGGTACCAGAACCTGGGTGACTAAGCCAGTCAGTCTCTTTAAATAAGTTTTTATCTGTAAAATTTGAATGATACTGTCTTGCTCACTTATGTCATGGAGCTGTTGTTGTAGCAAGTGAAATATTGGAAATAAAACCGTTCTATAAAATAAATTACAACAGAAGACGGTGAAGTGCAATGCATAGAAACAGGCAGAAGTCTTTAATTACTTCACACCATGTTCGCTGTGGCTGCCTAGTTGCCTTTTAGGGCTTTGACGTGTAAAGTGAAATGAGAGCCTGTTTCATGAGCCCGGCTCATCATTTTCGGTGCCTTGGATAGGGAACAGCATTCCCTAGCTGTTGAAGAATGAGCCCTGCAGAAGCCATGCCTTCTATTTTCCTATCAACCTAGACATCTTCCTTTCTACAGGAAGGCTGAAATTACCATGAAAATGGGTGAAACGCGTATTATTTCTAGTGCCGTGCTTTCAGCCATAGATGAAGACTCACCCAGGGAGAAGATTTACTATTTGTTCGAAAGGCTTCCCCAAAATGGGCAGCTTCAACTTAAGGTTGGTGGTCTTTTTACTGTTCTTTTTCAAAACTGATGTAGCAGGTATACATTTTCTTAGTACACAGATTTCTATAACTGAAGTTATTCTCTAATAACCACATTTTGCCCAGAGGTAGAAAATTTAATTTTCTTAGTTTGGGGTGAACTTACATCATGCTAAATTTTCTTACTCAACTCAGGGTAAATTCAAACACTATCAAGGTTCTTCATTATCTCGCCTCCCCTGGGATCACACCTAAATTTTGGGAGACGGGGGTGACTGGGGTAAAGCAAGTTGTCTAATTGCTGATGAGAACCATGCATCCTTTGAGATATCTTCATTCCCCCCAGATTTAAAAAAAATTTTTTAATAGAGTTTATAGATTACTTATTGTGGATATTAACAACTTGATTCTGAAGTTTGTATGGAGAGGCAAAATGCACAATATAGTGAACAAAAAGGAAAACAGAGTTAGAGGAATGGGACTGTCTGGCTTTAGGACTCACTATAAAGCTGCATTAATTGAGGTAGTCTGGATCTGATGAAGGAACAGATGAATAGATCAATGAAATAGAATAGAGAACCCAGAAGTAGACCCTCACGAAAATACAGTCCACAGATCTTTGGCAAAGAAGCAAAGGCAATACAATGGAGAAAAGATAGTCTTTTAACAAATGGTGCTCACCGGTCTGATTCAGACTGTGTGCTTGATGCCCAAGGAGGAGCCCAACTCACATGATAGATCAGTCGCTTGAAAAGGTCCCATGAGTAATCCATCAAAATGTTTGTTTGAATGATGGATGAAGTCTAGCAAGAACCACTGCCAGCCATCCCCAATGCGATTATTTGACTGAATGCTTAACTTTTAATATAATGTCAGCACAGTCCTAGAAGAGCAGTGAGGATTCATTCTGCATGGAACAGCTTGATTATCTTAGATCGTAGGCACCATAGAGAATCGGAGTGAAGAGCAATCACTGATTTAAATTGAGGTACAGCTGTGTCCTTATTTCATTTCAAAGAGTAATGAAGTAGAAATGCAGTGAGAGCTCACGCATTTGGGTAGCATGGGAAGTGAAGGGTTTGGGGTATGTGAAAATGCAGATGGGTCCAGCTTCCCCGTATGGCACCACATCATTCTTTCCCAGCTCCTTTGGGCTTTGCCAAGTCTCTCCGAGACCAGGGACTGGGACTCTAGGACTCCTGGACTTTCCCAAGGGTTCTTGTGTTCTTGTTGATTTTCTGTAGTTTGCACCACCTTGAGTCTGACTCTTATTTTCTTCTTCTTTGGAGGCTTGCAAATGATTTTGTCAAACCAGAGCAGGCATTCGGGAGTGTAAATGGGGAATTGCATGGAGATGGGAGACAGGAAAAGCTATCTTCTTCTGTATTTACTTTCTCAGATAGATGACAAATGAAGAAAGTTAAATAGAATGCAGGCCGTCTGGTTTGAAACCTGAAAGAGTCTGTTTTAAAAACTAAATCTGGAAATAGGTTTAGGATGGAAACACATAATGACCTTAAGTATTACAACATAACTAACTTTCATCCATTGAGTCCTGGGGCAGAACATACCTCTGTACAAACATCAGATGAGCAGATATATTAAAGAAGAGGAAACTTTATCAAAGAGGATGTAAAGAGAAGTGGTAACACAGTAAAGAGAAGTGGTGGGGGGGGCAGTGAGGCATTTTTGCCAGAAACTGGGGGTCTGTGGAATAATGTGTCAAAGGAAAGAAAAAAAAAATCCAAGGATTTAAATTTCTATTTTAGTCTCTTAAACCAGACAAGGAAAAGTAAGGGTTATATTGTACAATAAATTTGTTAGATGACATTTTTCTTGAATTATGTCAAATGACTTTCATGAGCTATTCTTGGGGAAAGTTATGTATCTTCAGAGAATAACTAGAAAATTATTATAAATCAGATACAGATTTATTAATATTATGTTTTGAATACTCTCAGTTGTCAGTTCCCCCTAGCATAAGAACCTCTTTTAATTGAGAATACCACAATTTCTGCACTGAGTTCGGTACAGAATATATGCTTAACTGATGTTAGCTTGTTTTTTAGGAGATATTGATAAAAAATAATATATGATATTTGCAGTTATGTTTTTTTGCTGACTCGATATAAACAGAATGATCGGGATCTTGTTAATTTTCTCTGGGCTTCAATAAAGCTGGGAAATGTACTGGGAGTAAATACATCCATTCTAGTTTTGTTTTATCTAATTCAGATAAGTCCAGTGATAAACCAGTTTGAAAAAATAGGTTTGATTAATTGTATAATGATAGGAACTAAAAAAAAAAAAAGGAACCCTCAAATGAAACATACTTAATTTTTAAAGAATCAATTTCAGGAGCTCGATTACCCACCTGCTCTCATTAATTGGAATATCTAATCAGCTATGATTGCTCATGATAAATACCTTGGAAGTAGCACCACTGTTGAATTGCCACAAGACTGTCAAAAATCCTTTGGTTGAAGGTAATTTTCTCCTGGGTCTTAATTTGTTTTAATGTATTTCTTTGAAAGGGAAAAAAATAAGGTAAAATGGCAAAAAAATAAATTGCATCTGGAGTTTCCCTGAAATATCATTTCTATTGGAGGCTTACAGGCTTACAGGGAGTACAGGAAATATCAATTAACATAACTTGTAAAGAAAAAAACACGGGTGGCTGACTAACTCTGGCACCTTTCAGATAGGGAGGGACTGGGTCCCTGTCTACCCCGGCATGAAGTGCACTCAGGAGGACGTGGATCTGAACTTGCTGAGATACACGCACACCGGGTCGATGGATTCCCAGGACCGAGACAGCTTTACCTTCTACCTCTGGGATGGTGACAACAGATCACCAGCACTGGACTGTCACATCACCATCAAGGATATGGGAAAAGGTAAAAATATCTCTCTCAACATTTATTGGGACCAAGTTTTAGAACCAGAAGTGAGCTGGTATAAACACTCAAAGGTTTTCAACTAAATGCTCCTCCCTCCCTTCCTCCCTCCCTCCCTCCGTTCTTTCTTCCCTCCCTCCCTTCCTTCCTTCCTTCCTCCCTTCCTTCCCCCTCTCCTCTCTCTATCTCCCTCTCTTTTTGACTTTCTTTCTTCTATCCCTTGTACCTGAAATTCCATCTCTTATGATTTGCTTCCCTGACTCCTCCCCTGCTCTGCCTGGGAGCTCTGAGGCTCATGAGAGTAGCCCATCAATTTGTCGTTTTTAGAATTTCGAGAGCCTATTGGAAATCCAGCCTTGCCAACAACATGGCAGCCCAGGCTGCTTTAAGAGTCAGGGTTTTCTGTTATAAGTAACATTTTACCAAATCAATACGAAAACTAATTTTCTCTTCAGGAAGAGAGTTGTTACTTAAAAAACGAAATCTCAGGGGAAAAACATTTCCAATATAATAACAAAAAGGAATAAAGACATATTTTAAAATTTAGAGCTCAAAAAAAAGGAACTTTGTCATTGAAAAGGTTAGACTGTTGCTCGTTTTCACTGTGAAAGTGCTAATACCAACTCTCTCAGGGACAGGGAAGAACACGAGGAGATACTAAGCTGCTCTTGAATGAAGCAGACCCATTTCTGTAATAAGACTCAGGAGCATCTAAGCAGGAGAAGGAGGAGGGTGAAAAATACTGGGAAGAAGACTCAACAAGGTGAAGTGTAAGCCCTAATGTTACGCAACTCTCACTACCCCAAAGCGTTGCTTAGAGTTTATGTGAGGAAGGCACAATTTATTTCTTGTTCATCCGCATCATCCCAGAGTCTCTGTATTCTTAGGACCAAGCATACTCTTGGATCTTCGATACATTTTTGATTGACAGAATGCTTCCCTTTTTGCCTTGCTGCCAGGAAGCTCAGAGGGCGGGGATCTTACATCACCTGTATGATCGAGTTCCAATAGTCCTGAATCTTTCTCTTTTCAGTTGCTGTCAGCTTGATTGATTTTGAGATGTTTATTTGGGGTTCTAAAATAACATATTTTATTAGCTTGTTTCCCAGTTATAAAATGTGTTCCTTGAAGATGGCCAATAAGTGACTCTCAGAGAAGCTAAATACGACTGCATACATTTCTTTCTTTCCGCAAAGTAAAGGCTACTATGTTCATCATCAGTGTATGTCCAGGCGAAATGTAATGCCAAGTCCTGTGTCGTGGAGATGGCTAATGTATTAGGACAGACTGCTCTTGGCTAAGCACAGTGCATTCACGGGTGGTGGGGGGAGAGTTCTGCTCTACACAACCATCTGGGGATTTTTTCCAACTAGAAGATCCTTCCTGTCTGAAGGCCTTCGAGACTCTCCGGAAGTGAAACATGGAGGAAAATGAGAGGACCCCTGGCCCGGGCTTGGAGGCATCTGTCTTCTGCACATTCCAGTGTCTGAGTCATAGTCCCATGCCACATTAGGGGAGTCTGAGCAGTGGAAACTCTAGTGGTGCGCCCAGGAAATGAGGCTGGTGAGCGCCTGGCCAGTCTCTGCTGGAACTGACCTGTGATTCTTCTCTGAAAGGATTCATGAAACTTACATCAAACAGATACTTTAACCTACTAGCATTTTCAGAAGTTCCAGATTCCTTTTCTTTGCTCCTTTTTACATCATGGTGTGTTTTACATCTATAGAATGTTGTATTTTCTTTTTTTTAACTTTGTGTGAATTTTCTCAGGTTGTAGCATAACTTGAGAACTGTCATTGTTCATCTCTGAATAAAACTACACTGAATATTTAGACTAAACCATAACCCTAACATCGAGCATCTAGATTGCCTCCATTTGAGAGCGATTATAAATAACATCGGGCCTTCCAGTTGTTCTGTGGCTTGTGATTTGCACAGTGGCAAAAATGATATGAGTTATCTTTGAGAGAAGCTTAAAGGGACTTCGTCTACAGTTGACCTTGAACCATACTCTGCTGTCACTGTGCTGAAAAACTGCATTGAGGGAAAGCCCAGATGCTCTTCCTCCCCTCAGATCCATCTTCTGCTCCTGGTGAAACATTCTGTAGGTGATTTTTATGTCCCGGGCTTTGTTCATTCTTTTTACTCCCTTGATTCATCTTGACTCCCAGGAGACCAGCCCCATCTGGGGCTCAGGTTTTGATTTAAAGTTAAGATGCTCTCTGATTCTCCATTGCACCTAAGTTGGATAGCATTTTGAGTTAAAAGCACCAATAATCTACCAAAAAGACCAACTTAATCATCTGAAACAGAGTTTCTCAGTCTTAAGATTACTGACATTTTGGGACAGATAATTCTTTGTTGTAATGGACTTTTTTTTTTTTTAAAGATTTTATTTGACACAGAGAAACACAGCGAGAGAGGGAACACAGGTAGAGGGAATGGGAGAGGGAGAAGCAGGCTTCCCACCGAGCAGGGAGCCTGATGTGGGGCTCCATCCCAGGACCCTGGGATGATGACCCGAGCTGAAGGCAGATGCTTAACGATTGAGCCCCGCAGGCATCCTGTAATGGACTTTCTTATGCAGTATAGGACGTTTGGAAGCATCTCTGGCCTCTACCTATTAGAAGACTGTAGGAACCCCCAGTTACGACCATCAAAAATGTCTACAGATATTACCAAATATCCCCTGGGGGCCAAAGTTGCTACTCATTGAGAACCACTGGTCTCGTATTTCCTTGATATTTTATTTTTTTGTTCCTCATCAGACCTAACATCTTTTTAAATTTTATTGACAATTTGTATTTTTAAATTTAGAAATGGCATTTACTTCTCACATATTTCTAGTGTTCAAGTTTGTGCTCTGAAGTCAGATGGTTAGATTACAAATTCTAGCTCTATCCTGTATTTTATTATTTTTTAAAGATTATTTGCTTGCTTATTTATTTATTTATTTATTTGACAGAGAGAGAGGGAGAGAGGGCAAGCACAAGTAGGGGAAGGGGCAGAAGGAGAGGGTGAGGCAAACGCCCCTCTGAGCAGGGAGCCCCATGTGGGGCTTGATCCCGGAACTCCAGGACCATGACCTGAGCCGAAGACAGATGCTTAACCAACTGAGCCACCCCTAGCTCCACCTTTGATTAATTGAATCATCATTAGCAAGTTAGTTAACATTTTTCTTTATCTTAATTTCCTCATTTATAACCTAGGAGATTATATATAGCCTACCTCATAGTTAGTGTGAAGTTTAAAGAACCTTACCCCTGTGCCTGACATAAATTAGAAGCTCAATATTGAGTTATGATTTTTTAAGTGAATAAAGTGAACAAAATTGGATTATCATCCTTAGTTTGTAAAACTGCACCATTCATCCACATGTGGCCCACGTCTCCTCATTTATGCATTTCATACACGCATTCATTTATTCTCTTTTCAATATGTAATACACACCCGTGCAACCACCATACAATTCAAGGACTGGAATACTGACAGTAATACACATCTGCCCATGGGCTTCTCCCATCCTGCCGTGAGAACCATCATCCTGAATTCGGTGTTCATATTCTTACTGTGGTTTATGGTCTTCTGGGACTTGCTCCTGCAAGGGAAAAATGGTAACAAGCTACCTCTGTGTTCCATGTGCCTCTAGTTCACTCCTTTCGCTACTGTTTATAATACAGTTGTACCATTAGATCAGAGCTTGCTTACATATTTACTTTTTGAAAAGGCATTTGGGTTAGCATTTTCAATGAGGACAGGGCTGCAGTGACCATTCTGGTCCCATCTCCTGGGGGCCAGTGTGCGCTTCTCTCCAGCACACAGCTGGAGTGAAGTCGCTGGGTCACGACCAATGTGAATATCCTACTCTTTATAGCATGTTGCCAATCGTGTACCCATTTACATTCCTACCAGCGGTATCCTCTTCAACACTTGGTGTCATCAGAATTTTAAATTTTTGCAAATCAGAGAGTCATGACCTGGTTATAACTTCTTGTGATCTTGATTTGTATTTCCACGGTGATCGATGAGCTTGAGCATTTTTTTGTATCTCTGTTGGCCATATGTGTTTCTACTGCTGTGTCTTATCTGCTCCAGTCTTTTGCCTGATTCTTTTATTAACAATAATTCTATCAACCTTTCTAAACCATGGTAGTTTTGATTTCTACAGTTTGGCCTTTGGCTTTTTACCTTTACCTTGGACATTTTTTTTTTTTTTTTAAATTTGGGTCTTGACCACAAGCTCTTCTGCTGTGCAGGTGATATTGCCATCCTTGTGAAACCGCTGGTGGTGTCTAAAGGTGACCGGGGTTTCTTGACGACCACCAGTCTCCTTGCTGTGGATGGAACAGACAAACCTGAGGAACTGCTCTATGTCATCACCTCCCCTCCACGGTTTGGCCAGGTCGAGTATGTCCGCTATCCTGGAGTCCCCATCACAAGCTTCAGCCAGATGGACATAGCAGGACAGACAGTCTGCTATGTGCATAAGAGCAAGGCAGCTGTCTCCCGTGACACCTTCAGGTGAGCCCCAAAGAAACTTTTCAGAACCCCTTCCCTGGATTAATGCCTAGACAGACCAAAGGTGGCAAAAAATGAGTTCTTTTCCAACTCTGATATAGCAATGGTCTTCTGCTGCCTAGATGTATGAAAGGTGGAGGTGTATGATTAATTGGACAATAGCAAATCAAGAAATTAGAGCCTGTTGTTTAAAAAAAAAAGCACATCTAAATGCCAGATGTTCTAGGGAGAGGAACTAAACACCTTTGAGTCCCAGCTAAGGAGAAACTAAGTGAATTTTCTGCTTTTATGGGGTATCTTTTTCTATCTGAGGAAAGGTATTTAGTGGTAAACATTTGGCACGAGCAGACATGGCTTTTTGACATGATGTGTTCCAGGATCTACATCATAAATCATATTATTATCAAGTGTCCCCATAGAAACAATGTTATAACTGGGGGCTGTATACCTATTTAAGAATTCTGTAACAAATCATTGGGATGAATAACAATCTGGTGAAAAGACAAAGATATGACATTAATGAAAGTCCACATTCATTTAAAATATTGAAATCTATTTCTAGTCATAAGACTAGAAGGAAGACAAACTCTAGAGGAGCAATCACTTAGCAGTCCCCAGAGCTGCCTGGTCTCAAGGTCCTTGATAGAAATCCAGATCTCCAGGGCTGGGATGAGAATCTAGAAATCTTGAGGTGCCTGAGAGGATAAATGGGTTGACCATCCAACTCTGATTTTGGCTCGGGTCATGATCTTAGCTTCCCGAGATCTAGCCTCGAATTGGGCTCCACACTGGGCATGGAGCCTGCTTAAGATTCTCTCTCTCCTTCTGCCCCTCGCTGTCACCCACACCTGCCTCTCCCCACATACCCCATCCTGGCATTCACTCACTCTCTCTCTCTCTCTCTCTGTCTGTGTCAACAAATAAAAAAGGAACCTAGAAATCTTGGTTAGACTAGCCTTTGGGGGAATCATTGTCCTGAGTTTTACCAATTAACATGGAGGCCCTGAGACCATTGGTTAATTTGCCATACTTGAAGAGCTTCTGACCCCCAGTACAGTTTTCACCATGTCAGAATACAGCTTCCAATATGGAGCCTGGCTTACTCAGTCAGTAGAACATGCAACTCTTGATCTCGGGGTTGTGAGTTTGAGCTCCACAATGGCTGTAGAGTTTCCTTAAAAATAAAATCTAAAAAAAATACAATCTTCAAAAGAGCACTATAAATTAATGTAAATGTAGCACTTATCACCATCATATATTTTCTCTCTCTAAATTCTGTATGTTTGCTATGAGAGACATTGTTTAAATGTCAGTAAAGATGATTTTGCATGCCTTCTTGGAATTGCAATTTGGAAAGATGGTTAAGATAATTAACTGTTAAAAAATTTGGGGAAGTTTGAACTTGTATTTTCTTTTTTTTTCTCTTGACAACATGTCCTTAATAAGTAGATAATCATTTGGTTGATCAATATCCAAATAACAATTTAATGTTTGAGTGTTGCTAAGCATTAACTAAAATGTCAGATGTGGGGATTCCTTTTCATGCTGGTTCTTTCACTCTAGAAGTGGTAGAGTTGTAGACATTACACTCTCTACCACTGTGCATAGACTGTGTAGACACAGTCTTGGGGTCAGTTACCACCTTCATTACTTACCACTCTGTGGTCAAATCACACTCCCTCCTGTGCTCTTGTGTCCTCTTTGTGAAAGGAAATGATGCTCATAGTACTTGTTTTGCGGGGGTAATGGGAGGTATAAATGGGTTTATGCATGTAAAGTACTTAGAAAAATATGTGGCACATAAGAAGAATGAAATAAGTATTAGCTGCTCTTATTACTACTATTATTATTGATACTATTGTTCTTATCATTGTTTATTATGTTCTTTCCTTGGCCCCCTTTTTCTGCCAATGTTTACAGTACCAAGATTAATCTTGGAGGAAAGAAATTACAAGAGTGATGATTGTTCTTTCTTCCCCTGTTACTTATGGAGGTTGGGTGCTTCTTGGCTTAATCAATGTATATCAGATTTAGGGCTTTTAATTTTACACCCATTTCTGGAACTGCTTACTCCTGTCCATTCCCACTTTCCCCGGTCAGTGCCCATGGGAGAGTCTGTGGAAGACGTTCATAACCATTTGGAGAAAACAGTGACCCCGCCAATGATGTTTGGAAATCAAGCTTAGATATTAATCAGGTGGTGTTGAGAAGTAGAGAATGAAATGCAAAATTTCTGTATGTGAGGATTGAAGATACTCTAAAAATTTCCTAATCCACATCCATAGAGAGTCATACAAGATGACATTTTACAAATCATTTATCCTAGGAATTTTTAATTTTATTTATTTTTTTTAAGAGGGGGAGGGGCAGAGGGACAGGGAGAGAGAGAATCTTAACAAGGCTCCACGCCCAGTGCAGAGCCCGATGCCGGGCTTGACCCCACGACCCTGAGATCATGATGTGAGCCGAAACCAACAGTCGGATGCTTAACTGACTGAGCCACCCAGGTGCCCCAAGAATTTTTAAAATATTTAGATCTTGAAGAGATTTACTGGGAAGATTGATAAAAATACATTCTTGACTCTCACTCCAGAGAGATGACTCTGCTAAATCCAGTCTTGGGCCAGAAATCTGTATTTTTCAAAGCTGTCCAGAAGATTCTGAGGCAGTCAGGACTAGCAATCACTGGTCTGGTCCAGTCCATTGTCCCAAGCACATTCTATGGAGCTTTGAGGATTTACAAAAGCCCTCTTGGGGCCTCCCGGAGACAGAACATGGAGGAATTGAATTGGTGAGGCTCTGGGACCCTCACCCCAGTTTACTGATAAAGCTTTCGGGGTTTTTTTTCAGTGTTTAATTGTTGTTTTTATGTTTTGTTTTGTTTTTATTGTCTTTAGTTTGTTTTGTACGCTGGACTCCTGGTAGGATTTTCTTTTAGCAAGAAGTCTGTGGCTCTATTTCTCAGAGTGAGTAATTTGGGCTAATAGTTACACAAAGATGCAAAATGACCTCGGTTGGTACAGGGAGAATGCAATAAATGACAGGGAATCCAGAGTAAGAAACTACTCCCTTGTAGTCCTGTCAATCCTCCTTATTATTTCAAGAAAGAAATCTCAGGCTGGGGCTCGTTTGGTTTCAACAGCTCTTCAGTATTAACTGCTTTCCTTTTTAGCAGACAATACGGCCTTGGGTTCCAAGCCGTTGGACCACAATACCTAGCTAGAATTAAAAACATCGTTTTCATGTATTTATTTTTGCAGTATTTATGGGATTAAGTTTTTAGTAGTAAATATTTTCAGCTTTTCTAGTTAAAAGATTTTCTCTTAAATATGTTTGTTTAACTACAAGAGTGAGTTGATCTAAAGCAAAATAGTAATAAGAGTATAGGTGGTAGGAGAATGTGGCAAAAATTATGAAGATGTTGTTTGAACCTAGGAAACAGGGGTCAGAAGACACTGATTTAGTCCAATCCCTTCATTTACGCAGAGGAAAGCTAGTATTGCTTGAATACCTGTGATGCGTCAGGCAGTGTACTAGACTTTTTTGTCGATCATTTTCCTTAAGCCCTACATCACTACTTGAGAGAGATGATTTGGTCCCATTTTATGCATGAGAAAACCAAGATTCCAAGAGGCATAGAAAATCATCTATATTGATGTCACTGAGTATCAGCTGAACTGTGAAGAAGATCTCATTTTTAAGAGACTTTTTTCTATTATACCAAAAATTCATGGAGAAAATGCACCTGTGGGAAGAAACCTCCTCAATGTGTCATTCTGATGTTTGGCCAGCAGTCTGACATATTTATAATGGAGGAGCCTAATATCTGCCCCAGACCCATGTTTTAATCTTGTCATTTCACTCCCCCAGTCATGGGCTGCCGTGTTGTTTGTCAGGTGGAGCTAACCCAAAGCTGAGAGTAGGTCTTAATGAAAGTGTGCAATCGTGGTGCTTTTAAAAATTAAATAGATGCAACCAATCTAATCACCTAAATTTATGTCGCTTGCTGTTAAATCTGGCAAGGAATTTGGCTGGGTAGGAGAGATAAATTCTGTGGCAGAGAATTTTTTCCCCCTTCTCTTTTTAATGTAAGATATGGCAGCATTAATTAAACGGGGGAGCTTAATGGTCAGATTTTACCTTCTGCAAAAATATTTTGTGAATCATGAATTTCTCCTGCATTGTTTGGTGCTGCTGGCCTGGAAGAAGGATTTGGCAGCATATTCGAGGACAGATGACACCAAGTGATTAGCAAGCTGACTTCAGCGGCTGGCAGCCGGGGACTCAAAGAACATGCTAATGTCCTCCATTTTGACATGCTGGCTGGACTTTTTTTTTTTTTTTTTTTTCCTGAGGAACTGGCTCTATTTATGATTCCATTTTTATCTTTTAAATGCCATGACAGATGGCAGATTCTTCAGCCAACTCTCTTGCCAGGAAACGCAGAAAGCCTGAATGCACCACCGTAATGGTGAAATCAGACCAGGCAGGCACCCCAGACGAATCTGAGAGCCATTCCCCAAATTTCATGAGGACAGTGGTCAATCCTGGTGGTGTCTCTTTTCAGGGAGGCTTAATGAGGGAAATGAAACAAAAATGGATCCACAGAAGAAGCTGCCCCCTTGATACCACCAGCTTCTTAACCTTGGAATGGACGCCATCGTTGCAATGGCACTGTTGTTTCAAAACTTGAAAATAGATCTGGAAGGTTTCTTCAGGGGTGGTGGGGGAGAGCATTTGGACGATCATCTGGTCAACCTTGGCGGACGCGAACAGCACTGACCTTGGTGGCCTTGTTCTGCTAGGCTTGTTTTGACTGGGAAGGCAACCATGACCGTTCCCCCTGTCTCCCTCTGATAATATGACTAGTTTGCATTGTTACTCATGAAAGTGGAAGGAGGTGTTTGATCTGGTCATGTTTAGATATTTCATCCTTTTCACCACTGACTTATTAGCTTTAGGTCAGCACAGACAGCTGCCTCGGTGTCCCAGCTGGGAACACGGGCCTCAGTAAACATATTTCTTACTCCTATATGGTCCCTGGCTTCCCTTGCCCTCAGTCCCATCTGTCTGATGGCAGGCTGCCTATTTCCGACATGGTCAGTTCCCCATCATCAGGCAGGGAGAAGTCTGAGAAGGACAGCCTGAATCCGAAGACAGCTTCAGTGTCCTCACGCAGGTCATGCATTGGTAGATAATTACGGCCATCCTGAGGCTGAGCTTCGAGGTGTTTTCAGAACTCAGTCTCCATTGGGGAAAGTCAGAATGCGCGCCCGTGACTCACTCAAGCCCCCTTGACACTCCTTACTCCTGATCCCTGTCTCGCCCCTCCTTTCCCCTTTTTTCTCCACCCATATTTGACATGCTTTTAATGGGGTACACATTCCTTAATTTCTCTGATTAATACTAATGCTAAAAATGCATGTCCTTGGGGCGCCTGGGTGGCTCAGTGGGTTAAGCTGCTACCTTTGTGATCTCAGGGTCCTGGGATCAAGTCTCGCATCGGGCTCTCTGCTCAGCAGGGAGCCTGCTTCCCTCTCTCTCTCTCTCTCTGCCTACTTGTGATCTCTCTCTGTCAAATAAATAAATGAAATCTTTAAAAAAAAATGCATGTCCTTTGGCTTAAATTTGTGCTAAACTATAAACAGCTGATTTAAAACTTTCCACAATAGCACATTGTGAGATAGGGATCTGATAGGGAGTAGAGAGCCACTTTATTTGAAATGGGAGGCATGAAGCATGTTTCTGGAGGGGTGAAGTGGAGAAAAGAGAAACTGGAGACACTGAGGGAATGCCTCGTCTCCTTTTTTTTTTTTTTCCTTACTTCGGGTTAGATGATAGGCTCCAGCGAAGGAGACCTGAAAAAGTAACAGGAAAACAACGGAATAAAAGCATAATTCCATGAAAAGCTCTCCCTAAGAAATCATTATTTTCTTTATTCTTCTTTTTTTTTTTTTAGATCATGATTTTCATCTTAAAAATGCATATCACTTGACATTTGAAACTGCCAAAGGGACTAATAAGTACAAAGATGAAGAACACACAGATATTTTTCTGGGTGTGTTTCCTTTTGCTCTTTCAAAAATAACTAATTTTGTAAACACTCATGATACAGCAATGAAATTGTCCTATTTGCTTAGAATAGACTTAGAAAACGTTTCATTTTTACAAAAGAACAGCTGATTGTTTTGTTTTAAGGAAACTGTGATTTTGCTCAGTGTACAATTCTAAAGCTAGAATCTTTATCCAGACTGTAAAAACAATGCTGTGGAGAGAAAAAAGAAAAACAGGTTAAATTCTTTACAAGTCAAGTTGTGTGAAATGTCAAAAATTTGCTTTATTTGTAAAATTCCACTTAGTGAGTTCACTTAGCAGAAAGGAATAGATTGGTTTTTCCTTGCATCACATTGTATTTTCCTTGTAGGCAGTCTTATCAACTAGATAATTAGAAAGCTCAAACATTTTAGCTTAGCCTTCAAAGTAAAATCTGTGCTCAGCCAAACTCCTGTTCCTTTCCTGTCTGTCCAGCTGCTCCTTTCTCTGAGCCCTCTGCCTCAGGCAGGCTGGTTGACTGTTTGTGCTCCTACAACCTGGTTTCAGGTTGTCTCCTGTTCAAAAGCAAAGCAATCAACCCTTTAACCCTGAAGGACAAGACACACTTTACAAAGAATAAAGAACTTGTCAGTCAAATTTGTCAGATTAGCAAAATAAATATAAACCTCATATCTTCTCTAGTTTAAAAAAAAAAATCGAAAGAAAATTCTTAAGTAATTCCAGGTTATATTCTATTAAAACATTTTTTTTTTTACATCTGTGGAATATAAGAGTATCTCCTCCATGAGTATTTCTAGCAACCACAGTACATGGAGAAAAACTAACAGATAGAACTCCAGGATTATTTCGAAGTACATCTCTTTGGTCTATGGTGAATTCATCAACTCCACTGAGAGCAGTGATTGGCTAACTTCTTAGAGTTTCCATACTCTCAGTTGCCCTTCAAGTCAAATATACACATGGACATGTTCTAAAGATCATTTTGATTGGTTTTCATGTTGACCTTGGCAGTGGTGGGTGGACTGTGATTTAGTGATCAATGAATCAAAAAGCACGTTATGGTATCACAAATCCAGGGGTGTGTGACTGATTTTGTATACCTTGAGTTGATATCATTTGAGCTTTCTCTCTAGCATTCTGTGGTGGTGCTCAGGTACCACAAGTCTGTCTTTGTGGTTTGTTAAACTGGCCTGTATTAAAAACCCTTTAAGAGCAGGAGGTGTGGGATCCGGAATCCTAGTTCCATTCCCAGCTTTGTCTCCTACCTGCTTTATGATCTCCCACTACATCTGTACCTTTCTGATATAATTTGTTTTTCTTTAAATTAGGTAAGTAATCCTTGTCTGGTGTAACTCCCATATATATTGTGAGGGGCAAATACAGAAGCACAAGAAAAATTTGAGGGATTAGAGCATCATATGATGTTTTAAAGTTAGGTGATCCTTTGCAATCATCTGGTCTAATCTTTTACTTTCTAAAAGGGTGAAAATGAGGCCCGGGGAGGGGAGATGAGTTAGGCAGGATTATATGGCTGAGTAATATGATTTGCTCTTAAGAAATTTACCACAAAGGGATGTCTGGGTGGCTCAGTCAATTAAGCATCTGCCTTCAGCTCAGGTCATGATCCCAGGGTTCTGGGATCGAACCCCACATCAGGCTCCCTGCTCAGCGGGAAGCCTGCTTCTCCCTCTCCCACTCCCCCTGCTTGGGCTCTCTCTCTTTTTCTCTGACAAATAAATAAAATCTTGAAAAAAATAATAATAAATTTACCACAAAAATTCAGGAATAAAATGAAATTGCTAAAATTAGTCACTGGATTGGCCCCCAATTATGTCTTAAAAGATTACCTCATTAAATGCCTACAAAAAAAATACAATTGCAAAATTATAAACATATAAAATGAATGTACTCTTCCAACTCATGCAAGGGATCTACTAGTATGTGAAATTCCTGTTTGAGGCAAGGAATTCTACTAAATGTTGACGAGCCTGAGAAATACCACTGGCAGAATGAGGCTGTTCTATCACATGAGTATGCCGCATTGTTGAGAAAACACTTTTGGGTATAGAATGTTGTAGGTAATTTGTGTGTTACCTCGTGACTGGTTTAAAGGATAGAACGATGTCCTTCTGAAGGATCTGCCCTTGGGCTTTCATTTGAGTCCCAGCACAACATGTCTTTTAGTAAAAGGTGTGTATTATTATCATTTCATTCCAGTAGATTCCACAAGATTCCATGCTGAAGGCTGCCCTTGCCTCTCTTTGCCAGATTCATCATCAGCAATGGCCTGCAGACCAAACATGAGGTGTTTGAGATCATACTGGAGACTGTGGATAGAGCCTTACCTGTGGTGACCAGGAACAGGGGGCTGAGACTGGCTCAAGGGGCCACGGGCCTGCTCTCCCCTGACCTCCTCCAGCTGACCGACCCTGACACTCCAGCAGAGAACCTCACCTTCGTGTTGGCCCAGCTCCCACAACATGGCCAACTTTGCCTGCGGGGGACAGTGCTGCTTCAACATAACTTCACTCAGCGGGATGTGGACAACAGGGATGTGGCCTACAGGCACCTGGGAGGGGATTCCCGGGCTGACTGCTTTACCTTTGTGGCCACAGATAGGACGAACCAAGGCTTTGTGGTGGAGGGAAGAGTGGGCCAAGAACCTGTTTCATTCACGATCCAGGCAAGTATGATGAGCCCATTAGTCATTGCCACAGATATAGAGAAAACAACTTTCCTCCATTCCTTCCTTCTTCCTTTTTTTTTTTTTTTTTAAGATTTTATTATTTATTTGTCAGAGAGAGAGCACAAACAGGAGTGGCAGGCAGAGAGAGAAGCAGATTCCCCGCTGAGCAGAGAGCCCGATGCGGGACTCAATCCCAGGACTTTGAGATCATGACCTGAGCCAAAGGCAGACGCTTAACCAACTGAGCCACCCAGGCATCCCAACCTTCCTTCTCTTATTCAAATATGTGCTGTGGGGTGGGTCTACAGCATGCCAGGCATATTAATATGGACATATTAATGCAAAGCTTATTCATATGGACAAGACAGTTGCAAGAGTCCGTGACAAGACCGAAAGAAACAGAAAACATGGGCTTTGGAGTCAGACTTGACTAGGCTGGAATTTGTTGACTAGGTTTGTTATTTATTAGCTGTATGACCTTAAGGGAGTCCTTTAACTCTTCTGATTCAACCTTTCGTCCTTTGAAAACCATGCCTTACAGCATTGTGGTGAGAATAAAATCAAATTAGTTATGGCAGGCACTAGTATATTGCCTGAAATATAGTAGATACTCAATATCTTGTAACTACTGTTGTAATATCTAAGTGTTCTGTTATGACGATACCTATTGGTTCACATCATCTGATGGCTTTTTAATGGTTTTCAATTGAATATGTGAAAAGTACAAGGCAGCATCAATATTACACATGAAATAATGATGGGAAAACAACTGTAGTAGCTACAAGTGTTAGAGCATTAACTGTGGATTAGACCCACTTTACGTAAAGCTCATTTCCTTCTCAGGAAGAAGGGAGTTTTATTATCTGCATTTAATAGGTGTTCAGGAGTTCACAAGCTCAATAATGTGATCAAAACCATATAAAGACCCATGGTCTTTCTGATCCCCAGTTCTGTGCCCTTCCTCTGGCACTGCCCTGCCAGAGTTATATTGACTATTAGGATGATTCAGGGAGGGCATAAGGTATTTTTCCTTTTTTAATCAAAACACATCACCCTTGACTCCACTTTCTTTGGATGTAGTTTATCCTGTTCTACACACTTCTGCCAGCCGTAGAAGAGATAAATTTACATGTCCCAGTACCTTCTGATTATGTGAAATAATCATAATTTTCCCTACTCTTTAGTCTCTGTATTGGTCAGCGGTTTTCAGGGGGACAGCACAAATGGGATGTATATAGGGAAAGAGAAAGGAAAAAAAAAGAGATTTATTTTCAGGAATTGGCTCACCATTGTAGATTGTAGAGTCTGACATGTCCAAAATCTGCAAGGCAGGCCAGCAGGATGGAAATTCCAGCAGGAATTGATGTTGCAAGTCTCAATCTTAAAGGCAGTTGGGAGACAAAATTGCTTCCTATCTAGGGGACCTCAGTCTTTGCTCTTAATCAGTCTTCAACTGATTGGATGAGGCCCACCTACACTCTGGAGGGAAATCTACATTACTCAGAGTCAACTGACTGAAATGTTAAGCACAACTAAAAAATACCTTCACAGCAACACCTAGCCTGCTGTTTGACTAAACAATGAGCATTCTAGCCAGCAAAGTTGACACATAAAATGAACTATCACAGTCTCTATCTAAAGTGGGATCTGAGTAGAAAGGTGGGGAGTCATAGTAGCATAGAGTAGATGCAGGATGAGTCTTTGGCTCTAGGAAGGTCCAGAAAAATGTCATAAAATTATGATGCACTGGGAGAAGAGACAAGGTACTGATGTCATCAGTATGAAAGAAGTACTTTGTATGATGTAAAAATTTTTTTAATTATATGTCTCAATTGTTATTTGTCTCATCCCAGTCTTCAACCTATTAATATATTTTTTCCTGATTCCTGACTGCCCACTCTAGGTAGAGAAATGTAACTGTACTGTCCAACCAATAATACTTTTCTTGGTCTACTATGCTGCAAATTTATAGGAGTTACACATTCTAAGTACAGGCAGGAAAGTTCCTTCCTACCCTGCAGAGTAGAGAAGGAAAAGGGAGTAGAATTTAGAAGAAGTATCAGAACTTAAATCAGGCCTCTTCCAACACCAACACTCATCTTACAGAGCATAGCTATTCTAAGAGAATGATCTCTTGGTAGTTGCAGAATTTACTGACTGGAAAATGTTTGATATATGTTGTGAAAGTTCTTTTTAATCCAAAGCACAAGGTATTTTTTGTCATAAAATTAAATTATTTTTTTTAAAGATTTTATTTATTTATTTGACAGAGAGAGAGAGAGAGAGAGATCACAAGTAGGCAGAGAGGCAGGCAGAGAAGGGGAGGAAGCAGGCTCCCCACTGAGCAGAGAGCCCGAAGTGGGGCTCGATCCCAGGACTCTGAGACCATGACCTGAGCCGAAGGCAGAGGCTTAACTCACTGAGCCACCCAGGCACCCCATAAAATAAAATTATTGTAGACAGGGACAGCCTCAAACTTTCTCCCATAATTCCCCTGAATTTTCTGGTCTTTCAGAGCAGAGAGGTCAGGCAGTTTAGGAATTAAGTGACAGATGCCCCTCAATATCTTGCTTTCAAGGGCTTTTTTGGTGAGACAATATAATGTCCACCACTGAGTCACAAGTTGGTCCAAATAAATCTCTCAAGTGTGGGTGTACTACTCTTTTGGTCCTATCCTGAGTGGAACCAAAGGCAAAGCCGCCGGACTTCACAAGTGTAAAACACAGCTGCATTTCGCTGAAACATGCACAACCTGACATCCGTGTTGTAGGAAATCATGGCTGTGTGACCAGGACACCGCCATCATGCTTCAGTGAGTCCTGTACTCCTCTAAATGGGGATGGGGCTGGGGGTAAGAGAGGAAGGACCAGTGTCGCTGCCCTCTATGGTTTACCTGGGTCTGAGATCATTGTCGGTGAATCCAGCACAAGTTCTCAAAGGATGTAGCCTTCTTTTCTTAAAAAAAAAAAATGGCTTGGACTCCGATATTTTGAAATGCTTCCGATTTACTAAGCCAGAAGAGCTGTTTTTGAAGAAGTTTAATGGGATTAGGGGCAAGTGTGACCGAAGACACAACAGGAGACCATGTAACCAGAGTTTTTATTTTTTTAAATATTTTTAAAATATATTTTACATATGTTAAATATTTTAATATATAATATATTAAATATATAAGAAAACTTAAATATAAAATATATTTATATAAAAATTTAAATATAAATTCAAATATATATAATAATATATATTTTAAAAATATTTTTAAAACAAATCACAACAGGCATTTATTCCTTTCTCTCTCTTTTTTTTTAAAGATTTTATTTGGGGTGCCGGGATGGCTCAGTCGATTAAGCGTCTGCCTTCGGCTCAGGTCATGATCCCAGCATCCTGGAATTGAGCCCCTCGTCAGGCTCCCTGCTCAGCGGGAAGCCTGCTTCTCCCTCTCCAGCTCTCGGGCTGTGTTGCCTCTCTCACTATCTCTCTCTGTCATAAATAAAATCTTTAAAAAAAGATTTAAAAAATAAATAAAATCTTTAGAAAAAGATTTTATTTATTTATTTGAAAGAGAATGAGAGAGAGAGCAAGAGAGGGGCAGGGGGCGGAGGGAGAAGCAGGTTCCCAGCGGAGCAGGGAGCTGGGTGCCGAACTCGATCCTGGGACTCCGGCATCATGACCTGAGCCGAAGGCAGTTGCTCAACCAACTGAGCCATCCAGGGGTTCCGCATTTATTCCTTTTGTAACACTTTTATTTTTTATTTTATTTTTTTTAAAAGATTTTATTTATTTATTTATTTGACAGAGAGATCACAAGCAGGCAGAGAGGCAGGCAGAGAGAGAGGAGGAAGCAGGCTCCCCTAGAGAGCAGAGAGCCCAATGCGGGGCTCGATCCCAGGACTCTGAGATCATGACCTGAGCCGAAGGCAGCGGCTTAACCCACTGAGCCACCCAGGCGCCCCTGTAACACTTTTATTTTTAAGGAAAATGCAACATAAACCCACTCCTGCACTCAGCTGGTTATAACATTGAGGGTTTCTTTCCTGGCTCCGAGTATTTTTATTTTTCTCACCTGCCATTCGCCATCCCTCCTACTGACCTCCTGGCCATCATGAGTAAAGCGGCTTCTCCCACGAAAGGCCATGATAACTACGTGACTCCCCGCCTCCCAGCCAACTGCGCAGCTCTGAGATTGTCATGCACACTTTTTAGGAGAGGAGAATGACTGTAACTTTTGAAAATTGTTGTTGCTTTCTTTGTAAAATAATTGTTTATTGTAAACAATTCATAAGCTACAGAAAGGGACAAGAAAAAAATCCTTCACAGTCATACCACTCAAAGATAAGTACTTCTGGGGCACCTGGGTGGCTCAGTTGGTTAAACATGTGCTTTTGGCTCAGGTCACGATCCCCAGGCTCCCTGCTCAGCAGAGTCTGCTTCTCTCTCTGCCCCTCCCCCTGCTCGCGCTCTCTCTCCCTGTCTCTCTCTCAAATAAACAAAATTTGAAAAAGCAAAAAACAAAACAAAGATAACTACTTTTGGTGGCTTCCTTTCATTCTTTTATTCTGTGAAATTAAAAAAGTAGGAGGGTATGATATGTACTATCAAGCATATTGCCTGTTTCTACCCTTCATTGTGTTATGAAAATTTCCTAATGTCATTAGATCTTTTTTGAAAACCTAATTTTTAAAAGTTGAATAAGACTCAGTGTCAGGTAGAGATGGTTTGTAAATCCCCTGTTGGACTTGTAGTTTTATGGATTTGTTTTGTTAATTGCTATTATAAATTATATTTAGTGAACATATATATGTATAGATGTGTATGTGTGCATGTGTATATTATATATATATATATATATATATATATGCATATATATATATAAAATCTCCACACACATTTTGTGTACACATCTAATTATTTCTGCAGGACATACTCAAAAAAGTGAAAGTTTTGATCAGACTATATATACTTTTGTTTTATATATATATAATGCCAAATTTCTCTCCAGAAAATTTTCACTAATTTGCACCCCTACCAGCAAAAGATAAAAATGCCTGGTCTTCCAAACAGTTACTAACATTCTTGTAAGTGAAAAAAGAACTTTGCCAACCTGAGAGGGAAAAAAATATTTGATTGTTAGAAAATTCTCTATAGAAATACATAATGAAACCTCATATTTCCCCCACCCCATGCAACCGAACAGGTTTGTGTCAGTGCTCCCAGAATTTTGTCTATGTCTGTATGAACATACAGATGAACAAAAACGGTACTGTAGTCATCTCCTCTGCCACAGCTTACTGTTTTGTTTTGTTTTTGTTTTTGTTTTTTTACCAGTTCACATTCAGTTGTGGAAATTATTTATTTTCAATGCTTCCTACCTCGGTTTTTAAAATAGCTGAATAATAGTTTATTAGATCATCCTCTACCAGACTATATGAGTCTTATCATGGTACTTACTCTTTACTCAGCTAGGGTGAACCAAGATTTGCAACAGTATCATTTGGGGATAAATGAAGTTAAGACCTGAATGGATGGGAGTAAGAGGAATAGGCACCATAGTCCCGTACCAGTTGTGCAGTATGAGTGGCCAACTGTGCTTATCATTCAAACCTGCTCCTTCCCTAACTTTCGACAGTCATTTGCAAGATGGACCAAGATTCCTACCACACCCTACAAGACCCCTTTGCAGGGTCTGAGCCTTTGTGCCTCTCGCGCTCGTGAGTGATTGCCCATCCACTCAATATCTTCACAAATTGAGTCTACTTACTTAGTTATGTGGTTCTCATCCTCAGTGAAGTAAATACACAAATGCCTGTAAATAATCACCTTTCATTATTTTTCTTACCAAAGCATTTCTGGGCATTTTTTTGTTTGGGTTGTTTTTGGAAAGAGAGAGAGAGAGAGTGCATGAGTAGGAAGGGAGGGACAGAGAGGGGAGAGGAAGAATCTTAAGCAGGCTCCATGCTCAGCATGGAGCCCACTCAGACCTCGATCTCACAACTCTGAGATCAAGAGTTGGATGCTTAACCGACTGAACCACCCAGGTGCCCCAGTGTTTCTGTTTTTTATTCAACATTTATGCCATTTGAGCAAAGATGTGCCCCCAAAATATTCAATTCATTCGTGATGCATATCCTTATGTAAATGTTCATAGCTTATTTCTTATCACCAAATACCGGGACTCCTCCTCGGGAGCTAACGTTAAGTTTTCAATACAGTTCTTGGGTCCATTTTAATGTATTCATTCAACAAATACTCCCTGAGCTGCTCTTACGGTTCAGGTGCTGTGCCAGGTGCAGGGAATAAAGGAAGGGGTAGGGGTGAAGATGTGATGTGTGCCAGCAGAGAGCTTGTGTCCTAATAGGAGAGTCAGACAATGGACAATTAACAAGCTGGGTCAAAGTTTACAATGGAAAGTTAGCTTCTGTTCCAGGCATTATGGTATTTACTGAGGATACTGTGAATGAGCCAACCTGTAACAGAAATGAATAAATGAGGAAGATAAGGAATCTGAAATTTGGGCTAGATTATCACTGTTAACCATTTAGACCCTATGTTGCTTGGAGATGAGAAACCTCTGTATAAGACTGTACGTCATTATTGATTATCCAGGTTGACCAGCTGGACAAAACAGCCCCCTACATCACACACTTGCATTCCCCTTCTCAAGTGGGGCTCCTGAAAAATGGATGTTATGGGATTTACCTCACTTCCCATGTGTTGAAGGCATCAGACCCTGACACCAATGACGATCTGATCATCTTTAAGATTTTACGAGGCCCCCAGCATGGACATCTGGAGAACACAACAACAGGTACTTGCCTTCCTTAATCCTTGTAATTGCTCATCTTAAAATACCCCATAGCTGGCAAGGCTAGAGAGTAATTTAATTAAGTGTAGGCCCATTTGGTAAACACTCCCCAGGGCTTACCGATAGAGGCAGTTTATAAATCAGTATTGGTGCTAAATAGGGTTTGAGGCTGAGCAATCCTAAATTCATCTCAAGTGGGAGAATCAAGTACTGATGCGCAGCTGTTTATTATTTTTTTTAAAGATTTTATTTATTTATCTGACAGAAATCGCAAGTAGGCAGAGAGGCAGGCAGAGAGAGAGGTAGGAAGCAGGCTCCCTGCTGAGCAGAGAGCCCAATGTGGGGCTCTATCCCAGGACCCTGAGATCATGACCTGAGCTGAAGGCAGAGGCTTAACTCACTGAGCCACCCAGGCACCCCTGGTAGCCTTTTTTTTTTAAAGATTTTATGTATTTGTCAGAGAGAGAGAGCACAAGCATGGGGGAGCAGCAGGCAGAGAAATGAGCAGGCTCCCCGATGAGCAAGGAGCCCGATGTGGGACTTGATCCCAGGACCCCAGGATCATGACCTGAGCTGAAGGCAGACACTTAACTGCTTGAGTCACCCAGGCATCACGCAGCTGTTTATTATTTACAATTCTTTATAACAGCCAGATGGTAATATAGTCAGAGGAACACACAGTGTCAGGACCAATTTCATATTTGTGACTAATTTTTTTTTTCTAGAAGGAATTCTAAATGATGTCAGTTCATTAAACAAAAAAAAAAAAAAATTGGGAGGGGTATTATAGTTTCTCTGGATTGCATATTATTTCTGCTTTATGAAGACAATGATCAAAATATGTCACTAAAAAGGATGGCACAGAATTAGAGATTTTATTACTGGATCTTCCTACTCTCCCTCTATTTTTATATTTTCTTTAAGGCACAATATTTCTGAGCCAAAGTAAATTTTAAAGCCTAATTTAAGCTTATTGCATATGACTTTTAAGATACTTGCAATAATGTTAATTTCTTTAAAAATAGCTACTTTGGCTGTTTTTAAAGCTCTGCTTAAAATAAAATTGCCATATAATTTATCAGCTTTTATTTAATAGTTTGCTTGATTTCCCATGAAATTCATTCATTTCTTTCTTACAGGTGAATTTATCCATGAGAAATTTATCCAAAAGGACTTAAACAGTAAGACCATTCTTTACATCATAAGCCCGTCTTTGGAAGTGCATTCAGATATCATGGAATTTCAAATCATGGACCCCACGGGGAACTCTGCCGCTCCTCAAGTGTAAATTATTTTGCTTCTTCAGCGGTCCTATACATAGTAATGTCCAGAATATATCTGATTATGAATGTGAAATATTCATTTTAAAACAAAATCCCAGGATAAATTGGTAGGCCATTTTAGAAGCTCGTCGAATTTATGTTGGAGAAAGAATTTTCTTTCTACTGGGAGATAATGGGAAAGCCAGTAGCCTTATATGCTTTGGGAATATTAAAAAGTTAAGGTATAGAGTGCTGGATCATTCATATTACTCATGTAAATACATGCACTTTGGCACATAGAGCAGTTTCTGTCTTGATAGTTCACTCACACCCACGACTGAGCTTGCAGGCTCATGGGCAAATCATGCAGCAAGAGGTCACTCTAGGACTGCGTTAGTAACCCGTCTTTGAAAATACCTACAGCAGGAAGAATGGGGTAATCAGGAGAGGCCCGCAATACATCTCTTCCCTCCAAAGAAACCAAAAAACCCTCCCAAATGATGACTTGTGACTGCTTCTGTAAGTTAAACTGATCACAGGTAAGATGAAGGCAGCGTAAAGGGAAATACCGGGTAACAGAAATTGTATGAAATGTACAAGGGTATTAAATCCTCACAATGAACAAGATGAACAGACCATCCTAATATTTTGGACTGGGCCCCTGTTCTAAATTCTCTTGAATGCAGGGCTTGAATAATTTACCAGTTATCAGATAATCACAGAAAGTTTCATCAGAGTCCGATTCTCCTTATGCTGTGTTTTCCTTTCGAAATTTGACACACTTTCCAGGGCCCTCATAGAAAAGTTGCTCATTTATCCTAAATTCAATGTTTGCCGTAACCTCATCAATCTACACATTGTGAGAAAGCACAGCCTCTTTATGGGCCTTTTATGACAGAATGTGAATGAAGGAAGACAACAAATTCACCTCTGGTCTCCCCATTTTTACTTTTTCTGACTGAATTGTAGTTCCAACAACTGCCAGCAGAGGTCTCTATAGTCATTGTTAGAAAAATATATCCTCTGCAAAATTCATTTCCAGAGTCCCACCTCCACTTGCCCTGATAAAGAGTAGCACCTGGCCCAGATTCATAACCTTCACAGATTTTTATTGAGTGGCTGTTATATGCTACATTTGCAGTACTAGATGCTCGGGAAATAGGCATGAATAAGGAAGACCTGGGCTTTGACATTAAAATATAATCATGAGGTTATAAAACTAAAATGGAGGACCACCACCCGTTAAACTGATCTTATGCAAGAGAAATGATTCCTTGGCATTAAAATCTTTATTGAAAATATATTACCTAACTGCACCTTCAGATGGGTGTCTTCCAGTTCTCAAGAAAATGAAAAAAAGAAATCCCGCTCCAAAATCATTAATAAATTGATATTTGGTTTTTAATAATTCAACTAAAGAATGAGACTATTGACCAGACTTGTCTGTGACCTAATGCTGACCGCTGCTCCTTCACATGGGGAACATAGCATGGCTGACAGGATTTTTTTCTCCAGCAGCGATGCTAGATTGATACTGCTTCAACTGCAAACCCTTTTCATTCCTCATGGTTACAAAGGACATTGCTTTTGAAGACAATTTGTGTTGTTAAATAATTCTCTGATTTATAGGAGAATCCCAGAAGAATTTATAACCTTAACTGAGGCGATTTTAAATAGACTCCTTCTTCTGTGATACCAATTTTCACGTAGGTCGCTAAAGAGATTTCTAAATCAGCTGGAAAGGATTGGAACCAGCAAAACAAGAGGATGAAAAAAATGTCTACCAGGGGTTAACCCAGAAGTCATTTTGATTTGATTCTGACATACATTGTTTTCTTTAGGGTGGTAGGGGGAGATAGAAATTACTCAGCACTTATCTTCATGATTTGTGAACAGTATAGCTATCCCTAACCTCATTTATAAATAGATTTTTTTGGAACAAGAAGCCCATTATTCGAGTAAGAAACAATGTTGTGAATAGTTGTCTTTCCAAAACAGCCCACAAGGACCTACTTACGTGTATAATATATGTTACAGATATTTACAGGACAATTGTTTTCTATTCCTTTTTCTTTTATTTAAGATCTTGTTTTTTTGAGTGAGCAAGAGAGGGAGCGAGTGAACAAGCAGGGGGAGGGGCAGAGAGAGAGGGAGAAGCAGGCTCCCCGCTGAGCAGGGAGCCTGGTGCAGGACTTGATCCCAGGACCCTGGGATCATGACCTGAGCTGAAGGAAAACAATTAAGCAAGGGAGCCACCCAGGCACCCTCTACTCTGCTTCACTGATCTTCTTTAATCATCCAGTTGGGTCGATCTTTAATCAACCCAACCAGCAATCAGGTACCATCATAATCTAGATTTTATACATGAGAAAACTGAAACACGGAGATAGGAGGTGACTCTTCTCGCTCACGCAGCTAATTAGTGAAGGAGCTGGGATTCAGGTCTCGAGTCCACAGTTCTCCTTATCACACTGAAGAGCTTCTTAGCCACTCTTAACAAATCAGCTAGACTGGCCTACCAGGAAAGGAGCGGCAGACTTACCTCCCTGCTTTTTCTCCAGTCATTGGCCACCCAGGCAGCAGAAAAGGAGGAATACATACTCTTCAAGGACTTATGTTTTAGGTTTTTTTTTAAAGTATATTTCAGCTATTAATATTAATGTGCGCTCCATGTCCGACACACTGGTTCAGAATTATGGTATAGATAACAAAGGGAAAGCCACTGGACTTAGAGTCAAGGAACAGGGATCGCGCTTTGGGTCTGCCATTGACCTAGGTGACTGCGTAAACCTTAGTTAACTCTTGGGTCAGATGAGGGTGGTACCACGATTTGCTTAGAGAAACAAAGGAGATAAAACACATGAGAGCATCTTGCACAGTTTAAGTCCTTGACAAATGTGACTTGCCGCGGTGATGGCTGTTGTTCATTCACGTGAGTTCAAGACTGACTGTTTGAAGAAGTATCCCGGAGACGTCTGGGGGCCTATCTCTAATTAGAAATCAATTCTGGGATGATTCACAAAGTAAAGAGTCAATATTATTATTAATCAATAAGCTAAATTATTAATCAATAAGCTAAATCTTATATAATTTTATGTTCTTGGTTGATTGGGTTCGAAAGGATTAATAGATTAATAGTCCATTTATTTGGAGGGGTGAAAACTTCCCTGTAATAAAGCTAAAGGGACCATTGAGTACAATCTGAGGCAGAAGGAAGCTCTTTTAAAAACCAAGAGGGACCCACGTTCAGAACCTTGATTGCTAGTAAGTCTTTGCTATGGCAGCATTTCTACAGAATATCAGTTTTGAAGGGTCAATGGATACTCCATTAGACAAGATGTTAGGAAATCTAGATTTAATCAAGTTGTTGCAGGTGTCTGGGTGGCTCAGTCCTTAAGCATCTCCCTTCAGCTCAGGTCATGATCCCAGGGTCCTAAGATCCAGCCCTGCATCAGGCTCCCTGCTCAGCGGGGAGTCTGCTTCTCCCTTTCAATTTCCCTCTGTGTTCACGTGAGCTCTCTCTCTCTCTCTCTCTCTCTCTCTCAAATAAATAAATAAATAAATCTTTAAAAAAATAATCAAGTTGTTGCTAGCTAGCTAGCTTACATGCTTTTTAACCGCATCACTTCCCAGAGTCACGGAGATGCTTGTACGGAGTAGGAATCTGCAACAGGGATATGGTATGCAGCATATCTCAACTCGATTTGACATTAGAACCCCCACCACTCCACCCCAGACTAGCTCATGGAACAAGTTTTTCATGGAATACATTTGGGAGACATTTTATCGTAAATAGAAATTATTCTAGAACACTGAGATGCATGTAAATTTGCATAAAGACTTAGATTTGGCCAAGTGCCTAAATTTCAGGCACTGTGCTAGGTACTTTCACATATGTTGTCTAATTTAATCTGCAAAATGCAATCCTCTGAGGGTGATAAGGAATTCAGGCTTAAAGCATTTAAGTAATTGGCCAGAAGTCACGAAATGAAAGAAAGGCAGAGCCGAGCGTGAACCCTGACCTCGCCACCTCCAAGTGAGCGCTCATCTTGGTGGCTCGGGCCTTGGCGTGACTCAGTCCCCGCCGTACCAGTCCTCTAGCCCCACTCCCATCTCAAGACCATCTGCAGAGCTCCCAAGCCCAGCTACGCAGGACTCACGCTTTTCAAAAATGCCTCTGCAGACCACAGATGCAGACAACTTCTAACCAAGGCAGTTTCTTCTCACGTCTCCTGTATTGACCTCTTTCACGTGGCCACTGGGGGAAAAAGTAAACTTCAAAAAGAAAAGTTGACCCGTGCTGAAGTTCATCATCTCCCTGGGTCGCTTTTCCAGCTGCTGCCCCATTCCAAGGACTGATTCTTCTCCTCCCTCTGGCTACCCTTATCCGTTCCTGGCTTTGAAAGAGAAGGGACAAAAAGAGATCAAACAGTGAAGGAATTCCTAACAGGCGCACCCTGCGATGTTTGAGCGACTTTTATGAAACACCTTGCAGGGGAAGATGTTGAAACTCTGGGCTAGCTGAAGTTTTCACATTACCTGCAAGCCAGAAGTTGGAGCATTTGCCTCCGGTTAGATTGAAGAACGTGCAGAGGAAGGGAGGGGAAATGACACTTATTAAGCACCCACTGTGTACAGGTGCTCTATACATATTAATGAATTTTAATTTTCATCTGAGTATAATTCTCATTTTAAATCTAATGAAAACTGAGACCTCAAGAGACTGGGTAACTGACCAGAATCACACACTAATAAGTGGTTGCAAGATGTGTTTGACTCCAAAGCACTTGGGTACTCAGTGTTTCGGGTACTCAGTGTGCTGCCTCTTGGCTAAACGCTGTTTTCCCATTACCACCAGAGAAAGACAAAAACGGAAAACACAGGTGTTCATAGCATGAGATTATGGAGATTAATAACATCCTTTTTGAATTGATAAGTTTTAGAATACTCATAAAAATATTTTTTAGCCTTTCAATGTTTCTTAAGTCATATGCTACTTGATTATACATGAAGATCTAGGTGGAAGAATAATCACCATTTTAGCTTCTATAAAACCTTTCACTGAGAAACTCAAAATACTTAATGAGTATTCATTAAGGCTCATTTAAGCCCTTTGAAGTACAGGCTCATCATTATTTATACTTTGGGAAGTGAAGAAACTGAGGCACAGAGCAGCTAAGGGCCTTTTTCACACACTCTTTCTAACCTAGATTAGTGTCCCAAATCCCAAACTGGGGTTTTATTCCCAAGTCTTTCAGTTAATTGTTTTTTCATAGAAATGACTCAAGTAGCCACAAAATGAAATTGCAGAAAGTATCTATCTATCTGTATGTGTGTGTTTTGTTGTTGTTTCGTTGTTTGTCTGATTGTTTGTTTTTACAGCAACACTGTTGACAATTTGGGTCAGGTGACTCTTTGTCATGGGCTGGGGGTGAGCTGGGGGCAGGCAGGGTGACCTGTGCTTTGCACAATGTTTACAGCCTCCCTGGTCTCTGCCCACGAAATGCCACTATCACCGTCCTCCCCGCTGTGACAATCGGGGCTGTCCCTAGACATTGCCAAGTGTTGAGAATCATGCACATACCTTAGAAAATATAATAGTGTGCGCTAAGCCATCATGCTTTAGGGTCCACTGCTCTCTTGTCAATGCCATCCTTTCTCGATAGTCTAATAAAGTGCAGTCATAGCTAAAGAATCCAGAGTAAGGGCTGGAAAGAACATGTGAGGGTCATCTATTGCAGCAATTTTCAATTTTGTGAAATACGATGTTAACAGGGCCAGGGAGACAAAAGGTTTCAGTGGTTAGTTTCACTTGGGAAACAGTGGGTAAACAAGATCCCTTCATTCATTAAACAAGTATCAATTGAGCACCAACTGTTTTCTAACCACTCTCAGGGGACTCAGGAGTGTATCAGTGAACCAAAGAGCCCTGTTTTCTTGGGAGTATACTCCATATCTAAATAAACCGAATAGTATGTTCTACATATACTACCTTGGGAAATGAAAAAGTTGGTCAGGATAAGGGGTATCACAGATGCTGGGCTTTAAGATGGATTGCAATTTTATTTTTTACTTTTTATTTTAAAGCTCTTATTTATTTATTGGACAGAGAGAGAGCATGAGCTCTCAGAGAGAGAGGGAGTAGGGGGAGAGGTAGACTTGCTGAGCAGAGAGCCCGATGCGGGGCTCAATGCCAGGACCCTGGGATCATGACCTGAGCTGAAGGCAGATGCATAACTGACTGAGCCACTCAGGGGCACTTGGATTGCAATTTTAAATTGGGTATTTAGATGACTTTCCTTATATTTGTAGCAAAAGTTAGAGAAATGTCAACAAAAATGTTATCCTGAGAATCAGCTGACTGTGAAATCTACAGTAGAAGTGTAGTATATCTTATATTATTACTTGTAAATTATATCCTATACATCCTTAAATCCGTATTAAACACATACACCTATACACACACACACACACACACACACACACACACACACACACACACATCTCTTCCCTCTGGAGAGTACATTGTTAAAATATTTATAATCATATCACTGCTTATATGAACATATAAAATAGAACAAGGCAATATGTAAATTTAAAGTATGTGCTAAAGTTAAACAAAAGACGGGACATTAAACGGAGACGGGAAACAAAACAAAGCAAGACAGTTTCCTTGTGCTGCACTTTGAGATCTTTTTTTGTGTGGCAGGGGGACCAGAAACCTCATGACTTCTAATCCAATTTAATCTCCACTGATCCGTCCTATGTCTTCCGTTCACAGTAGTGGATGTTGGGAATTCAAATTCAGTTTCCTCATTAAATCAAATTTCCTGTTGTGATAAGTACCCCACGGTCACTGAGGGAAGTGTTTCTGAACTGAGGATGACCTACCCCTCAGGGACATTTGGAAGTTTCTGGAAGCAGTTTTGATTGGAGGAGCTGATGTGACTGCATCTAGTGGGCAGAGGCCAGGGATGAGGCTAACCATCTTACAATGCACAGGACAGTTCAGCAACAAAGAACCATCTGGTCCCGATGTCGAAGGTGTCCAGGTTGAGAAACCATTCCTAAATGACTTGAAATGATCACCATATGTGTGTCACATAAAATATGTCCATAAACTTCATTTCTGACCTGAGACTGAGCTTTGCCCAATGGCAATAGGACAAGGGAGGGATGATTAAAATGTGAAGATTCGACCCGAGCCTTGTCTGCATGACCTGTACATATCCACAGCTTTCCAGATTTCTCTCGTGGGCTCCTGCATCTGGTTGTCTACATGACGCCCAGCACACAGTCGTGTGACTTCTTGCAAGTGGAATTTCTTCTTTCTTTTAGGTGTTTGCGTAGAATGTAAGCAGCAAGCATCAGCAATAGAAAGATCTCAAATTCAGTACTGCAGAAACCAAACACACTCAAAACATGTGTTGCACCCATCCTAGGGGTGTGCCTGTGCTTTGGGACTGCAATATTTTTCCAGAAAGTATACAGGATGGCTTAATTTTGTGGCGTTGCAGTAGATCTTTATTATTTATAGTGTGGATTTTTAAGAAAAGAAACTAGAACATGGTGTGATGATAACCTTATCCTGTAGCCACTTTGCAGCATTCTAATCGTGCATCAGGGAAAGGCACACATTTCTCCGAACACCAAAGCCCTTTATCCTTTGAGGTTGAACCCCACCCTGCATGGTCCCTTTATGGATCTAGATCAGCAATCAAATTGCATTTAGCTTTTAGGCCTTGAGGACACCTGGATCTTCAGAGTGACATTGATGAATTTTTGCTTGTCGTGGTTTCCATTAACAGCTGAGAATGGATTCTCAGAAGATTGGACATTGAAACTCATTTCAACCTTATGGAGACTTAGCTGAAATCCACCCATTTTTATCTATTTCACTCACTCCCACTGCTCCTCTGTCCTTTCGGTTTCATCTTTCTGTCCTTTGCCCCAGTCCATCTTGTTGAATTTTTCCCCCGTTCTCACTTGACGGAGTCCTTTAAGAATTCTTTGCCACACATTATTTTTATTGGCATTATAATAGCCTCATTGCATGTTATCTTGTGATTTTTGAAGCATAGTCACTTGTTTCTTTATATCTTGACTGTTCCATGCCAGATTTAAACTCAGTCACATCAAAGACCAATGAGGATCCCAATATTTCTGATGAGAGGATTCTGTTTTCATGTCAAAATTTTACAAAGCCCAGAATGTTAGTAATAATAAATTTCAAGTGTATCGATTGAATTAAACATGTATGTTTATATAGATTCATGAACCTCTGCCATAATTCTGGGCTCCCAAACTACCTTGCCACCCTGGTCTGTGGTCCTTGGAGAAACAGACAGTGTTATTGAGTTTATCTTGCTGGTGAACTTAGAGTATGTGACTGCAACATGTGACTGGTGCAAAGACATGAAGTGGATATTACGGGATAGACTACTATTTAATTTGAGTGGTCCCCAGGAAAGCCTGGAGAACCCCATGAAACCCATACTCTACATGGTGGCATGCAGAATTTCTAGTTGTGGGAGAAAAAAATTATAAAAAATATGCATTAAGAAATCCAGAAGAAAAGCCTACATCCAATTGGAAGATGGGGGATACAATAAGGCAACCACTGAGTGTTTTGCAAACGTAGAATAAAAGGAAAATGAGAGAAACAAAAGTGACAGAAGTGTGTTAAATGATCATTGTGAAGAGTGCTTGTGTCCCATATACTTGTGTCTCTGATTTTCTCCAGTTTTGGGGGGGGGACTTCCTTTTTGGGGGGGTGGAAAACTTCCCTCTATATTATGAGGAGTAAAGTAGAGAGTTTCCATCCAATATTGGGCTCACTAAATCTACTGTGGGAAAAAGACCACCCCCTATATTTCAGGTTTATTCAGTTGCATTGCTGTCTCCAAACCACGTGTCAGTTGGCCTGTTTCATATGCACAGAAGGAGGAAGAGATAATGGTTATAAAACCCATGCACGTTGTAATTCCAAGACTCATCCTGAAAGATAACTAGTTATTTAACTGAACCCAAGTTCAGAGAATGTCTGTGTCTGGAACACTTCTTGGTATACCAGTGAAGGCCAAAAATAAGAAAGAAGATTCCCTATCGATGTCCTTTCCATAAATAAATGTCTCCTTGAACTTCACCACTCCTGGTTCCTTCCCCTTCAGAAGATTCATGTTTGAATCCCCCTGACAGCCTTTTAGCCTTAGTTTCTGCTTTCATAAAACAAAACTCTAATACTTACACTTCCTAACTCAAGGCATTGTAAGCATTGGATGAAATTGTTGGTAAAAGTTCTTTTTGAGCTAAAATGGACCAAATAAGCATGAGAAATTTTTAGCACTGGTGCAGGTAGATGAACCACATCTGTCACAGGATATGAACTAGTGATTCAGTCTCCTACCAAGCAGAGGATCTCTACAGGCATTTACTGTGCATTTTTTAAAAATTGATTTTCCCTTTTCTTTTCCTTTCATGCCCAGTTTGGAACTGAAGTGGTCTCACATCGAATGGTCACAGACTGAATACGAGGTCTGTGAGAATGTGGGCATGTTGTCTTTGGAAATTACCAGAAGGGGATATTCCATGGACTCCGCCTTCGTGAGTGTGAAGGTAACAACTCTAAAAATGTGAAATGTCAGGCTAAAACTTGGGCTGTTGGTTGGTGCCTTTCAATTATTTTCTTAAGAAGAAAACCAGAATAACCACGGAAATTTTAAATTGCAGGATTACCCCATTATTTTAGAGATTCTACACCTAACATTTTCTTGTCCGTCCACCCTTTATCTAGCTTCATTAGCTCCTAGATAAGGTATTTCAAACCCATTTTTTCATTTTTAAATCTGGTCATTAAGTCTGGAAGTTTGACTTTACAGCAAGATATATTCAACCTAGTGAACTCAGGCCAAAGTCTGCTTTGGAAAAGAAAGTTTGTATGCAAGACTTTCTATGAGGTCTCCAGAGCAAATTTCAGCCCCCAGATGGCTTTCTCTTAGTATGCCACCAGGATCACTTCTTGTGGTGTTAGTGGATGAGGAAAATCAAGGACAAACTTAAGAGTCACCCAAGTTAAAATTAAGAGCGCACATATCAATCTAGACCTCCAAGGGGCACCTGGGTGGCTCAGTGGGTTAAGCCTCTGCCTTCAGCTCAGGTCATGATCTCAGGGTACTGGGATGGAGCCCCACATCGGGCTCTCTGCTCAGCGGGGAGTCTGCTTCCCCCGTCTCACTGCCTACTTGTGATCTTTCCCTGTCAAATAGATAGATAAAATCGTAAAAAAAAAAAAAAAAAAAAAAAAATCCAGGCCTCCGAAATATAAAGAATATTCAGTAATCACTTTTAGATTAGTTGGATTTTTATTCCTTGCCATTGGCTTGGATCATGGAGCACAATTTAATGGCTTCTAGAACTGAAGGATCTTTTTAGGAGTCACTATCACAGTAACACTTCAAGAGAATGAAAAAAAGCTTGAAAAGCTTTCCACCAACTAACAATGGTGAATGAGCCTTGGAGACTCCACTCCTCAATCTCATGAAAGAGGCAGTGATATCAGCTTCTGGAAAAAATGGCCATTGAAGTTCAGTCTCCATTGCAATGATACATTGTATCATTACAATTGGTTACACCACATTACATCATTACATTGCATTGATACATTACAATGTATCCTTTAAATAGATTACAATGATACATTCAAATCAACCTCAGAACCTTGTTCACCCCAGTTGTATCATATCCGCATTTGGTATTGATCTTTCCAGTGGGTATGGACTCTTTTTCCCAGATCTGTTGGGTGCTTTATTGTTTTTGAAACATCAGACAACTTGGTATGCCCTATAATTTCCCAGCAGATCGTTTGTGCCAAAAGATATCTGCCTGAACAGTTTTTAAATGATGCTTTGGTCATCTATAGAAAGCATCATATGCTCGAGTCTAGAGTTTGACTCTAGAACATACGTACATACGTAGAACATAAGAACATACGTAGTGTGACATGGAACCTTTTGTCTACTTCGGCTGCATGCGCACCGCGATCCTGCCTGCTGAGTGTTCAGGCCTTCGTCAAACACAGCCCTGAGCCTTCAGAAACAGCTCTGCCCAGAGCACAGCTGCCACTGTATACCAGAGCATATTGGCTGCTTGACCAGAAACAGGGGAAGAGAAAGCACTTTTCCCTGCATTATTAGCCCTGGTTTGAACCGTGCACCTTCACGGGGCTGATTGCTCCCACCAGCCTACCTCAGACCATTCCTTTTCCCACATCAGATTCTGTCAACTCAGTGGTGGTAAAATGCTAAGTAATTGCACGTGCAAGAGCCCTGCAGGGAATGTAACTTCCGGCATATGGTGGCTACAGGTGTACAATGGGCTGCCTTTTCACAATGCAAGGTTGTGCAGGAGGAGCCTTGGCATTGTGGGTGAAGTGTAAATGGAAACTTAGCAGGAATTTCCCTCTCCAGCATGTTTCCACGGCAGACCTATTCTCAGGTCTTAGGGCCTTTGATGAGCAACGGAGGAAATGTTTAAAGCCATAAAAATAGGAACTTTGAAGTTTTCCATGGTGCGCTTCATTTCTTGGCATGAAGGTGAAGAAACACAGTAACCCACGTTTTTGGCCATCTTAAATGTCTAAGAAAGGGCAAAGTAACAGCTGTCTCTTGTGCTTACACCGGGTTCTCATTTGATGACTTCTTTTTCACACTAACCAAGGACACTTTTCTTAACGCAGATTTAGGCTCCCTCCAGGGAAGATAAGGCCAGGACTTGAGAGCCCTAAATCGCCTCTGGTTTTCAGCCTTGGGAGTGGGGAACAGGAGATCAGCAAACAGTCTCTGCAGATGAGCACCACTTTTGTTGTTGTTGTTAATGACTTATTTAATGGAGATTCGAAATCCTCCACTGTGTATGTGGATTGATTTTGTGTGGCCATTCTTTAGGTAGGCCATCCCCATGGGGCGCACATCTATTTCTGTGAAGAGCGGTAGTTTCATCCTTACGGGAAAATTGACCAGAGTTGTTACAGGTCAACTTGTCTAAGGCATTCCGTGCCCTGAAACTCGTAAGACACCCCAAAGCTACTTGTAGGGAGCCCCTGCTGTTGCTTCTCCTTCTCCCCCCTTTCCTCTGAGGCACCATTCAAAGTCAGTTTGGGGTAGAAGGAAGGGGATGAAATAAATAGATCTTCATAAGAAAGAGAAAAGTGGTGCTTAAAATTTATGCTGCTTTCTCCAATGACTGAATCATTTATAAAGAAGCAAAAAGAAAGAGAGAAAAAAAGCTTTACTTTGACTTCCATTGATATTCATCTAAGAAAAAGTTAAGTTTAAGGAAGATCCATGTAGCTATAATAAAATGGTTTATTATAATTGAAAAAAAAAAACCCTTTATGTTAAAAACAGACTAAGGAGCATGAATTGGGGTGTCTAGCTGGCTCAGCCAGTAGAGCATGCAACTCTTGATCTTGGGGTCATGAGTTCAAGCCCCATTTTGGGTTGTTGGGTGTAGAGCCTCCTTAAAAAAAGAAACAAACAAAAAAACCAAGAGTTTAATCTTTTATGACACTAGACTAGATGTTTCTGTCTTAAAAATAATTATTTTTATTTAAAAAGGACATTTTGTTCCTCTTAAGGTCAACCAAGTGTCAGCCACAGTTGGAAAAGACTTCACTCTGACTCCATCTAAACTGATTCAGTTTGACCCAGGTATGATTCATGTCTACAGTTTGTTTCCTGTTTGTGGAAGAATGTGTGGCAATCATGGGGACTTACTTCAGCTACTCTACGAAAGATCAGTTTGGACTTGAGTCTTTGTCCCTCATGTTTCACTTCATCACAAGTGAATATTTATTTAAAATGAGAAGAAAGCTCATAACAAATAAATATAAAATATCAAAGCAAACATCCAAAACATCCAGAAAAGGGTGTCATCTAAAAAACTATTTGGGGACGCCTGAGTAACTCAGTTGATTAAATGTCTGACTTTCGTTTTTGGCTCAGGTCATGGTCTCAGGGTTGTGAGATGGACCCCCACGTTGGGCTCCACACTGGGCCTGGAGCCGGCTTAAGATTCTCTCTCTCGGGGCGCCTGGGTGGCTCAGTGGGTTAAGCCGCTGCCTTCGGCTCGGGTCATGATCTTAGGGTCCTGGGATCGAGCCCCGCGTTGGGCTCTCTGCTCAGCAGGGAGCCTGCTTCCTCCTCTCTCTCTGCCTGACTCTCTGCCTGCTTGTGATCTCTCTCTGTCAAATAAATAAATAAAATCTTGAAAAAAAAAAAAAGATTCTCTCTCTCTCTCCCTTTCCCCCCTACCCCCTTCTAACCCCCCCAAAATAAAATAAAAAATTACTTGGAGTCCTAACATAAAGCTGAGCTAATTTAATTGCCTCATACTTTGATGGAAATTTTCGGGAAGTCATATTCGCATGAGGCCATTTCTAAATGATTTCTCTTGGAATAGGTTGAAATGAGGGGATTCCAGGGAAGATTAATTAGATAGCACATATTTTGTTTTAAATCTGTGGAAAATATTTTGCCGGGTGCAAAAGGGAATATAAAAGTATGGTGCCTACTCTCAAAGGTGTTCTATCATGTGGGAAATAGAGACATGAAAACAACTCACTAAGAGTACAGTGGGACCCAAAAGATGAGCCATTGTTCTAAGAGGAATCCTGGAAGACTTCACAGAGGAGAGATATTCTGAGTGAGTAGAAGGAGGAGGAGGAGGGGACATCAGGGTAAAGGACCAACATACTTTTGGGAGACTGTGCCTGATGAACCATTCCTGGAGCCACACCTTCCTTCCCTGGCTTCTGTTGAAGGTGCAGGTAGCTCTCCTTCATGGCACACATGGTTCTCTCTTTCCCTCTGGTCTGGGATGGACCTGGATCCCTTGTCTGTGGACAAATAGAAAAGGACTTACAAAGCAGCCGTGGCCTGTGGCTTTATGCTCTCCCATAGGGGAGGTGTTCTGCACTCTGAGAACATTCCACCAAGTCACAACTCTTGCCATTATCAGTCACTGACACATGATGATTCAAAACAAAGTGGCCCAAGTATTATCACCATTCCAAAATTGACAACCTTCATAGCAAACATAGAAAAGAAATGCCTTTCTGCCCTTCACCACAAGTAGCATGATGCTTTGTGACTAGTTTAGTTTGCAAAGGCTGCCCTCACAAAATATCACAAACCTGGTAGCTTAAAAAGAGAACTGTATTTTCTCACAGTTCTGGAGGCCACAGCTCAAGATCCAGGGGTCAGCAGCACTGATTCCTTCCCAGGAGAGGTGAGAGAGAATCTGTTCTATGCCCGGCTTCCATGCTTTGGTGATTTGCTGGAATCTCTGGCATTCCTTGGCTTCTGCTGTATCTACAGCAGTCTTGCCCTTGTCCCCACATGGCTTTTTTGTGTGTGGGTTTGTGTCCAAATTTCCCCCTTTTATAAGGACACCAATCATAATGGATTAGAGGCCCACTCTATTATGACTTCATCTTAACCAGTTACTTCTGTAGTGACCTTATTGATAAGGTTACGTTCTGAAGTATGGAGAATTAGGATTTCGATGTAAAGATTTTGAGTACCCAACTCAACCTGTAACAATGAACCTTAAATTTGACACGAAACCACCCAAATATTATGACTGGCCTCCTTCCTGTGATATTTCTATTTCTGACTTGTGTTAAGTTTCTTCCTCAAGTGACCTGCTTTGTAGGAGAGCTGTTCCCATGATGTATTCAATGTTTACCCACAGATGGCTACAGGCAACACAAGAGTGTTCTGATGAAAGATTTTGGTGCTTTTGCATTGTGTGAGCCCCCTTTGTACTTCATGTTAAGGCAGTTCAAACCTTTCCACTTTGGAGAGAGCCAAGAGTCTTTGCCATATGTGCTCTTTATTATTGGAGGCCTGTCTGTCCCAAGGTCTGGAGCGATTTGGGCTTTCAGTTAGATTTCAAGCAGCCCACCAGGTGCTCCATTTGGATTGATAGCAACTAGAAAGTATCACAGTCAGAGGAGGCTCTGAAATTCACTTCTAGGAGATCCCACTGGATAAGATAAAGACCAATCTGTCTGCAAGAGTTTACATGCTGTTTTGAGTAGATACTGATGACTTCTGGAGGCTCTCACTGGTCATCTTAAGACATCTTAAGAAAAAAAATCCTGTAAGTTTAAAAGAAACAATACCTCCTTGCTCATTGTTTTGGAATGAACTAGCCAGAATGGTTTCATAAACTGAAGTCTTAATTTCGGGTATTTTAAAGTTCCCTATGTTCCCAGGTTCTGTCAATGTTTATTTACTCCCATGTTGTTAAGCCTTACCTCTTCTGGGTCTGGTGTCCCCACCCCCACTGCTTTTGTCCAGAGCAATCTATTTCTTTAAAAACGTAGCCTCCGCAATGGGCGAAATTAAAGTGTGAGTGAGAAATTAAAGATGGTGGGATATTGTAAGGTTTGAGAACTTTGGGGAGGGTGCCGGAGAGAAACACATGACTTCTCAGTCTAGTGAGCTATGCCTTGCTGCCATTGTACCGAACCCCAAACTGAACCTGCCTACTTTGCATTCAGCTATTGTGACTGATTGATTCGAAATGCAAATATTCTTAAGAAAATGATTGTTTTCCTTTTCAATATGTGTTCTTGAAAGGTTGCTGCTTTCTTAATTGAGACTAAATCATTCCTAAGAGTCAAAATGTTTTCCAAAGGAACAGATCTCTGACATGGCATTTACTTAAAAGCACTGAGGAAACAGCTTTCAGTAGTGAAGTCTGCTTTGCAGGAAAATATCCAGGAATTGACCTACTCTAAAGTGGGCTGTGTCTGCGTAAGGTGACACCTTTTCTTCAGCACCTTTTGTTTTATGGGAACAGGAGGCCAGTTCAAGGCTTCTGAAATTGTTTATAATCTCAGTGATTTAACAACTACTTTGCACCTTGAAAATGGGAGAGGAAGGAGAAAGAAAAACCCAGAAAGTTCTTACTGTCAATCTCATTAACCTAGAAAAGTGGGGTTTTCTATGGTCACCTGGTAAGCATGGAAACAAAAGTAGAATGCAAGCAAACCAATCAGAAAGTAATTAAATGAAATTTGGAAGAGATTTGCTCTAACCACATGGTTCTACTCCATAAGGTCTTAGAAAAACTTTATTTGGGGGGGGGGGTTGGGAGGGAAAAGGTTTACTGTAATTTTTTAAAAAATGACCCTTAATAATAAGAGGACAATTGGTTGGGACTTGGATTTTTTTTTTTTTTTTTTTTTTTTTTTTTTTTTGGTATTGGAGTTTTATTTGAATAATGCTTAACTTTGGGGGCTTTGAGAGTCAAAACAGTTCTCTGAACATTAAACTTCTTCACAGTCTGGTCTCTTATGCCTTCCTGCCTGGTTTATTACAACAGCTGCCTATGTGGTCTCCCCACTTCTAGCCTCTTTGCCCATCTTCCCAGGTCCCTAAGTCTTCCTGTGTAACACTGAGATTGATTTTTCTAAGACCGTCATTTTCAAGAGTCTTCCTTGTTGCCTATGGTTTAAGGTCTGAATCCAGCCACCTGGTGTCCAGGGCTCTCTGCAGCCTGGCCACAAACTGCCTTTGCTTTTTTCCATCTCCTGTTCCCTGGTGTGAGCTCTGTTCTAGCCTGTGCACCGGCTCAGCCTTCCCTGTTCAAGGCCTTTGCTCCTCTACCTTCCTGCCTTTGCATGTGCTGTCTCCCCACTCCCTCCCTCCAAAACCTCTGAACTCTGAGGCCCCCATATTCACCATCTAGTCTGCACCTTTTGGCAGTTAATCATGCATAGCCTTGCATAGTGGCCTTTTCTGGTATTTACATCTTGTCTCTTCAAAGAGGTTTTAAATTCCTTTATGTCAGGGCATGGCATTCTCCATAGCACCTAAAGCAAAGGTAAGTATGAAATAGATACAAAATGTATATTTTGATGGGTATATTTTGATCCATCCACCCAGGAGGTAGGAATCATATAGCAGTTTATGTTAGGTGTTTCAACTTCTGTTTTTGCGAAGACTAGGAAAGTAATTGATTTATGGATTCAGTAGATACTGAAAGCTTAACAAACCAGTTGTCAGCCTGTTGTTGTTGTTGTTCTAATAAAATTATTTCAGCTACACTTTATTTTTTTCCCCTCTAAGTGCAGCCAGGAGTAGGATAAGGGAACAGTTTCATCCTTCCAATGGATTCTGCAGGGAATTGAGGAAATGTTGATTAGATCATGAAATCTGTATGTGACACATCTTCAAAAAGGAGACTGTCATATAGATGGCACGATTGAGAGGCATAAATCTGCAGCAAACAATGTGCAGAGAGAAAGGAATCCAGATTTTCAGAAGAGAAGGCTAGGAAAAAAAAAAAAAAGTATGACTGCTTCTACAGATGGGCTTCTGGGAATAAAAGCCCTCTAAGAGCCAGTGAGTAAATGCCAGGGAGTAAATTTTCCAAAAACAGTCCTAGAAAGCTAAACCATACATTTGTTATCTTTTTTCCCCCTTGAACTTGAACCTTCTCCACTAACCTGTACTTTTTTTTTTCTTCCGTCACGTTCCCTTCTAAATAAACTAAGAGAGATATCCTGTAATCCACGTCACAGAAACGGATCAGGATCAGACAATCTCACAAGTTTCTTCCAGTTTTAATATTTTGTGTTTCTAGGGTTGCTTTGTGCCCCATCTTTGTGGTGACGGAAAGGCTGGGGCTATCTTTGTAACATCAAAACCAAGCTTGACTATAACTCCCTGAGCAGAGGCAGACAGAAAGAGGGGGAAAAAAAAATGGGCCCAGTCTATTTCTAAAAGCCCCAGCCCATAAATTCTCTTGAGAAAGGTATCAAATACTGAGTATGACATCATTAGAAAAAGCATTCGTGGGCTAGAAGGATCTCAGGAAGTGGAGCCGCTGATGGAGGCAGCTGTCTTTGGAAATCAATCACTTCAAGGGTTCCATGAATAGCATGAAGTACCCTCCGATAATCAGTTTTAACTGTCGGTACCAACCTCTTAAGATTTTTGGAACTATTAAGATTTTAAGATTGTGGTACTTGTTTATTCTTAAGGAGAGAAGGGGACCGGTTGGGGGGTAGGCAGGGCAGGGGGGCGGCATAAGTCTTGGATCTCATCTCCTAACCTTTTTCTTTTCTTTCTTTCTTTCTTTCTTTTTCTTTCTTTCTTTCTTTCTTTCTTTCTTTCTTTCTTTCTTTCTTTCTTTTTTTTTGTTCATCCCTTGCATAATGCAGCTTATTTTTTTGTTACAGTGTTTGCATTGAAACGGAATCATCATTGTCCAGGAACAAATGTGGTCTTTTAATATTATTTGGGAGAACAGCGGGACTCGAGCGAGTTGCTAACAGTACAATGGCTCGCTCGGGCTCCTGCCGCCTAGCTGTAGACATGTTAATTAATATATTTCTCTGACACCTAGGTGATTGAAATAGCAATTAAAGAGTAATTAAAATGTTTACTTCTTGTAGGAATGTCAACGAAGATGTGGAATATAGCAATTACCTATGACGGATTAGAGGAAGACGATGAGGCCTTTGAAGTGATTCTGAACTCCCCCGTGAATGCGGTTCTTGGCACAAAGACAAAAGCTGCAGTGAAAATTTTGGACTCAAAAGGAGGTATTCTTTGATCCTCATCTCGAAATCAGGAGCTGTCCTGGTGCTCTAGCTGCTTGCTTTCAACAGCCAATGTGCCTGATAACGCCTTCAAATCAAAATGCTTAATTTCTTGTCAAGAAAGCAACCTCGGTCATGCTGTAGGCCCTTTATTCTGCTTTCTGCTTCATGTGGTTTTCCTCCTGCTAAGAACTAGCATTTGAGAAAAGCAACAAGTCAGTGGCGTGGTTGTTTTTTTTTTCCCCTACCCGTTTGTTGTTCTCACCCAGGGGGAGACAATGTTGGTGAGAATCTATCGACAATTATTTTCCCCCAGAATTTGTAGGGCTGTAATTATCTTCCTCTGTTAAAGAGAGCTCTTAATGCCTCAAATCTGAATCCCCACTGTAGTGTAACCAGGAAAATTCTAAGAGAGGAAGGAATTGGAGAGAAATTGATGTGAAAGATACATCTGGCCGGGGGATTCAGGAGCAGCTGGGGAATATTCATGAATAACCTTGGGTTGCAGAGCCAAGTCGGTCCTGGACAGTATAAGTAAAAGAACAACCTGTGAACTAAACAAAATAAAAACCGAGCACAAGCCTTGGTGCTCTGATTTTTTTTTTTTTTTTCTCTGCTAAATACTTTCTACTTAGGTGTCTGGTTAGCATTTGACAAGCGTCCAGTTACCACGCATGGACTCAGACCTCTGCTTTTACACCTGTCATGCCCCTTGGTATGTTTCCCTGCCTGAAATCCACTCTCCCCTCTTCTTTTTCCTATAATGAAAATAAACACTATCCCCTTGCCTTTATGAAGCTCCTATTTCCACAACATCTTTCCCCATCACCTTTATGGCCAAAGGTGGCCATAAAATTGGCCGACTCAAATTGATTTCTTTTTCAGTAGAACTTTCTGGTCGCAGTAAGTATATAAAATACGTGAAATACTTACTTTACACATGAAGTACACAAGAGCCACATGAGGGTGAGGGTCGTGGGTTTAGATTTTTGTCGTATGAATTGGAAGTGTTTCCAATAGAAGTAGTTCCATTAAGACTTTCTGGCTCTTTGTTCTGTAACAGTCGAATGCTAATTTTTTGTAACTGTTACTTGATTTCGCTTCTTCAGACAATCCCAGTGCCTACCTCTAGGAGACCTGGGAAAGGCTGAGCCTTTGCAGTGTTTACGAACTGACAATTGATCAGTGAATAAGCCTGAGGAATGCTATAACATGAAGGGACGTGAGGCAGTTTCCCCAGTACATGGTCTGATTATAAAATTATGACAGTGGTTTCCATTTGTCGTTTGTGAAATCAGTTTCATGACTTTATAACCACCCGGCAGAGGTGCAGAAGGGCACAGCTCTCCTGCATGGCAGCGAAGGAACAGCAAAGGAGTTTCTGGCAAATGGCAAAGAGGCAACATCTGGGGAGAAACCATCCATCTCAGTTTAAGGCCCTAGCTGCTGCAAGGGCTGTGTTGATGCGATCACTTGCCTATTGGTGTACAATGAACTGACCTGCCATCATTCATGCCCCCAGGACAGTGCCAGCCTTCATATTCCTTCAGCCCCAGTAAGCACAGCGCACCGGAGAAGAGCATTTGGCACCTGCTGTCCCCAGGGTCTTCCTCACCCACCACTTCTGGTTCCTTTCGTCTGGAAAGACGACCTCTTCCAACCTCCAAGCGGCTGGCAGTCACTAGGGGAGGCATCCGACAGGGTTTTCAGTCTCCAGATCTTTCTCGTATGAAGCTTAGGACCCGGGGGAATGGCATAACGGTAAGGACGGGGAACTTCTGGGATCGGAGGTATGAAGGACATTGTAAAAGAATGAAAAATATATTAATAAGTGTTCTAAGACACTGATGAAGCTGATTCGCATAGTGAATGGGAACCATGGTTCCTTGCACAAGCACGCAATAGGGGGCTTAAAAAAAGGGGGCCCCTTTTTTTAAAGATTTTATTTTTGCGTAATTTCTACACCCATCATGGGGCTCGAACTCAGGACCCTGAGATCAAGAGTCTGAGGCTCCACCGACTCAGCCAACCAGGTGCCCCCATGCAGTGCCTTTTGGATACAGATATCATAATGCTGCCCACTTCCTTAACTTATACTAATTGAAGTGATGAATGTACTGACTCATCCATCTGATTTCTGCTTTGGTGCCTTTGTGGTCAAAACAGACAGGGGATAACCAGTGACCCTAGAACAGAATGAGATTAAGTGATCTACTTGGGTGTGGAAACCATGGCTTTGACCTTATTGACACAGGATTCTAATTAGGCACATTCTCATGAGTGGATGTGTGTGTGAGTGTGTGTGTGTGTGTGTGTGTGTGTGTGTGTGTGTGTGTGTGTAGGTTTTCTTGGACCTCTGTGTACTATAGATATGCCAAGAAAATAAGGATGTCTTTTCTCCAGAACAAACTATGAGTGTATGAATCAACACTGGTAAGTTGTGATTAAGTCTAATGATTTTAAAAATTCTAATGATTTTGGCATGGAAAGTCTTAAGCAACACATGTTCTAACATTTTTTTCGACACTAACAAGGTCTAACTGAAAGGGTTTCACCCTGTTGCTGGTTATTATCTCAGCCAATTTTGGTCCTATTTTGTACTTTCTTGATTTCAGGTCTTTCCATCTTCTGTCTATAGAAATGGAACCGACATCATCTATAATGTAAGCATAGTCTGAGAGAATTGCTAAATTTCTTGTATTTATGAATGCAAAATATTTAGTGAAACTATTTTTAAAAAATTTCTTCTGTATTTATGTGTTTCTCTTAAGAGCCTGTTTTGACATTTGTTTTCAAGACTTTTATCTTTCCACATTAACCCAATTTTTTAATTGCTTATTTTTCCAACAGGCATTTTTATTTGTTCTCTGGGTGTTTGCTTTCTCTTTATTGTTGTTTTCTGGTTTCCTCCAGTATCACGGAATGGTTTCCCTGCCGCTGGAGGAAGACGGTTCCCCATCCCACAAAAGGAAGGCCAAAGTCTCCATTATGAGACAGACACAAAAGACAAGCAAATTGGCAGATAAGGTGGAATCCACAACCGACTCACACTTCCCCAGACAGGTAGGAAAATCTTCTTACTTCCTATTCACCCTACAACAGGCTGTTTGCTGGGCCATGAACCAGGCTTCAGGCTTGGGGATCACTCACTGAACACAAATGATGTCTAACAAACGAAGACCTGAAAGGGGTGAGTGTGTGATCAGCTCACGTGAAGTCCAATCTACATTACCTCGCCTTCCCATAGGACCCGCTGCCCTCATTTCCAAAGAACTGCACGCTGGAATTAAGGGGACTTTTGCACTTTCAAGAACACCTCCAAGAGCTGTACGAGTGCGATGGAATTGCCTGGAAAGCTTGGAGCCCCCATACCGAGGTGGGACACGGGACGAGCCGCGAAGGCAGTCTGCTTGCATTATGCTCTTTGATAAGCTGGTAGACAGGAAAGGATCTGAGAGCTCAGGCTACATCCTCCTGCCCTCATTCTGCTTTGAAGGTGAAGAGGAAAATACGGCTCAAGGGGTGTTTCAGAAATCACAAAACACATTCATTAATTGATACAATTAAAGCAGGTGTTTACTCATTTTCTTTAATCATCAGAATGTCAAAAGTGTAAATCGAAACAGTGCTGACTTCAGTAGTGTTTTCTGCAAAACGCCATGGCATCCCTCAAGGTGGAGAATCGGGATAAGGGCTGACGTCCTTTCTGGTGACAGAACTACTCAAGTTAGGGGACTGTGGGACTCTTTGTGCAGAGAGCAGACTCTGGAGGGTAAAGACCATGATGTGAACGTGGACAATGTTTTTCAGGTGGCGGAAGGTAAATCCTGCCCAGCTGGGTGGTACCGTCACTCGGGGTACTGCCACTCCCTGGTCACAGAGCGGAAAGGCACCTGGAACTCAGCTGCCCGAGCTTGCAAGGAACAGTAAGAAACCCTCTTTCACATTAAGTAATGTTTTCTTTCATACTCTTTCTATTTTCTCATGCAATTGCAGGGTTGCTGCATTCTTTGGAGCGTTGAGTGTCCAATTTTGTTTTAGGAAACCCAGGAGAGCTCTATAGTTCAGAATGGATTCGAGATTGACCTTGATAATGCGTAGTGACCTATCTCTCTACGTGGAAACCGTGATTGCGGAAATTCTATGTTCTAGCCTCTTTTGGTCTTCTGGAGAAAAGGGAATTTTTCTGGGTCGGCAGCCTTGCAAGTTCTATCTTTTTTTAAAAAAACTAAGTACAGATTCTTGTCCACTGATTTGGAAAATACATAGCAGTGAAGGGTCTTATAGTATCCGACTTATGACAATGCCAGAGACAGCGATGATTATGAAACCAGACAAGTCGGACAAAGTGTCAGTGGGTAATGGAACACTTAGTGAAGGATGACCTGTGGTCAGATCATGACAACAAAATTTATCTAGCCCAGAAGGACTTTAAAAATGCAAACATACCTATCCCCGCCCCCCCTTTTTTGCCCACCTGGATATTATCCAGAACAGTGCAATTAGACTAATATTCCCCATGGCTGGAAATGGAGACTAGAGAGACGTCCCTGGTGAAGGGCAGTCAGACCTTGCACTTCATCAAATTCCAGCCGTTCTGCTTATCTAAAAACACTGTTAAGAAAGAGAAAGGGTGAATCACATTTGGCAAAGCTCATCTCCAATAGTCCAGCTGATCTCGGTCTCAAACCCAGAAAATACCAACAATTCCTATCAACCAGTAACAAAAAGACGACCTGATGAAAAAAATAGCAAATGACTTGGAGACTTCGTAAGGAAAGATATATAATTGGTTGATAAGTGCATGAAAAGATGCATCCGCATTAGACAGCAGGGAAGTGCAAATGAAAACCACAGTGAAATACCTCTTCCCACCCAGGATAAAATCACAAAGATTGACAATACCTAAAGAGTTCTTATACATGCTGGTGGCAGTATAAAATGGTACAACCGCTTTGTACTAACTGGGAGTTTTTTAAAGAAGGTTACGTACATTTATCCTGTGGCTTAACATCCCTAATCCTAGGTATTTACCTGAAGGAGATAAATATTTGTGCTAAAGGGGTAGCTCAGTTGGAGGAGCATGTGACTCTCGATCTTGGGGCCATGAGTTCAAGCCCCACGATGGGTGTAGAGATTACTTAAATAAATCAGAGTTTAAAAAATACACTAGAAAAAGACATTCACAAGAATTTAATAACAACTTTTTTAAAAAAAGAATAATAATAGTTTGCGTATGGGGTACCTGAGTGGCTCAGTGGATTAAGCATCTCCCTTCAGCTCAGGTCATGACTCCAGGGTCCTGGGATGGCACCCTGCCTCGGGCTCCCTGCTCAGCAAGGAGTCTACTTCTCCCTCTGCCTCCCCTTGCTCATCTCATGCTCTCTCTCTCTCACACACTCTGTCACATAAATAAATAAAATCTTAAAAAAATAATAGTTTAGGTCGTTTGTCTTTTTGTTGTTGATTTATGAAGGTTCTTTATATTTTCTCTATCAACAAGGAAATAGACAAATATTCTTCTTGTGATAAATCATTTTATGAATGATAAAATGGAATGAACTATTAAAACATCCAACAATGTGAATAAATCTCAAAAACCTATAGAGAGGAAGCAACCCAACAAAAAAAAAATGCATATTGTATGATTTTGTTTTCATGAATAGGAATAACTAATTTACTAGTTGGTGGTAGAAATAAAAACAAAAACAAAAACAGTTATCCCTGGTAGGGATTGTAGGGTGACTAAAAGTAGCATGAGGTAAGATTCTAGAGTGATGGAGAGGTTCCATGTCTTGCTCTGGGTGGTTGTAACATAGAAATATACAACTGTAAAAATTCATTGAATTGAATACTTAAAATGGATGCATTTTACTATATCTAAATTATAACTAGATTTTTATTTCTTTTTAAGATTGATTGATTTTAGAGGGAGAGAGGGTGGGCTGGGGAGGAGCAAAGGGAGAGGGAGAGAGAATCTTAAGCAGACTCTGTGCTGAGTCCCACTCTGGGCTTGATCCCACAATCCCAAGATCACCAGCTGAGCCACAACCAAGAGTCAGACACTCAACCAACCATGCCACCCATGCACCCCATAACCAGATTTTTAAAGAGCTAATTAAATATTTTAAGAGTCTATGCCGTTTTGGTGGCTCAGTCAGTTAAGCATCTGCCTTCAGCTCAGGTCATGATCCCAGGTTCATGGGATCGAGCCCCATGCTACTTGGGGAGCCTCCTTCTCCCTCCTCCTTTGCCTCTCCACCTGGCTTGTGCCTATTTGCTCTCTCTCTCAAAGAAATTAAAAAAAAGAAATCTTTAAAAATATATTTTAAGTCTTTTTAAAAACTGGTCAAATCAACCCCCCTTTTTTCACTGATGTATTTTATGTTTTAAGTAAGAGTGCTATAGAGTTTAATCAGTGACTTTCAGGTTTTTGTTGATGAGTGGGTGGTATAAAGTAAGGTAAACTATTTTTTTATTTTATAAATAATTATTGTTTAAATACATACCTTCCCATATTGCTGTATATTTAGGGACAATGAAGACATTCTTCCACCCAAATAACTGGGTGTCCTACTTTTATTTAAAATGTGTCTGAATGCATTGATAGCTCAGGTAGGAAGAGTGTTATAGATCTTTTTTCCTTCTTGAGGAAAGGGCTCTGTGTGGAATGAAAAGCTCTCTGATTCAGCACGGAGAAGATTGCAACATGTTCCGAGGAGGAGGAGGAGGGTGTGGTTGTGTATACTGACCAAAATGAGGAGGAGTGCAGGAGAGCAGTTATACTCTATCCAAGGTTACCCCAATCAAATTGCTGTGGGATTCGTTGATGAAATACAGATGAGCAGAGCAACAGAACCCCAAACCTCAAGCTTGAAGGCAGCCTTATTGTTCCTCTTCCAGGGGTCCTCAGAGGACAATGCAGCTAACTCTGCCGGCCTATAATGAAGCTCTGACTGGTTCTTCCTGTTATGAGAAGAGTGAAGTCCATGTGTACTGAGCGATATCTTTCCATCCCTTCATCACTGTTGGCCTCAGGTCACCGAGTATCTTTTCTTAGAAGGACTGTCCTTTACTCTGATACTATAATCTTCTTGCTTTTTGGTGTCAAAATTAATTTCTTTTGAAATCATGGCAATTTGTAGTAATACTGGCATCTTCCTGGTGACCAACCTACATTAACCCCAATATATATTTTATTTTATTGCTCCACCTAATTGCAGCTGGGTTTTAATGGTGAGTACAAAGAGTACAAAGACTAGTTATGCATCTATTAATTTTCTCATAAATCTAATAATATTATGCAATTCCCTCATCCCAGTAATAAACTTGAGGCTCGAATTAATTTAAAAGTCTAGCTACTTCCTCCTGCATTTGACCTAAGATCTCGTCTGTGACTTGGGTTTAAGCACGTTTACACCCTGACCCTTTTACTGTAGGCTGACCTAGTTCTACACGCCTTCTTGCCAATAACGCCTTCCTTTTATATTACACAGTACAGTTTACAGAATTCCTTCACCTGTATTAGCTTATTTGACCCTCCCATCACTTCTGTAAGGGAAGCATGTATAATTATCTACATTCTACAGATAAAACAAGAGATTTGGGGAAGCAAAATCACTTGCTGCGGACTTCATTTCTATTAGACTTTCCAAAATAGTTCCTAAAGGACCGGGGCTATCTCATCTCAGGTGAATTGAGAAGCACACCTATCTTAATTTTGTGTTGAACTAATCTAAAGTAGGTTTCAAAACTATGTATGAGTATTTTATATCTTTCATAGCAAAGATACACTGCAATTTTTATTGAATTATGGACCCTAAGTTTCTTTTCGGTTGGAATCAAAGTAATCTTTCAGAGCAAACCTAAGATACAATCAGATTCTCAGTTTATAAATTCATTCATTCAACAAATATTTCTTTGGGCACTTACTGTACTGGAAATGTCTAGGCCAGACTGCATCTCAAAGTATTATCCCCCGTATTGGCCCCACAGCCCAGTAACTAAATCATTCTTCATTCATCAAAGAGCTTCAGAGAAATTGACACTGTCTCCGTCCAGATACAACTGTCCCATATGGCAAGTCTTCATTAAAGATTTTTTAAATTTATTTGAGACAGAGAGAGTGAAAGCAAGAGAGGGCATGAGCAGGGGGAGAGGGAGAAGCCGGCTCCCCACTGAGCAGGGAGCCCCATGCAGGGCTTGATCCTAGGACCCCACGTTCATGACCTGAGGGACCGAAGGCAGACACTTAACCTACTGAGCCACCCAGGCGCCCGTACAGCAAGTCTTTAAGCCCTGCATTTTTACATCAGTGAGGTGTCATACAACCCTGACAATTCCTTCCCACATCTCTTTCTCACAAAGCTCTATTAAGAAGGTGAAAGTCACCTTCTTAAGTGCCTGGGTGGCTCAGTCCTTAAGCCTCTGCCTTGGGCTCTGGTCATGATCTCAGGGTCCTGATCTATAATTCCCACATCAGGCTCCCTGCTCGGCAGGAAGGCTGCTTCCCCCTCTCCCACTCCCTGTGTTTGTGTTCCCTCTCTCACTGTGTCTCTCTCTGTCAAATAAATAAGTAAAATCATAAAAAAAAAAAAAAAGGTGAAAGTCAATGGGGCATCTGGGTGGCTCAGTGGGTTGAGCGTTAGACTCTTGGTTTCAGCTCAAGTTGTGATTTCAGGGTCATGATCTCAGGGTCATGAGATGAGGCCCTGCGTCAGGCTCCTGCTCAGTGGGGAGTCTCCTTGAGATTCTCCTTCTCCCTCTGCCCTTCCCCCTGCTCTCTCTCTCTCTCTCCCTCTCTAAAAGTAAATAAATGAAACTTTAAAAAAATGTGCAAGTCCCTAAATTTCAATGGCAGCGTTTAGCTCTCATTGAGTTGATGTCTCTGGACCTAAACCTAAACAATGTGAGTTCCACGCTGTGTTTGTTGATTGCATATGTGAACACACAAATGGTATTTAGAAATAGTACAAATAGAAGGATATTTTGTGTTAGAATAACCTTTATAAAATCTATTACAGTAGTGATGGAAAATTTCCATCTCCCATATTAATTCAAGGGTATTAAATATCATAATCTAGTAGATCAAACATGGTATTATAAGTAATTTGTTCATATTACTTTGAAGTTATTTTGGTAAACTCTAGTTCCAGGGAATTATTTTAAGCTCTAGAACTGTGAGTTCTTTTGAGATATAAAACTGAGAAAAATTTCAGAACAAAAAAAAAGTTTTAAGGGACAATTCGAGTTTTTCCATCATATTTTAGAAAGAGACTATGTATCTGTCAGTAATAAAAACTCTTTCAAATTACACTTTATCTGTTTACCAGATTGGTCCAGAACTTAAAACATCTCTCAAATACCATTTCCTATGGCATTCCAGGATGTGTAAGAGAGGTAAAGATGAATACACATTGTATTTTGAAAGGATGAGAATGATTACCCCAAGAACAGTTAATACTAGTTATAGACATTTCAAAAAGTATCTAGCAGTAAGTTAAAAGCAAACTGAAAGGAAAAAGAAAAGATCTCCATATCCCTTTTGTTTGGTCTTTCTTAAAGAAATACTTTTGGACAACAGGGTTACCTCTTCAGTATAATTTTTCTCTGAACCCCAAGACCTCCTCTACCATTAAATGTTTATATTTACCCAATGGGCCTCCCTGCCTCCCCAGACCCATTACCTCTCAGGTTCGTTGTGTTTTCTTCTCCACCTTTTTGTCTTAAAAACAGGATTCTTCACTATATCAGACACCTGAATCTATGATAGCCCTGTATGTTGACAATACTGGAATTAAAATAAAAATCTTAATTAAAAAACATATATCAAAGGAAGAAAAATAGGTATTCTGGGAATTATCCATTCCTTCTATGATATAAAATTTATAGTTTTAACATTCCACAACTTGGGTATTTACCTTCTCATGAATTAATTTTAGGAGATGGCTTTAGATTTTCTAATTAGAATTAATATTAATATTAGTATGTTTTTGATTTGGTATCAGGGATATTATTCAATTCCGGGCTGTGTTTCCTGGAGTTCTCTTCCCTGACGATCCTTTACAGAGGGTCATTTGCAACACCCATGTTTCAAGAACAGCAAATTTTGCTTTCCTCCTTGTCCCTAATCAGATTGCTAACTCAACTCAATCTTTATCTCCAATCTCCTTTCCTCTCCACTGGTGTTTTATTATTTTTCCAACCCAGAGGAGCTAGACTCCTAGATTAGGTATTTCTTGAATTTACATATTGTAATCTCATCTGCTCATTTCCTTAGGCAGTCATTGTACATTTGGTAATTCTATTATTATAAATCATTATCTATAAAACCATTTTGTTTTCCCAAAGCAGTGTCTGGAACCCCTGCTGGCCTGGCCTTAAAGAGTTACCCTGAAATACATCTATACTTAATCAGAACATTTCAAAGAAGTAGATGTTTATTTCTTTAACTAGAAAAATGAAAGTTTCTGTTTTTATTACTACACTTTGAATGCCTTCAAATTTCAGAGCTGTCCAAAGAATTTTATTTACGTGTTTCTATATTTTATTTTTATATCTCTCTCTATACACATCTATACAGAAAATGTTCACACTATTTTGTATGTATATGGGCATGAAGGAAAAGGAACATTTTTGTAAAGTAATCAACATACCAGTACCTAAATGTTTCTTTTATAAATAACTATGGTGTAATGTATTACCTGTCCTAAACACAGCTATCTTCCCATCTTGCTCTTTGGGGATTTTTGCTTCTTGCAGCGACAAAGAAGAACTCAAACTTGTGCTTGACCAGCACAAATGGATTTTACAAAGTCTGTTTGTGCAGTAGTTTCAAGAATCTTAAAGCAGGAGATGTTAAATATCCTTGAATAAGCCCTGTTACCGCCTAATGATGAAGGTTGCAGTTACAGCTGTAAAGGCATTAGGGGCAGAGCAGGACGAGAACTCAGATCTCCTATGCTCTGTTCGTGCTCCATATTGACTGGGGCAGCCCCTCGAACCTTCCCTTGATCTGCATATTACACACCTTTGGCATTTTGAGATCTAAACCCTCAGCCCGTTAGAATTACCATATTGGATGTGAGAGGAAGGGAAGAAGTTGTGCTCTTCACCCGAAGATCTGCTGTCACTGCCAGATAGGAGATGACAGTAAACAATGAGGTAAGAGCCAAGTCACAAAACCCAAATCCAGCAGCCCGAGGACATTCAGAGAAAGGGTAAAGAGACTTACGTGTCTCAGAAGTCCTACAAGTCACCACTGCAGGACAGAACAATAAAGTACTGGTTTGAGTGGGAAAAAAATCATTAAGAAATGGATAAATTATGCTCACCATATGTGATCTGGAAAAACAGAGAAATGAACCGGAAGTTTGGAAAGACATCGGCAAAATGAATAAAATATCAGTGGATATTAACCAGGCAAAATCATGGTGACTTTGTCTCTTGTTTGAAACTTTTTATAGAAAAAAAAAAAAAAAAAAAAAAAAGGAGAAGATATGGGGTGGGGTAATTGGATGAAAGTGGTCAAAGGTACAAACTTTCGGTTATGAGATAATTAAGTCCTGGGAAGTAACGTCCAGCATGATGAATATAGTTAGCACTGCTCTAAGGAATGCTTGGAAGTTCTTGAGAGAGTACATCCCAAGAGTTGTCATCACAAGGAAAACAACTGTTTTTCTTTAAAAAAAAAAAAATATATATATATATATATATGTGTGTGTGTGTGTGTGTGTGTGTGTGTGTGTATTTAAATGAAATGATGGATGCTAACTAAACATATTGTGGTAATCATTTCACAATATAGGTAAGTCATGTCAATATGCTATACCCCTTAAACATAAAAGCAATTCTATTTGGGGAGGGGGAATGTTTATAGATGTTTACAGGAACACGTGCTTTAACTTCTACACTATTTATGAAGTTTTGACAGTGAGACCATGCTCATTTCATTGAGTATGAGCAAAGGGTCACAACTACGGAGATATTTGAGTAAATACACCAAGCATAAAATGTAGACCCCAAGTAATTTTATTTGAATACTTTGGGTTACCTTACTGATCAAGTTAACTGAATATTTGTCAAAATTGTGCCCATTTAGAGATAGACGCCCCGTGAAAGGAGTAATATTTTGACATTAATTTTTATAACTGAGTAGTTGTTGATTTTTCTAAAACAGATGTTTATAACCTATTGAATTTGTGTTTTAATCTCAGATAGTAATAAAATAAAAAATAAAAAAAATAAATCTCATAGTATTAAAAAAAATCTTACTTTCTTTTTTTTTTTTAAATAGTTACTTTTTTTTTTTTTTAAGATTTTATTTATTTATTTGACAGAGAGAGATCACAAGCAGGCAGAGAGGCAGGCAGAGAGAGAGGAGGAAACAGGCTCCCTGCTGAGCAGAGAGCCCGATGCGGGGCTCGATCCCAGGACCCTGAGATCATGACCCGAGCCGAAGGCAGCGGCTTAACCCACTGAGCCACCCAGGCGCCCCAAATCTTACTTTCTTTGATGTCACCAATCCCATCTTACAGATAGTCATTAAAGTAAAAAAAATAGAGTATTCAAATCCTGGAAAGTCCTTTCTATATATATATATATATATTTTTTTTTTTTTCTATTTTAAACCGGTTTGATTTCTGTTATGAATTTCATATCAACAGGAAAGTTGGGCTACTTGTCACTGATGCTGCCCTTTTTGTTTGTTTCCTTGTAGTCACATGGGCAGCCTTGTGACTGTTCTCTCCAGACAGCACATGCAATGGCTCTGGGACATCAGTGGAAGAAAGCCCTTTTGGATAGGTAAGTGTTTGTGCTGTACTAAGGAGGGAGGCGAGAACCTCAAGAGGGCATCGCCCTCCCATGGGCCAAATAATTGTGGCTTATAGTAACAATCAGGTGTTAGATGGTTGGACAATCTATTTTTTTCTTTATTGGAGGGGTGGAGGGTCTGTCTTTCAAAACTCATCTCGGGGCGCCTGGGTGGCTCAGTTGGTTAAGGGTCTGCCTTTGGCTCAGGTCATGACCCCAGGGTCCTGGGATCGAGTCCCACATTGGGCTCCCTGCTCAGTGGGGAGTCTGCTTCTCCCTCTGCTCCTCCCTTGCTCGTTCTCTCTCTCTCTCTCTCTCTAATAAATAAATAACATCTTTTTAAAAAATTTAAAAACCTCATCTTAATTATATACTACTGTGATTGGTAGACATCTGTCTCAAAGAAATAAACAATGTGGTTTGATTTATAGGTAAAAGAATTCAACAAATGCTATATCTAAAAGTAAAAAATTAGAAATAGCTATAAATAGGGGATAGTTAAATAAATTATGGTATAGCCATATGAAGGACTATTTAATATTTAATGTTTTGTAAGGCATTGAATATTAAAGACATGACAAAGTGCTTTATGTTTATTGTTTCATCTAGGACATATATGTTGGAGCATGTTATATATTAAAGATATGATATATTTGTGATAGGATGCTAAGTAAAAAAGCAGAGCCCAGAGCCATATGAAGCATAAAATAATTTAGAATATATTTAGATATTTTATGCATATATGCATATGATATATATACACATCTATGCCCATGACTTATACATATATAAAAACGGATGCCAAAGAACTAGAAATGTTTATCCCTATTGACAGTTATTGGTGGATCTTAATTTTATCCCTTGCTTTCTGAAGTTTTAGTATCTTCTTCAATTTTAACAACAATACAGATCTCTCAGATTCTATTTTTAGGAGTAGAATTCTGGGGGCACATCCAAGTCAGACTTTTCACCATCTGTCCTAGAAGGTATTGGATTTCAGGGAACAATAGTAAACCCAGTCTTGGCTTCTCAAAATCTCTGTCATACTTAGTACATCTCTAAATTCTGAAATTTTCTGAGAGTATTAAGATAAAGCTGGAGGAGTGGTTTTCTCTGCTTCGGTAATGACTGATTTCAAGGCTCTATTCCCACAGAATGATTAGGCATAACATCTCCTCCTGATCACTAACACAAGGAAAAAATCCAGAAGGAGACAGTAGTTCATTTTATTCTACCCCAAAATTACTGAGGGAGAATCATGGGAGAAGGTTATTTGCTACACAACTAAGACTGTTTTCATGGTTAAACTTGGTTGGGAGGTGTCAGACCATGCTCTTACAGGGGACTCTTTTCTCATTGTATTCTCTTTGTTTCTGCAATGAAGGAAGGTGAGGAGGAGGAATGTTTCTTTAAGAAAAATTACAACAGCTTTGCAACACTGAAGTACAATTTGTAGAGTAGCTAGTGAGAGTAGAGAGGCAAGTGGAGAAAAGCTGCTTTTTGTTGGAATTACAGCAGACGGAAAAAAACAACATTCCAGACTAAAAATAACACCTAGTTAAGCTACTTTCAAATATGAAAACCGAGACATTTACATAGTGAGAAAGAACAACAGTAGACAAGAGTATACCTGTTTCCCCGGGATAGGAGTTCTGTCTGTAGAGTGATGTGAGTAATAATTACTGTTTACCAAACATGTATGTATGTCAGGAACTTGACATGCATTATCTTATTTAATACTTAAAACAGCCCCTGATGTACTATGTTTATTGCCATTTCTTGGATGAGGAAGCTAAAATTTAGAGTGGTTAAGTAACCTGCCCAAAGATGCTCAACTAGTAAGTGGGGGATCCAGGATTTGGATGTGGATCTGTCTGATTCCAAAGCCATATGTTGTTTTTTTTTTAATTTTTAAATTTTAATTTTTTAAAAGATTTTATTTATTTGAGAGAGAGAGAATGAGTGGGGAGGAACAGCAGAGGGAGAGGGAGAAGCAAGCTCCCCACTGAGCAGGACTCTGGGATCATGACCTGAGCTGAAGGCAGGCACCCAAACGACTAAGCCACCCAGGCATCGCTCAAAGCTGTATGTTCTTACCTGTGTTTTAGGATTCCCAGGCCCTATTCTGTGTTTTAGAACGTAGGCCTGTGTTTGTATATGATTACTGAACTTAAAACAATAGACTGATAGGATATTCAAGCATAAATGTAATATTGGCCCATTTTTTGGTTCACATTAGGTTTGAATGACCAAGTGCGTGCTGGCCACTGGGAGTGGATTGGTGGGGAAGCTGTCACCTTCACCAACTGGAGGAAAGGACCCCCTCAACGTATGAAGCCCGGCAAGAACTGTGTTTTGGCGCAAAGACAAGGGAAATGGCAAACGCAAGACTGTAGGAAGGGCAAACCTCACAATTACGTGTGCTCCAGGAAAATCTAAATGTGGCTGATCTTACAGGTGCCCACTCGGGATTTCTCACCTATTTATTTACAGAATTTGTGCATATGGTTCAATACAAAACAAGGTGTCATGACTGACTTAGTACATTTTTTTTTTATCATAGTATATGAGTGATCTAGTAAAAAAAGGAACATTGAAGAATTGTTCCAGGAGGATTGATCAATGAGCATTTCTTTCAGGAAGAGATACAATTCTTGTATCTCAGTACCTTTCAAAATAAATACCTAAAGTATTATATGGTACAAGATTTACTTATTCCAGAATATTCCCACCCTGTCCCCACTCCATATCTAAGTCCTCACCAAGCTCATGGTCCTTGGATTTTTTTTGTCCCAAGACCTCAGTTTTTTGTCCCGTTCTGAAATCTGTCCTGGCAGAGGCTTGTACCACTCCAGTCTGAGGAAAGCTAACTTTACCAGCTCATTAAATCATAGTTGAACAGCAAAGGGTCGCTTTGTCCCTTTGGAATTTGAAACCTAAGATGAGAGGCTCGTGGATAAAAAAAGGAGAATTCTTGGGCACCTGGGTGGCTCAGTTGGGTGGGAAGCTGCCTTTGGCTCAGGTCATGAACCCAGAGTCCCAGAATCGAGTCCCTCATTGGGCTCTGAGCTCTGTAGGGAGTCTGCTTCTCCCTCTGACCTTCTCCCCTCTCATGCTCTCTCTCACTGTCTCTCAAATAATTAAAATCTTAAAAAAAAAAAAAAAGAGAGAGAATTCTCTGTGATGGAAAAGGAAGACTTTAGATGGGAGAATCTTGTATATGGAAGCTCATTTGCAAAGCTCTAGTTCAGGTAAGAATTCAGAGACTAATTCACGTCAGGGTCTACCCATCCCTACTCATGAGACAGAGCTCTTTTTCCAATAAAAATGTTGGCCTCGTACCTTCCCAGAGCTAATCATGATGTTTCCCCCGGCCTCACAGATTCATGAGAAATTGGAAGTAATGTGAACTTCTCTTTTCATTTGGGTATATGGTAAGAACTAACATTTCTCAAGGACATTTGGAATAGAGTTTATGCGAGTGATGTTTAACACATGGAAGAAAAACACTGCTTCCTCAGAAGTGTCCCAGTGAACAATGCTGATGAACAAAGAAAGATAGTACTGAAAACAGCACTTGAAAACCCATATTCTCAGAATGGATTTTGATATAACTTTGAGCCCTTACATCTCTACTATTTCTAGAAATGGCATGCTAACCCAATTCGGTAACATAAAGTCCCTTATGAATTTATAATATCAGCTGAATGAAACCTTTTTGTACAGTGAAGTGTGTTGCAGCCTTACAGGAACTCCCTTCTGAAATCAAGTTTTAATTACAGGAAATTAGAAATTTATTTCTGAAACGTGCTCAAAATTTTCCTCTTTTCTTAATCACCAAAAAATGCGGTTGTACCAAATGTAACTAACTTGCTCTATGAGTAGTTAAGAGTAATTTCAGAGTCAAGATGGGGTTACCAAGTAGACTAAAGCTTTGGAGCAGGTTTTATTAGACTAACACATTTGGTAAAACGAAAATAAATGGAAGAAATTCAGTCCAGTTTCTGGATATAAAACATGTCAAGCTTGTTTTATTTCTGCTCATTTATCAAGATTTTTGGTACTAGAAATATTTACAAAGAGAAGTGGGGATCACGTTTTGGCATTTCTACCTCTCACTTAAATTTAAAAGCATGGTGGCCTCGTGAGGCTCCTCACTTTAGGTATCCCACATAGGCTCTGAACTGATTACAACATACAGGTCTCTTGTGCAACACAGACACTCTCTGATATTTAACCAAAAGATGCAAAACCCACCCTCCATACCAGCTCCAGTCCTCTCTGATGCACTGGCCTCTGCCATTTGGAAAGGCTAGATGCCAGGTAATGTAGCAAAGAGTTGTTTACCTGAAGAATGATATCCTAAGAGGGAAAGTAAAAGCTCAAGAAATGAAGAGTTCAGAGGCCACTCCCTTCTAGAACCACAGAGCTATAGTAACTATTTAAAACTGGGAATCCAGAACCAGGGCTGTTATGGAGAAACTGATCAGCACGGTAGATTTTATTGTACTTATCTGCAATGACAATAATGTTTAAGTGTAATTGCAAATGCTAGTATAAAGAGAGAATGTTTTAGGATTTTTGTAGCAACTAGGAATACTAGGATAATATTTTTGAATGTTCCTGATCATGAAAGCATTGATCAGTTTGTAAAACGCAAGTAATTGAATGAGGATACAAACAAAAATTCTGGCAAGTTGGGGTGTTGGGCAATATTTATCATGACCTTTATTTCTTCCTCATGATTGAACTTTGACTCAGGGGAAAATAAAAAAGTAAATGATTGTTATCTAAAAAAAAAAAAGAGAGACGGGGGCACCTGGTTGGCTCAGTCAGTGGAGTGTGCGACTCTTGATCTCAAGGATTGTGAGTTCAAGAACCACGGTGGGTATAGAGATTACTTAAAAATAAAATCTTTTTAAAAAAAGTAAATGATGGTCATGGTTCTTGACACCTAGATTGGTCACTGTCACTTGTCAAGTTCTGGTGGGAGCAGGAAGGAAGGAAATGGATTAATGGAAGAATAAGGAATGGATGATTATATGAGAGTAGAGGGGAGAGAGGAAAGAAGGGTTGAGCAGGGAGAGATGGGACTGGTGGTAGCTAAGAAGGAGAGCATCAGAAAGAGGGACTTAAATGTCACCCGGCTCTTCTCCCCAGGTTTGAATACCAGTTCAGGAAAAGCCCCCTCCATCCAAGGGCATCAACCCAGCTAAGTAGCATGCAGCTTTTCAGAATCCTGCTATTTTTGCTTTTTAACTAAAACATACATATGTATATAGCATATATTTTGCTGAATGTAAACTTAAAAACATATGATAATTATTTCATCTCTTTCCAAGGAGTGGTAAAAACGAACCAGGTGACATTTTTTTCTTTAAAAATTTTATTTATTTATTTGACAGAGAGAGAGAGATCACAAGTAGGCAGAGAGGCAGGCAGAGAGAGAGAGGAAGAGAAGCAGGCTTCCCGCTGAGCAGAGAGCCTGATGCGGTGTTCGATCCCAGGACCCTGGGATCATGACCTGAGCCGAAGGCAGAGACTTTAACCCACTGAGCCACCCAGGCGCCCCCAGGTGACATTTTTTTTACGTTTCTGTTTTTGTTCATTTTTACTACAGCCAAAAAGAACATGCACATAATTTTCATTAATACTATGGTTTGTATAGTTCAAACCAGGAGCTGGTGCTGATTAATTTTTGCAACAAAGCAGCCTATGAAATGTACTGTCTCTAGCATTGTATCAAAATTAATAAAATAAACCTATTTCTACTTCTGAACTACTGTTGCTTGAGTTTTTCACAGTTTATATTTATATTATATTTATTCTAGCTATTGTAAGAAGGAACATGTCTTTTTTATCCTTGTTGTTTAAATCAACCTTTAGTTCCACAGCTTCCATCCATCTACCCAGCCACCCAGCCATCCATCCATCTACCATTTATTCCACGAATATTATTGGAATATTGAATGCCAGCCCCTCACCTATTCTAAATACTGGAGATATTACTGTGAACGGGATAGGAAAGTAAAAGTAGAAAAGCATAGTTTATACATGTAAATTTCTAATAGTCTTTTTCTTAAGCATCAAACTTTTTTATCAGAGCGGAAGTCACAGTGGAAGTCACAAGGGCTAAGTACATTATCCCTTTTCAGAATGGAAGGGAAACACACCCCATACAAAGAGCTCACGCTTTCTTTTGTTATATTTCTCTCCTGATTAGGAAACTGGCATTACTTCCTGTGTTTACGATCAGGTCAAGGTGTTATGGATAGCAACTCTCCCAAATTTCCTGTCTCCAGATCAGGCGAGGAACTTAAATTTTCCAATCCAGTTTTCTGATTTTTGCAACAAAACAAGCAGTAGGTGTCTCTGCATCTCTCAGATCTCTGGAGCATCAGGAATTTAAAAAAAAAAAAGAACAATGATATCATCTCACCTGATATCCTTATTGTAAAGAAGAGGACGTTGAAGTCTTCAGAAGGTAAAGGGGGAAGAGATTAGCACTAGAACCAGAGACCTCCAAATCACAGGCTGACTCTCTTCAGATTATTCTACGTATTCTCATTCTTACCACTCTGAGCACTCTTACCACTCTGCTTATATTCCAGTAAAATATCTTTGACTGAAGAGTATGATAAAACTGACGGACGCTTGACAACATTATCGTAAGTAAAAGAAGATGGACAGGGAAGGCCATGTACTGCTGTATTGCATGGTCCATTCATATGAAATGTCCAAAACAGGCAAATCTATGAAGACAGAAAGTAGATTTATGGTTGCCCCGGGGGTGGGGTAAGGGGAAATGGAAACTAATTGCCAGTGGGTACCGTGTTCTTCTTGGGGTGTGGAAATGGTCTGGAATTAGATAGTGGGGATGGTTGTACAACATAATAAATACACTAAAAATGAACTGAAGTGTGCACTTTTAAATGGTGAATATGAGGTCATAGGAAGCATATCTCAGTAAAAATGCTATTAAAGATCGCCACATAAAAATTTATTTTAGAAAGCTGTAAATGGATTGATATATTTGCTGCGTGTTTATCTGACTCATCCAAGATACTTTTTCCAGTCTTTGCCTCATGTCTCACCCAGGTTTTTGTTTGTTTATTTATAGAGTTGGTTAAGAGGAAGAGAAAGTCAATTGGACGTACTGTTTAACTTACAGGACGGCTTTATTGATCTTCCTCCTTTCTCCCCATTAATCATGAGAGGGCTGTTACGGATGGCAGAGTGTGTCTGGATATGTATAATGTCCAGAATGCCATGATTTTCTAAAATTAATTCTACAAGTCTTTAGAACAGGATCATGCAGGAAATGAATATACCCTCCTCGTAACTTACGCATATAACTGTTCATTTTGAACAGTTTTTATAGGTCTTATATTCTGCTAGGTAATAAAGTCTAGTTTATCTTAAGACAGAAAGGAACAAAAAATCAACCAACACTTCCATTAAGGGCCTTATGGTAACCCGCAATACTTTTTCCAAGCAATGAAGTATGAGTTCACCTTTTGCTTCTATCCTCATCTGTATTTTTGCTTCCCAAGGGCAATCAATCCCGACTTACTTTACAGAAGAAAAATGGAAAAATATATGCTATCCTAAAACAGGTCAAAAGCAAGCTGAAGTGGCTATATTAATATCAGAGTAGGTTTTAGAGCAAAGAATACAACCAAGGTTAAAGGAGCTTATTTTATAATTTAAACAGGTCAATACATCAAGAGGACATAATAATTCTAAAATTTGGGCACCTAATAACAATGTTTAGAAATACATGAAGCAAAAACTGATAGAAAT